GGCAGTGTTTAACTCCTACAGTTGAAGGGCACAAAGCCTTCCATCATGTGAAGGGACTAAGTGTTGTCCTCATTAAATATTGCTGTAATTGACGGTATAGTGCTGCAGTTTGAGGATGGCAGTTCCTCAGGGCTTCCAGGAACAGCAGCAGTGGATAGAAAGATGATTGAACTTTGATCAGCTGCCATGACATGTGTTGCAAACAGAGAGGCAGCAGGGGCAGATCACGCTGGAGAGCAGAACATGGGAGTGTTACACTTGCCAAATTGTTATAACTGATCCTGAAATAGGTTGAGACTGCTCAATGACCACTTAACAGTTATTGTCAATTTTCCTGAGCTAGTAAGTCACTTGTTCAAGAAGTGTGACAGGCTCTGTATTCTGTCAGTGATGTTGCTCTCTGACTCTTGATTGCCATTGTATTCAGTGGTGGGCACAATTTGGGTGGACACTATTTGGGTGAAGTAAATCAGGAAATATGTGTTTGTGTGAGAAAATAACAGTGAAATTATGAAGCCAGCATATATACGAAACATTGTTATATTACTTCCAAGTATGATTGTAAATCTCTCATCTATGAGTAATCATAAAGTTATCGAAAATGAAATATGACATCCCCTACTTGCCTGCCTGACTTGAGTTTATGAGCCAGCATGGCCCTTGTCTCCCCTCATTTCTTTTAGGTAACATATATTATGTTTGGGATTACACTTTCTCAGTTAAGTCAAGTCTATTATCTTTTTTGGTTGAGTTCCATCCAGGATTCAAACTCAGCTTCTCAGAGTAAAGCATCGGATTGCCAGCACATAAAGTAAGTGATCAAACCCACTAGACCACCACAGCTTACACAGAATGGAAGTGTGGCAACTGGTAATCTTGTCCAGACCACATACTTTGTGTAAGTACAGACTTTACGGTGGAGTTCTTTGAGGGGCATTTTGAAGTGCATTTTGAAGTGATGAACATGAGTCATGATTTTTGGATACCTGCTTTATTTCCATTAACCATTAGAAGAAGGAGTGAGAAGTAACTCCAAAATACGATAAGGAAATTAAGAAGTTGATATCCTAAAATATTTGACTCAGATTTAAGGTAGGACAGAATATAGGACAACTGAATAAAATAAATAAGAATTTGTGTAAAATAACACAAAGTATTTCTTCAGACACAGATTTCCTAACCCTTTATTGATGTCCAAACGTGCACTTGGGCCTTACCAATAAGGATGTTTTTTGCTTACCTGTGTCAAAACTTGCTCCTGGGCCTTACCTATAGGGATGGTTTGTGCTTGCCTGTGTCAAAACTTGCACCTGGGCCTTACCTATAGGGATGGTTTGTGCTTGCCTGTGTCAAAACTTGCACCTGGACCTTACCAATTGGGATGATTTGTGCTTGCCTGTTTCAAAACGTGCCCCTGGGCCTTCCTATAAGGATGGTTTGTGCTTGCCTGTGTCAAAACTTGCACCTGGACCTTACAATTGGGATGGTTTGTGCTTGCCTGTGTCAAAACGTGCCCCTGGGCCTTCCTATAAGGATGGTTTGTGCTTGCCTGTGTCAAAAGTTGCACCTGGGTCTTTCCTATTAGGGTGAGTATCGCTTGCCTGTGTCAATACTTGCAGCTACAAGTTAACTGCAGGGATGGGGACTGTTTCCCAATTTCCAACATAGCACCTGCACCTTACCTGTAGGTATTGCAACTGCATCAATATGTGACTGGATCCTTGCATATCTGGTCTACTGCATCAATATGTCATTGCATCCTGTGAGAATCTGGGCCAGTTACATCAATATGTCATTGAATCCTCTGTGAATCTGGGCCTGTTACATCAATATGTCATTGCATCCTTTGAGAATCTGAGCCTGTTACATCAATATGTCATTGTATACCTTGAGAATCTGGGCCTGTTATATTAATATGTCATTGCAACCTTTGTGAATCTGGGCCTGTTACTTCAATATGTCATTGCAGCCTTTGAGAATCTGAGCCTGTTACATCAATATGTCATTGCATCCTTTGAGAATCTGGGCCTGTTACATCAATATGTCATTGCAACCTTTGTGAATCTGGGCCTGTTACTTCAATATGTCATTGCATCCTTTGAGAATCTGAGCCTGTTACATCAATGTGTCATTGCAACCTTTGAGAATCTGGGCCTGTTACATCAATATGTCATTGCAGAATCTGGGCCTGTTACTTCAATATGTCATTGCATCCTTTGAGAATCTGGGCCTGTTACATCAATATGTCATTGCATCCTTTGAGAATCTGGGCCCGTTACATCAATATGTCATTGCAACCTTTGTGAATCTGGGCCTGTTACATCAATATGTCATTGCATCCTTTGAGAATCTGAGCCTGTTACATCAATATGTCATTGCATCCTGTGAGAATCTGGACCTGTTACATCAATATGTCATTGCATCCTTTGAGAATCTGGGCCTGTTACATCAATATGTCATTGCATCCTTTGAGAATCTGGGCCTGTTACATCAAATCAATATGTCATTGCATCCTTGAGAATCTGAGCCTGTTACATCAATGTGTCATTGCATCCTGTGAGAATCTGGACCTGTTACATCAATATGTCATTGCATCCTTTGAGAATCTGGGCTTGTTACATCAATATGTCATTGCATCCTTTGAGAATCTGGGCCTGTTACATCAATATGTCATTGCATCCTGTGAGAATCTAGGCCTGTTACATCAATATGTCATTGCATCCTGTGAGAATATAGACCTGTTACATCAATATGTCATTGCATCCTTTGAGAATCTGGGCCTGTTACATCCATATATCATTGCAACCTTTGAGAATCTGGGCGTTATATCAATATGTCATTGCATCCTTTGAGAATCTGGACCTGTTACATCAATATGTCATTGCATCCTGTGAGAATCTAGGCCTGTTACATCAATATGTCATTGCATCCCAGCATTGATTGCTGTTGCTTACCTGGGTGCTATTTATAAGCAGTATTGGACGAATACAAAGAAGCTATGTTAATGTTTTGTGAACTCCCTGCTACAAGTAGTAACAAAAGGTTAGCCTTATCTGATCAATATGTGAAAGTCTACACTTGACTAGACACTTGTGTAACATGGCACAAGAGATACTGCATGAGGTCAGCAGCTACTGGGCTTTGAGACATTAGGTTGTCATTGTGCCCTGGTTTGTTGTCTGCGGATGTTATTTTTGTTAAAAGGTAAATTAGGGTAATAGAAATTGAGATTTCTTTGCATGTTTCATTTTCAAACGTGTTTTATTACTCAAATGTACATGTACAATACCTGATCAACAATTGAACTGGTAAGCTGCAATTGAAGTATGATGTGTTTGGGACATTAAAATATGTGCTCAGTATTATTTTACATTGCGGCTGGAGTTGTTTATGACCTTACAATAAATGTAGGATTTGTTCTCCACTCTGTGTCAGACTGCCTGCAGTTCTCCCGTCCTCGGGCCTCTCTCGTGTAGTTTACAAGCAGTCACGAGTGTTGTGTACTTCTCAAGTGGGCCAGGTTACATATTAGAACAAATTAAATTACTCACAGGGGGAATTGTGTAAAGCTGATAAGAATTTATCCTGCTGGGTGTAAGGTTTTATGTATTAGGACCTTTATCTTTGAATTAAGTCAATGTGATAGAGAATGAAGCTGAGTCTCCTTGTGACGAAAGTGACCACTCCATTTGGGTTCGTGCTCTTAAGTGTTGTTCCTGCACTTTCATCTATATCTGGGATTGTCACGTATTTTTGTTGGAAAAGCTAACCACAGCAGCATTATGCAATATCCTATTCCTGGTGTAAATGAATATGTATATGAGTGGCCCACTGATGTCATCAGAAGGTGAAAGTAGTAGTAATGACAGTGTGTAAAGAGGAGGACTGTCCACGCTGTGAGTGGCGGCTATTGCGTTATTCCTGCCCCGAAGGGTGAAATGAACACCATGTTACAGGGGAGGGATATTTGTTGTATTTAGCGTTTCTAGGTAATTTACAGGCCACAGAGTGGTTGGTGTTGATCTAGGGGGCCCCCTACAGATGTACTATGTCAATACCATTTTGTATGATATGTGTGCCTATCAATAATCTATAAAGGAGCTGTGAGCCTAACAGGAGGGATATTTACTGTTGTGGTGTCTATATCACTACTGGCAAGTGTGGTTTACAACAGTTGAGTTACTCACGTACATTGCAATGTGGGAAATGATGTCAACCTTGATGTTATCTGATGACTTTATACACCAGATTTGACTGCTTGAATGTATTGCTGGACATGAATTGTACAAGATATCTTGAAATCTGACACTACACGCATGTCTCCATGTTATAATCGACAACACCTGTCTGTCTGTCCATGTTTTACTGTGTAAGTTTACCTATGCTGTTACAAAGTGATGTGTATGTTTTGTTTCTGATTGGTGTTGTCTGTTTCCATATACTCAACAAATTTGATATATCTTTACTTATGTTGATGATGATGTACATTCAGTTAACAGTTCCAGAGAACTGGCATCAACTTGTGGAAACATGTCTAGTTGTCTGAGGTTAGAGGCACGATGAGTACTAGTAGACTGTAGTGTTTGATAACTGCTATGAAAAAAACAGTCAGTTACATTAACTTAATCAAGTGAATGGGATTTTCATGTTAACAAAGTTGTTGGTATTTTTTAACCGTTTGTGGTGATGAAGCTACAGTTATGAAAATATACACACATTAACATATATATGTCCAACAATAAGGGAGAACATCACTTGTTGATCAATTATTGCCATGGTTTACTAAAGTGTATATTAACTATATTATAACAAGTGTATCTTGTTTGTTAACAAAAGAAATGAGTTTATGTATTCATTTCTCTAATCAGTACTTGTAAGGAAATAGCAAACTTGTGTGATGATGCAGTGATACAGTTGTTAATGTTTCTAGCAATGTTTAAGCTGCATGTGCACATTGTGTTGTGTGGTTGATCTAATCTGTGTGATGTTTTGCTTGACAGCTGACCAGGGGTCAGTGACTGGGGACGACTCCCGCACAGGTATGCCTTCTAACTGCACTTGCATGAACATCATCTTTAGAACATTCATGATTCATATCAGGAGAACAATAAATGACATAACTGGGTTGAACATCCTCCGTCTGTTACTTCAGCCATATCTTCATGTTTAGGTTGTCATCACACCATAATATTTATTTATATTTTCAACAGACTCCCTCTTTACTGCAGACAACTTGGAGGTTATTAGTATTCGAAATACATGAGACAGCAGGATCGTGTGATAATATTCACTCATTCTGAATAGAATTCTGAATACTGAATGGAATATAGTTATAGAGATATACCATCAGGTTTCTCTCAGATATGGAATGTCCGAACTGCTGTCAGATCTGGGCAATAAGACCAGTGCTGGTTGCCTGTTCCTCAGTTTGGGACAGGACACACTTACTGCTGTGCTGCCAGTTATCTTGGAGTGTATCATGGCAGGATGATAGAGGCAGGATAGTCCGAGGGATATCGACCAAGGTTATCATGGTGTGTAATCCGAAGACTACTGTCCCTCTCACATCAGAAGTTATTCCTTGCCTCCTCCACAACCTATCTTAAATGTAGTTAACGAAGGGAGACTACTGGACTACACACTTGCATTGAGCCTGAGAATTACCTGAGGTTTTTACCTAAAAACTAACGATGCTGTCCGCAGTGAAGAGGACATCTGTTGAAAATGCAAATGATTCTCTGGTGTGATAGAAGCCCAACTGGCAATTTTATTGCTTAAATGTACTAGAGGTAGTATTTGTAGAATCATGCAACATGATAACTATTGTTTGATTTTGATGCATAAGACATTGGTAATAAATTATATTTTTGTAATCAATCTCATTCATGACAATAACTTATTTTTATAGTTCCTTATAATGTCTAATGCTGTACAGTCTAAAACAATTGGCAGTCATTTACAGCTTACTTAATTTATAGATAGGTGGTCTTGTGTTTGTTATGCTGTTAAATGTATGAGGTAGGAAAATAAGAGAAAGTAACTGCCTATTTCCAGATGAAGACGAGACACCAATCTACCTTAAACCAACTCTAGCGTGAGGGTCGGCAACAAGACGCAAATCCCCTAAGGTTCCTCCCATCAACCCTTCATCTTCACCATCTTACTCCAACATCAGGGATGATGACAGTGACAGTGCCTATGCTGCGTCACTTGATGATGTGGGTGGGCATGAGGTAAGGGAGATAACTCCTACTATATGTGAATTAGAGTGTTTCTTTGAGTACAGTGAAGTGTTTCTGTTGCTTTCTGTTCTATTATCCTAGATCAATGATGAGCACGACAATATGCAGTGCCTGAGTTGAAGTGCACTTATAAATTGGGAAAATAATTAGTTCTGTGTTTATATTTTCATAATAGAGGCAGACAAGTAGATTTTCATGCAGTATTAGTAATATGAGTTCTGAACTAGAAATGAATTATGGTTTTATCTAGATTTATGTTAGATAAAAATATATTCCTTATATCCAAATAATGAAAGGGTTTCTAATGAAGGGAGATTACTCTTCACATACTATTGTTTTGTGTCTTTATGTTGGGAATCTATATTAAGACAATTTGCGAAATAGAATTTTATGTGATACTATTATTTATTGGAAAATTTGTATTGACCAGATGCAAAGCTCGCTGCGAAAAATACGGAACAGTGCATCGAAGAAGAAAGCAGAACGACTGGAGAAACAGAGCAGTCGCCAGAGTCTCAACTCGTCACCGCCGTTCTCGGATAACAATGAAGAGAGTGGCATTTTCAGCACTTTGTCACAAAAGGATGAGGAAAATAGGAAAAAGGGGTAAGTCAGCAGTATGTTTAGTTTTACATGGAAACCAGTAGATGTGTTAATGTTTTTGTACACATAAAAAAATTATGTGTTTAATTTTTTGTTGCATAATGAAAGCCTTCAATAATAAATATAATTGTTAGGTTTTTTGGTGTGGGGTGGGGATGGGGTTCTCAGACAGGTCTGCGTCATTATCAAGTCCATCACTTGTTTCATTAATAGTTAGAATTTTATACAAAGAGAATTGGTAAATAATCCACATTGCCAATACATGATCATGGCAGTGAAATGTTACAATAACATATATATTGTAAGTGATAAGCTTCTCCCACATCTCCCCAATCTGTTTGGGATTCAGATTGAAAATACAATGAATAATAATGGGTAATAAGAAGACTGACTATCTTGGTACACTTGTACAGATTTTTGACATGCTGTTTATGTGTTATTGTAAACATCCTCACATTGTAGAACAAAATCAGAGCTCGTCTTATGCATGTATTATGTGCCCACAGTAGTCAAACAGTTGTCAGTGGACCAGAGGACCCTGTTATTGTTAGTCTGTTTGATATTAGATGCAATATGTGTGTTTTGTGGCAGTTTCAGATGTTCTCATGATCGAAAGTTTTATGATCATTGTTTTATATTAACATTGTGAAACTGTGTCCAGGAAATTCAGCCAAATTCATTGGTTAGTAAGGAACATTTGATGTGCATCTATGATAAACAAGCGCATCTGCTATTAAAAGACTCAAAACTTGTTAATTGGTTAGTAGGCAGAACAATTTGTTTCACTTTGTTAGTGTTCCGGGTTGTGAAATGGACATCATGACGTTCATGCTTAATTCCAAATATTGTCTCAGTGTCCAAATGATGATTTATTCACCTGTCGTACATTTCTTTCAGGAAAGGTTCCCCATTTGAATCAAAACCAAAACTTGCACGCAACAATTCCATCCGAAAGAAGAATGGAGATGGATTTGATATCGAAGGAAGTAGCAGCAATATCAGCCAAAATTACAACCCTGCAAGTGGGGTGACGTTCCGAGAAAACCGCAACTCGGATGTACAGGTAGTGGGGAAAGGATACAATGATGATTCCTCTTCCACGGACAGTCGGCCATCAGGCACAGTCAACAACAAGGCAGCTAGGGATAGACGCAGGGTCACCAAAGGTAGGAGATCGTCTGCTGTTAGTGTAAATTATGTTCATGGTGTTTGCTGCTTCAAACATTGTGCTTATGGAGTCTGCTGTTTGAGTGTGTTTGTTGTTTGCTGTCCACCATAAGTATTGCATTCTCACCTGCCCTTCTCACCAACTCCTGGAAACTAATCTCACCAAACACGTGTTGGTTGTGTAATTGGATATGTAAATATTATTGAATATGCTTGTAGCTTGTAGTTTTGTGTACTTGTTTGAGTTTGTAATTCACACTTTTAGAAATATCCCACCTAATTTTATGTGTATTTTTTTCTTTCAATTTGAAATGTAACATGTTTTTTATTGGTTAATTTCCCATACAGTGGCCTTTTTTCCTTGCAGTGTTTTCATTTACCACTGATTATTTGACTTTTGTTTAGAAATAGTGTCTGAATTGAATGTGTTTAAACATCTTGACAATTTTATAGACATGCAGTAGGGACAAAGGACGACCATGACCTGTTGTTAATGGTGTGACACTTTGATGTGTGTGTCTCCTCTAACTCACTCAACACTATCTCATACTTCATAATTCTGTTCAATTTCAGCCTTTCCACTCAATTATTGCAAATTTGTTCAAATTATCAAGTGATCTTGTGTTTGTTTGAAATGCCCCTTCACCACCTCACGTTGTAGTGTAACATTAGGTGGCACTGTCACGTTCCCCTCTCACTTGTCACTTGCACATCCCCTGTGGTCAGGCTGTCCGTCTGGTTGCAGGATCCACTCTCTCCCCCACTTGGTATGACTTCACCGCACTCATATGGCGCCATTGAAATCGACGATGATAAAACGCCAAGCCAGGAACATATCGCCCTCTTCGGAAAGGGTATGTTATCTGTTGGAGAGGGAGTTTTGTTTGTGCTTATGTTTGAATTTGTTCGGATGTTGGATAGCTGTTTGGATAATATCAACTGAAAAGATTGTTCTTTTCTTTTTATACGCTTATAATGACTTTGTTACATTTATCTTGAATCTTTATAAGTAAAAAAAGTATTATTTTTATTTTGGGCAATTCAATGTTTAGGTTTCTTGAAGCATTTAGTTATTTTATATGTATGTATATGATAATGGAATTGACAAGTAGCCTTAGAAGTTAGAATTGCATGATTAGTTTTGGTTAATGTACTTTGTCCAGGTTGATCGGCAGCTGTCAGTGATGTTTAGTCAGTAACTGATTAGTCTGCAGCAACCAGTTCTCTTTTGTCCTGAAATAATATCGTGAACAAGACTGTATAATGTCCAAAGCCCCTGCCAGTTTTGTTGGAACATGAAGACATTCTTTTCATCAAAAAGACTATTGAGCTCTTTCCTTTCCATCGCAGTCACCCGTGAAGATCCGAAATAGAATTGATCTTCAGTAACCCATGCTTGTCATAAGAGGCGACTATCAGGATCGGGTGGTCAGACTCGCTGACTTGGTTGACACTGTCATCGGTTCCCAATTGTGTAGATCGATGCTTATGCTGTTGATCACTGGATTGTCTAGCCCAGACTCAATTATTTACAGATTGCCGCTACGTAGCTGGAATATTGCTGAGTGCGGCGTAAAACTAAACTCACTCACTCACTCCATCTCAGTCAGCTTTTGTTGAATTTGATTTCTTGCCAACTTGATCCTAACCAAAAGGCTTGCCATGCTGTTGATACTGTCAGCTAATATTGACAAACTTTCTCATTGCTTTGCAATGTTATAGTTAATCAAACTGGCAAACAGAAATCAAGGCAGGTAGCTTGATATTGTGAAAAGCTGAGGTATTCATCCCAGGGTTAATGTAGGTTTACAGCAGTACTAGTCCCTGGAGATACACAGGATGGGCTTCCCCTTCATGTTTCCTAGATATTTCAGTGAGAATGTCAGTAAGTGTTGTTGCTGCTGCCCTAGTGTTACATGCTTCATGTCAATCCATGGAAGAGTTCTCAGTCAAACGCTTTCAAGCTTTCTGTTTGTTTTAAACAACCTTTCAACAGTTCCTAACACTTCTTTCATCACTGAGCAAGTCTTCAGTCTTATCAGAGTATCGATGAAGCTGCAACAAAACAATTATGGGGATGTATATATTAGTTAAAACAATGGAAATAGTACAGTAGAAATTATTAATTTGTCAATTAATTGACTGAAGCTGAAGAGTTATTTTTGATATAATTGAAGAGACAAGAGAAGAAAATGTTTCAATGAAGTTTGAGTGAAGGTTTATTGGAGCGGGTATTTACGTGTGTAAGTGTTCCCCTCGCTAAAGGTGTTTTGTCAGCTTTATTGATCTTTGATAGGATGTGTTTTGCTGTTTTGACACTTGTCACTAACACTTGACTCGTCATGCTGTCAACATGACGCAGGAACTAGGCTCTGCTGCCTGTATGTGTGCCAGCTCACTGCTGGAAGTAGGTACAATGTAATATGTAGGTATGGTTTCAGTTGTGCCACAACAAAAGGATTGGAGTCATTAGAGACTTGGCATGTAATAGGCATTTGTTGGAAAGGCTGTAGATGAGATGAGAACTTTTATGAGCACGTAGCCACCCTATTATCGTGTTGATGGTAATTGAAAGTTTTGCAGACTAAATGGATTTACAAGGGTATCTGATTGAATATCATTACCTAACGCACCAATATGGCATATAATCAATGAAGTATGAATAACACATAACCAGTGATTGATTAATATCCCAGACATTTTCCATTTATGTGATTTCTTAGTCAAGTAAAATGATTTTTGATGACCTCTGTTATAGGGATGTTTGACCAGCCACCTGCTACTACAGAGTACCCTGTGAGTGGGATGCAGTCTCGGGACCGACTTGACCGACGCTTGACGGGAGGGGATCCCAAAGCTGTTCCTAACGGGGTAGTCTGGGGTTGGGGTCAGGCAGAATGATGCTGATCTGGGCTTTGAAGAGGATATGGATGAGGTTAGTGTTAACTGTTGTCCAAGTAGTGTTATAGTCTGTGGTCATTTCCTGGAGGGAATTTGAAGGTTGAAAGTAGCAAGATGTCGTGTACAGGTAATCATAAGATTTGGTAATTTTTTCATTATTTTGTAAAGAAAAAGCTTATGAACCATTCAGAGGAAGAAAATTATTTGACCATACATGACTGTAGAAAAGCCTATCACATAGATAAGACAAGGTCTCAACCTGATCCCTAAAATCTGTATTAAAATGGTATGTCTGCTAGATGTGCCGCACCACCAATCTATGTACATTTACTGGTTGTGATCAGTCATCGGAAATAGAATATCAACAAATCATGTATTGAATTACTCAAGTTAATTCTGTTATTACACTATCTTATGACAGAACATCTTCGTGAAACCTCAGTGGTGACAATTTGTTCCATACATAAAAAGTGCTGACAATACACCAAAGTACTGCAACAGAACCCTAGTTAGGATTACAATCATTCTAAATATATAACAGTAAAATAACATTATACTGGAATATGTTCTCTTGGTCAATAACTAGTTTGAGATGCTATATTTTTTTATCATAGCATCAAAATAAACTTCTGTCATATTATTGGTTATGTTTTAACTATATCTCTGGTAGATGGGGAGAAAACGTCCACAGCTTTCGATACAAATACAAACTCCAGAAAAGAAAGCTCGATGAAAGCGTAACCTTGACATGAACTGGCTACAGTCACACATGTTATTTTGTATTACTTTGCAAGATGACTTGGCAATCATGGGAAGTTCTATTTCAACAATTCTATTAATTTTGCCAAATTAGAACTACTAAGTCTTCTTGTTCAAGGGTTTCTTAAACTTGGACTAGATTTTCCAAAATTCTCGCGACAAATCAGTAGGCACAGTCATCAAGCAGTGGTCCCCTGATTCTTGTATAAACAATGTCAACGTGTACATGACTGCACCTGATTGGTGGTTTGGTCAGTTCAAAGGATTTTTCCGTTACTTCAGTCAGTTCTGAGAGAACCACAGGTCTTTTTAGAGATAAAAGACCGCATCCACTGAAGGCTGTCTCATCTGACATTTGGTCCAGTGTCAATGATATTGAATTAATTGTTGACATAATACACAGAGCTCAGTATAGGATATGTTGAATATCATCCCATATGGATTAGACTGATAAGTGTAGTACTTCAGAAAGCTTCCCAGATGTAGAGCTGTTCCAACTTTGGCAAAATGTCCAATTGAGACAGCTTGGAGAAAATGAACTGTGGAAATTTCCCAGCAGCAGTTGCACATTTCAGCAATATGTCAGTACAGGTTATGTCAGGGTTGTAATCAATATCCTTGTCAGGTGTCCTCACTTCAACAACAATGTTGGAATCTGTTTTCCTCTATCACTACACTTCCTCTTAGGACTGTCAGTCTGCACAAATTACTGCAAAATATCTGATTTGATGCTGATGGTATTGACTGGTTGTGATGGTGACAGGCATTGTGTTCTTTTCTAGATCATCATGTGTTTATTAGAGGAGCCAAATAGCTGCTATATGTGATGTGATCCATCTGATCTGATATGGACTGTCACTGGATCAAGGCCATTGCAATTAATTTACTTTGTTTTGACGACAAGTTAATGATGAAAATAACATTTTGAAAGGATGTTTTTGTCAGAACTTGCTGGAAAGTAACCTCAGTCAGTGGTAAATCTTGATTTATTTGGGAGTTCTCAATTTGCTAATCAGCTTGTATCAGATATTACATGATGCAAGTTTTAGTAATGTAAAGCATAAGTATCAAGTGCTCATTGTCATCACCATGTTATCTGTTCTGGGATTGGTTTCATGCTTATATTTTATTAATTTGGCTTTCAATAGTGCTAGACTTACTGAAAAAAATAAGTTCCTAGCGCAAAAAAGTGACTGATTCTTTATGTATTCAGCATTTCTTGCTTGGCGCCATGAAAAGAGAGCCGTTTACATTTGAACAAGTTGTCCCTACCACAGGAGTAGTGAAATCTTTCAGGATGTTCTTCTCTGGTGCAGCACACAAACTGCCATTACTGGCTCAATGCAGGGAAGTCTGCAGTCAGATCTGTTCAGTATAGCACTTGTGATTCCCATTTTGATTCCCAATCAATACTTTGGGAATTAATCTGCAGTGACTATCTATAGAATCTCTTTGAAGGTTATTGTGTGCTCCCTGAATCCATATTCCCCTGGGTAAAGATGTATGAAAATGGCACCGTAACTTGCTAATAGCATTGATCTTGAAAACTGTCTTCGATGCTTGTCAGATCAATAGGGGGTTATTGACGTGGCAGTGTTTCAGTCTGCTGAAGAATATTGGCTCTGCTATTGATCGATTTCTTTTATTTAATTGACAAATTGATGAAAGTTTTGTTGTGCCTGTTTCTATACCTACGATACAAATAGCCGGAAGCATATTGCAAGATGTAATAGACGCTGAGGAAATTGCCGCTTATCGCTGTTAGGCACACTTTACATTTTCTGATGGACATGTACGGACGGCTGATCAGCTGTTAATGATGAGGACAGCATGTTGGATTTGCTAATGCCTGGATGATCAAGGTGGGGAGGGAGGGGGGGAGGTTGACTCAGGTCAGACTTTGTCATTCTGTCTTTGAAATGGTTCCAAGAGCATGTAATCTTTCTAGTACAGTTGTTATAGTTTCACCTGAAATTCATCTTTGGATTATTGAAGTGGCATTTAGTGCCTGTTAGAATATCTCTGATGTGGTTTCTGTAGTTTGATTAATGGCGGTATCATTTACTTCTTTTCTTAGGCTGATGATTGTGATTGACGTAACAAGTTGTATTTCAGGACCTGAATGCCAGCATGACAAAAACACTCCGAGAGAAGATTGCTGCCAAAAAGGAGCAGCAACGAGAAGAGGTGGAGCTGAAGAAATTTGAACGAGAGAAGAAAAAACAAGAGCAGGAGGAACGTCAAAGAGAAAAGGAGAGGAAGGAGAAAGAACGACAGCAGGAAAAGCTCCGACGTCTCAGCAGTTCAGAGAGTATTGGCCTTGATGGTAATGTTACTATGTGACTGATGTTAAAAGTAAATGTATTATTACGTTTAGTTTGTGTTTGGTTACTATGAGTATGATGTAGATATACACATGTACAAGTAGTGTTTGTGATTGTCTTCACCAAGAGCAAATCAATGTAACTTTGAACTGTATCAATATATGAGAATGCTTTTTCATCAGTTGATTAAATTGCCTGTATTAATGTTGACAGAGGTGTATTGTTGTGTTACAGGTTTAACCATATCAGGGTCAGGCTCCAACTCCACCTCAAACCTTGGCAGTCCTGCTAAAGCTGCTCCGCCAAAATTCACACAACCAGCCATAACTCCCCGCAAAAAGATCAGAACGTGAGAATCTACATATTGACAGTACATAACTGACATGCTACATAGATTCATAAGACCACATTTCTATCCGACTGGTCATAACTCGACTTTATAAAACTTGATATGGAACCTTTGTTTTGTGCTTTCAGTGCAAATGAACCTGTGTCTAGTCAACCGATGTCTGCCACATCCCACTCGCCCACGACCGAGTCCGAGAATCCTGAGGACTGGAAACCGTTCCGTGATGCTGATGGTGCTCTCCGTGAAGCTTTAAGGAAAATAGGCCAGGAGGACTGGTGAGCCCTTTAACACCAATTGGCTTGTGATTCATTTCACTTTGTCAATCATCCATTGTGAAGTAATGTTTTTGGAGTGGATAACGTATCAAAGCTTTGTTCCTACACGGATGTTTGTTCACATCGACATGTGTTGTTGTTGCAGGGAGGTGAAGGTGGAAGCCATTAACATGTTACGCAGATTGACTATTCATCATCCTGAGACCCTCTCCAGCCAGCTACATACAGTCATACTGGCTATCATAGCAGAGGTAGGGCAGTGGGGAGTCAGCAGTGCCTGAAATTGACTCTGAAAGTCAAGGGGACCTTGTAACCCAAGAATTAAGGGTTTAGAAGTACCATGAAAGAGATGAAGTATCCAAAGACTTCTTTTTGAATTGGTCCTCTCGATCATTCTTAATACAGGATTGTTAAAAGATTGATTCCTGATTGAATGTTTTGAAAAACCATGCTCACCTGCAGCAGTTCTCAGCTGTATTGTGACGGGAGTGTCTGTACTGTTGTATGTGGCTGGGTTATTTTGTGTTATCTGGTTAATTTCAGGTGAAGAATCTGAGGTCTCAGGTGTCAAGACTTGCTATCACATGTTTGGCTGAAATGTTCTCCAATCTGAAGAGGCAGATGGACCAGGTTTGTGTCAAGCTCTCATTCTTACTCATATTGATACCTGAATTTGACATGTAGTATTCTCAGGGATATCAATGACAGTTTCAAATCTTCGCACTGCCACAGAATGACAGTAATCTACAATAGCCCTATACCTATGCCCTATAGAGGGCATTAACCCTATAGAAAACTCCAGTGTCTAAAGGCTTAAGAAGCTACCAGATGCGTAACATGTTCAGTTAAATTGTGAACTTAAATGATTGGTAATGTTGATGATATTTTGAAATCAGGATCTGGATAATACAACAAAATGCCTGCTGGCCAAATCTGGCGAGAGTAACAACTTCATCCGCACAGATGTTGACAGGGCTCTGAAAGCCATGGTGGAGAATGTTACAGCAACACGAGCTCTCCTGGCTATCATCATGGGTGGATCTTCGTGAGTTCTTCGTCTTTGATTGGCAGTGTTGATAGCACCAAAACTGACAATGGTTAATTGAAATTGATTATTCAGCTATTTCTTGATGAATAAGTAATGTGATCAATACCTAGTTATCAGCATTGTCAGTAGTTGGGTAGGATAGAAGGTTTGTTTTAGGATCAATTGAAGGTGTCATGAAAACCACAGCTGTTTCGCCTGAAGCTATTTGTTCAAAGTTGGGAGAGTATTGTGTATTTTGTATACTCTCCATGTCTACTGGTTGGAATTGTGTTGACACACCTTCTATTCACAGTGTTGTTAGGCATTCCTTACACACGGTCCTCAGGAGAAAGTGAAATGATGGTTAAGATGTGATAATATGTGTTACAGTCACAAGAACAATGCTGTTAGACGCACAACAGCTCAGTGCCTTGTGGTTCTTGTGGAGAAGATGGGACCTGGGAAGATCCTCAGTGGTGTCAAGGACATCACAGACAGAGTTCTGCCGACAGCTGCTCAGTTTGCTTTGGACAGCTCTCAGGAAACAAGGTAGGATGTCAGTGTTGTCAGAACTCGTTTAAAACAGCATAAAACAAGGTACTGATGCTTGACGTTGATGGGGGGATAAGACTAGAATGGCCTAGTGTCTGTGTACTGTGTCTGAGGGGTATTTACATGTTAAACTGTAGCATGTTATCTAAGTGGCCATGCATAATAAGACTGGAAGTGTCTTGATGAGTACAAGTAGCCACATACATGCATTCACATGGCTAGAGGATAGTGCAATAATCTTAACTGTGATGGTAAATCTTGTTTCACCTCACCACTTCTATAGCAAGTTCTGATTTATCCAATTAAGGGATCTTATACTCACTTCAAACCAGATTCCCTATTCACACTAAGCGTGATGAGTTTGATGGTATTTTAGAAGTTGACCATGTGTCTAACAAGGAGGAATTACACTTTGAATAGGTCACTTTGAAACTGATTTTGTTGGATATTATGACTTCAAAACTGAATGTGCCTGATCTCCAGGTATTATGGCAAAAAGATCCTGTATCAACTCATGTCTCACCAAGACTTTGACAAGATGCTTACCAAGTACCTGCCTGCCAACACACTCCGCAGTGTGCAAGATGTTGTGGACACTCTACGACAGAAGGTATGTATCTCTGTTGTCTGTAGAGATTACAACAAGGATAGAAACAAGCACCAGCCCACTCTCGAGTTGGACCAACTTGTTCATGGAGGGCTCTGCCTGCATAGAGGATGGTATTTAGCCCCAAGTCACATGCATGTATACACATACAGATTTCTTTGTTTTTCAATTCAGTTTTAATGCTCAGTATTACATTTTTGCATTGAAAACAATCTTAATCTGAATCCAAAGTTCAACCAAGTTTTGCCCTATTGGTTGCCAGGGCATGTAGTTTAATCCTGATTCAATTTCTCACTGATTCTGTATGGGTTTGGGGGAAACTGCTTACATTATTAGTTCCAACACACGTTTCTGTATGGTTATGTTGCCCCAAGGCTGTCCCAAGTTCCCTATCCATGTCTAGAGACTGACTACTGAGGATAAGGTGGCTACACTGTTGTGGGTGACTGTGTTGTTGTAACCAGATAGCATGGAGGGGTTGGTTTGATGGGTACTGATTTGTTCCATGGTGGGATGTTGCAATACAGTTACAGAGCTTTTTTAATGCTCATCACTTTGTTCATGTCTTCTAGGGTTTGGGTGAAGTACCCCATGTAACGTCTTCAGCAAGGTCGGGTCAAGGCAGCCGATCCAGGTCATCTGTTCGTGGCGGGTCAGCTAGCAGGTATGGTAGTCAACTGGGTCGATACTCTACCAGCATGTCTCTGGCGTCTCGGAGCATGTCGACTCTCACCACCATATCCAGGTGAGAGTGGTGATGTGTGCTGGCGTGCTGTGACATACATAACAGTACCACCAGTCCTTGGATCACTACCAGCACATATACCTGCACATATACCTGCACATATACCTGCACTGGTGGGAGTCTGTCTGTTAGTGGACATGGGGAGGGGTCTCTGCTTTTACGTGTTATCCTGACATTTGCTTTGTTGCTACATTTGTTTCACAAGACATACACTTTCGGGAATCTTCTTGTTTGTCCATTATGAAAATATGCACTGAGACATTGTTTTAAGAAACATTCTAAAACCCATTGAGCACATGAGTGGAGTAACAAAACTGTGATGCAGGGCTGTTGTGTGACTGACAGTACAGCACAGTCTGACCCTGCACAGTCTCACCATTAACCATTAACGTTGTTGAACTTACTTATTTTTCCTTATCCTGACTCATGCTAGTTATGCTTGTCTCCTTCTTCTTGCGAATGATAGTGGAACACTTGAAATCCCTTGAAGTTCCTGTTAAAAAAGCGGATGTAAAATCACTCACCCAAGAGTAACGTCCCTTTCCTCCCTTTGGCGCCCAAATGGTCACATGATCTGCCATATTTGTCACTCTCTCCTACTTCGCCCTTGAGGACGGTTGTGAGAGCACCTGGGTCCCTATACGGCACATATCCATTTATATTTTCGGACCTTACATCAAAATTATTGCTGTATACGGTTTTTAGGATTATATTCTACATTATGGTTTGAAATTTGTTCTAAATTTTCCGTCGTTTGACATGTGTTTTCTTCATGTTTACAATTGATGAAAACTTGTATTCATTGTAGGTACCAAGTGTCTACGGCTGACCCGCATTTATTATGTCCTAATTGCACTGTTTCATGTTCTTTCAGCTCTCGCTGTGAGTACTGTGTAAATTTAAATTCGGTTGAATTTACTAATTACCTTTTTTCCATCCATAGACGTGCTAAGGACTGGGTACGTAGGTATTCACAAGTTATGTCTCAATCGAGTAATTGCGCTGATCACCGTGTGTTAACCACTGCTGCAGATATTCAAAATTGGAGTGAATTACTGAACATTTCTCAGGAGCAGGTCGATGTACCAGAGGTGAACGCTGGAGGCCATAAGAGATCCTCTACTGAGCTGACCTCATCGCTGATAAAGAAGGCCAAATCTTCAGCTTCACAGAAAAAATGGCTGCTACTATGAAGACTTCAGCAAAGTCTAAGATCAGCTCTACTCAGAAGACGAGGTCCTTCTCAGCCGAGATTGTTCCTCCGGAAGAAGCAGATGTTTATGATGATCCACCCATTCTCATACCTGAAGTCACCATCGTCAGTAAAAAGACGAAGCCTGCTTCTATAGCTACATCGGCATTGGTATCAGCGCAGACATTGACAGAAGACCTATCAACGCAGACATCGGGTACCAGAGATAGCAGCAGCGTCAACTCTTCATGAGGGCAGCGAGCCTTAGATGACGTCTCTTCAGTATCAGATGCATCATCCCTGCAGTAGTCTCTTCAGACAATGCGGAACTTCAACCCGGGACTGTTCATGCAACAGTTTACAGACCAGATGATGTCGATGATGGAATGTCGCCTTAAGAGAAGGCTGCGTGAAGGCTCTACAGTCTCCCCAGCACATCTAGATGAAGAGGGAAGCCTGCGCGAAGGCTCTCGGAAACGCCGATCTTCCCGATCTGAATTAGACGCTCCAGAGAGTGTTGCTAAAAAGTCTCCACGCAGGAAGGAATCAAGACGTTCTCCCGAACCCTACAGACGTCGCAGATATGAGTCGGCATCCGCATCGGCATCGGACTCTGACGCCCATCAAGAGCCTGCACGAAGACACTCCTACAGAGGGGAAACTACATCCAGGAATCCACCTTCGCGAAGATCTAGAGAAATATCTCAAATCTCCAGGAAAGATTCAAGATCACATCGGGATCGTTCGCCTCCGCGAAGCTTATCTTATAAAGCTTATCGCCCAACCCAAGCTCCTAGAGGTAACCCCGGAAGAGGCCGAGCACCCAGGGGTGCAAGAGGAAGCAAGCATTGAAGGCCAGGTTCGGAACGACTGGAGTCTTCCACCCCCAGCCGTTACTGTACAACCTTCAACAGTGGGTGGACGTCTTCAACGGTACTGGGAGAATTGGGGGATACTACAGGACGACTACGTATCCCAGATACTGCGCAGAGGATACAAGATACAGTTGGAAGCCACTCCGCCGCTCACAAGCAACCCGATGGCCTTCAACTACGCAGCGGACCAGATAGAGAAACTGGACGATGCTATCAAGACCCTACTCAACAAAGAGGCAGTAGAAGAGATAGATCAAGATCTCATCACCCCCGGGTTCTACTCCCCAATTTTCCTGGTACCGAAGAAGAATTCCAAGGAGAAATTTCGGCTTCCGCAGACCAGCAAAATTCAAGATGATACATCTTCCTCAGCTCCGAAATCTCGTTTGTCCAGCAGACTACCTCGCCAGCATAGATCTGCAAGATGCGTACCTCCACATCCCGATACATCCAGATTCAAGGAAATACCTACGTTTCCTTTTCAACGGACAGCACTTCCAGTGGAAGGTTCTACCATTTGGAATATCATCGGCCCCCTGGTTCTTTACTCGAGTGACCAAGCCAATCGTCACATATCTACATCGTCGAGGTCTACGCAGTGCTTTCTACCTGGACGACAGGATTCAAGCTCATCAAGATCCCAGTCAACTCAGACTGCAACTAGACTTCACCATCAAGCTGCTCACTCAACTAGAATGGCTAGTGAATCTCCTCAAGTCGGAACTGGAGCCGAAACAAGATCTGCAGTTCCTAGGAATTCGATTTATCACGCCGGTGAATCGTATAGTCGCTCCAGAGGATCGTTGGGTCAAATTACAACATATGATATCCAAAGCATTGCTCTCTCCGTTGACACTATGTGCTTGGCAAAGCATGCATGGTCTACTTACCTCAGCTCAAGACATGACTCGCAGAGGAAGATTACAGTTGCGCCCACTACAAGTATTCGTGAACGCCCACCTAGACAGCCTAGATCCGTTAATACTACCGGACAGCCTGAAACCATATCTCCTATGCCACGTGGACGTCAGAGCTGGTTTGCAACACTCATCTCTACGTGGATGCCTCCCTACAAGGATGGGGTGCGCACTTCAACAACGAAGTGGCAGCAGGGAAGTGGTCGAGTCATGATCAGAAATCACACATCAATCTGTTGGAGATGAAAGCAGTAATCAACGCTTTACAACATTGGTCCAGCATACTAAAGAACGCACGACTCATGGTACACACGGACAACTCCACAGTGGCGTTTTACATCAACAAACAAGGGTCAACAAGATCAACAAGTCTGCTACAACTCCGCTTTCTCTTGTTCAGCATAGTCGACGACCTGAACGTCTACATGAAGGCATGCCACATTCTGGGAGCAAAGAATGTCATAGCAGATGCCCTATCTCATCCACTACAACCATCCCCAACAGAATGGATGTTGCATCAAGAAGCATTCCAGTTCATCAGACAGACTGCAAACAAAGTGCAACAAACAGCTACCAACATTCGTCTCACCGATTCCAGATCCTCAGGCATGGGCAACAACAGATGCTCTAAGCATCTCATGGGAAGGACTAAACGCTCACGCGTTTCCGCCTTCTGCACTACTACCACAAGTACTACAGAAAATCAAGCAGACGACTACGTTGCAACTGATTTTGGTTGCGCCCTACTGGCCAGTGAGGGTATGGTTTCCCATCCTCATACAAGAACTCGGAAGTCCAACCCTGAAACTACCAGAGTGGTCGAACCTACTCATCCATCCTCACACCAAGCAAGCTCAGGGGAACCCGACACTGTTCCAGCTACACGCGTGGAGTGTATTAAAGCTTGCCTGAAGGCTAGGGGTACTCCGCCAGAGCAGCGAAAGCAGTTACACTAGCTCTATGCAGATCAACGTGCAACTTGTACGACGACAAGGGGCAGAGATTTGAACATTATGCAAAGAGGAAAGGCTTTACAACGGTGAAAGCAACACATTCTCAAGTGGTGGAATACTTATGTCATCTACGACAGACGAGACACTTAAAAGGTTCAACACTTTCAACGTACTTAGCGGCCCTCAGTACAATTATCACCATGAAAACGGGTATCAAGCTGACCAAAGTACCAGAGATTCTGGCACTACTACGCTCATTCAAGTTGGAAGACCAACAAAAGAAATTTAAGGCTCCTGCCTGGGATCTCAACGTTGTTTTACAACATCTCACCAGTGATGGCTACAACGGACATCTTTTGAGCTACTAACTCAGAAAACGCTGTTCCTGATCGCCCTAGCAACGGCTGCAAGGATGTCTGAAATACATGTTCTGGACTTTGAACAAACACGATTTGAATCAAGACATCGTGTACATCTGGGACTGAGATGGGATTTTATCACCAAGAACCAACTGCCTGGTCAGCCTGACAGACAGTTCCACATCACAGCACTATCTACAGTAAATCTCACCCCTTTTATCACGTGACTTGTGAAAACCAACGCTCTGGAGAGCAATGGCTATAAGTCCATGCACACGTCTAAGACAGACTAGCATGAGTGATAGACTCTGTACTTGTATAGGACATACTCATACATGAAGAAGGGTCGCATCTCCGCCTGATGCGGGCATCAAGAGATGGAGTTGTATTAGATAACTAATGGTATATTAGTATATCTAAAATCCACACGAAAATGTCAGGAGAATATTCGGAGAAATCTGACAAGTTGTGGTCCCCCCAGACTCATCAGAGAAGCTGAAAGAATCTTTCAGTGCCGTCATAAGTTCCCAAGGGGGATAATACAGGACGTAAATCTATACCAAGTGAATCCAGAACGTGGCTTGACCCACCACCGTTTCCGATGGATTCTGCCAGCATAATTAGCATGAGTCAGGATAAGGAAATCCGGGTGTCGGGCTTACATACGGAGAGAGTGACAAATATGGCCGATCATGTGACCATTTGGGCGCCAAAGGGAGGAAAAGGACGTTACTCTTGGGTGAGTGATTTTACGTCCGCTTTTTTAAAGGGAACTTCAAGGGATTTCAAGTGTTCCACTATCATTCGCAAGAGTAAGGAGACAAGCATAATTAGCATGAGTCAGGATAAGTATAAAATATCAATTTTAGTCAGGAAATTACATGTTGTTGGAACACATTATGAAGCTAGTTGTGAATTATCTCTCAAGTTTTAAAATCTGTTGAATTCATCAATGTCATGTTAATTGTGTGTCTTAAAATCTCCTTATTTAATGATTATCAGAAGAAAATCTTTCCTTCAAGATGGTGGGCATTATGAGCTCTTGTGTGATAAATGTTCTAAGTTAAATGTGTAAACTTCATCAATATTTGAATATCTAACGTCTTTTTTTCTTCAATATTGCCAGTTCTGCCGAAAGTGTGAACACCCCCCAGCCAAAACGAAAGTCAGTGCGCACTGATGAGGCCACTTTGGACGACATCCGGGAGATGATCAGCCATCTGGGTTCCAATGACTGGAAGACGAGGCTTGATGGCATCACACAGTTCCAACAGATGGCAGAATCAAACCCTAATGCTGTGTCAGCACAGCATGTAAAAGTAGGCTTGTGAACTGGCAGCACTAAAGAGAAGAGGGGACCATATCATGGGCTCCCCATAGATACTGGAGTATCCATATAGATAACATGTCACATGCCTTCATCCATTTTCTGTCATGAGCTTTCTCACACGAGGAACATATCTAACATAATGATATCAGCCCTTGTACCAGAAACAGTTACAAACATGTTACATGTTTTGAGGAAATTCACTGAAGCAATATATTGTTTGCAAAAGACACTCTGTTATTGTGTTTTCTTTCTTGTAGATATTTGACAAGTTCCTGCCACGCCTGCAAGACTCCAACAGCAAGGTGAATCTACATGCGCTGCAAGTGATGCTGCTAGTCATCCCTATACTCAAGGACTGCATGCTCAGCGGCATCCTCAACATGGTCATTGGCAACGTCGCTCCTAACCTTTCTTCCAAAAATCGAGTTATCTACACAACAACGACTGACATCCTGGAGTGCTTTATTGAACACATGGGTAGGTAGTCCTGGAGTGTTTGTGCAGACCTGGGCACTATTGTTTCTGGGACTACATGAAACATTACTTGATGTTCACCATGTAGGCTTGTCCCTGTGTTTCATCTCGCTCACTCTGCTGCTGCTGCTGCAGCTAGTTCAGGAAAATGTTCAATATCATGCAATTTTAGAGAACAAATGTAACTTTATTGCCACACAAAGTGTTCTTAAGGGATTAAAATCCATACATGTGATTCACAGAAGCCAACAATCCTCCTTGCTGATATTTCTAAACATTATCATAGGTGGCTTCAGAAGTTCATCATCATCTAGAATTATTCATCATATGTATATGATACGTTTTGGTGCAACGTAGAGGTCAGAAGCTCACAGCGCCAACATTCAAACAGCTACATCCTACTGTATTCTACTGTTTGCTGTAATGTTGTTGGCATGTATTCATGGTGTACCCATTTTGTATGTTATTCACACTGTGTATGTTACAGATTCATCCTTGTTAATCCAACCATTCGCCAACCAGGCCCAGGCAGTCAGTGCTAGGAGCAAACCAGACATGGTCCTCAAAGTTGCATGTAAGTTTCCAGTAAACCCTCATATCTTGTTATCTTGTACATGTTTATGTCAGTGTAGTTAGTAAGTACTTCGCAAATGTGGAAAAGAGAGGATCTTTGAACTGATTCTTTGTCACATATTGCATTTCTGCTAATTATTCTAGATGTTGAGTGGAAACAAATTTTCAAACCTGCGTTTCAGGTTCCTGGCCTCATAATACCTCACCCAAACACAACCTATTCACAGTGGACCCTTCCATATGCCTGAAGCATGTGCAGCTTGCAGTTCATAACTAATTTTATAATATTTCATAACTGATATTTTGAGACAAAATAGCAACTCCTGCCTTTCTGGCCGTTTTTGTGACTATCTGCAAACACCTAAATGAACTCTTGGGACTTCTTCTCACATGGTTGCTTATGTAATGCTGATGCTATTTAATACACATCAGACATGCAGTAGGATTGAACACCTTTAATGGTCTCTTGAGTATATTTTTAGATACAAAACACAGGTGAAATTTTTTCCTGAAGGATTCTGTGACCGAAGTACAGTAAACCTCCCTGTGTTTATTGGTTACAGGTTTATATACAATCCCAAAGGGATCTGTATGTCCAAGTACAAGAAGTTTTAAATGAGGAAATGTGAACTCTTTTTCCCTCTTTTGGTATAGTATGAGTTCGTGGACTCCATGTATGTCACAAGGTTGTAAATGTATACAAATTGGCAAACACCTCTGAGCTGTGGGATAAATGCAATTATTACTCACCCGTTAAAGATATTTTACTATGTTATTACACGTGTAATAACATCGCGTGATGCCAGTAGGTATGACGTCAAAATGGTTTACAGTAATGACGTCACAATGCTAATACCTCTGTCACAATAGTATTAGACCTTGCTTGACTCGTGGAAAGCTGAGAGTCATCATACTATTAGGAAAGAATTACATTGCTCGATATTATTTTGCTAATGTTGGGTAAGTAATAAATAAAATACTAAACGATATCCCGTGTAATACCATATTTATGAAACTTGTGAATGGTATTGGTATCTAACTCGCTTTCGCTAACACGTTAGATACCAAACCATTCACTCATTTCATAAATATGGTATTACACGGGACATCGTTTAGTATTCTCTATTAATGTGAGATAGAACAAATTATTGAAAAGTGATGAATTTCTACTAAATTTGATTTATAAGACTTACTCAATCTCAGAAGGTTCACATCAAGCAGGCTGACCCCGCCTTAGCTTGTTAACCTTTTGCACATAGAAGAGAATGAGCAGATCGGAAAAGGCACAGGGCTCAGCAAGAGTGTACTGCATATTCTTGTGGATGGGTCCAGAACGAATGGGTCGTGTTTTGGTGAGATGTTGAGGCCAGGAACATGAAAGACACTTGTTCTTAATTTCATATTGGCTCTGCTTTATTTGAAGTAAAATCACCCGTGATGGTCCGGGTTAGAATGTGCCTTCAGTAACCCATGCTTATCTTAAGAGGCGACTAACGGGATCAGGTGGTCAGGCTCGCTGACTTGGTTGACACATGTTATCGGTTCCCAATTGCGCAGATCGATGCTTATGCTGTTGATCACTGGATTGTTGATTATTTACAGACCACCGCCATATAGCTGGAATATTGCTGAGTGCAGCGTAAAACTAAACTCACTCACTCACTCATTGAAGTAAAATCAGTTATATGAATTTTATTGTTTAAATTCATAATTCTATCCAGTTAGAGCAAGATATCTTGTGTCATAACATGAATTTCCTATCAGTGGGATCAATTCTGTCCTGTAGTGCTCAGTATTTATGTTCATTCTGGATAGACTGCTATGTTGTTTACGCTGTGACATGTTGTTTCCACAGACCTTGTTGACAAAGTTTACTCTAAGAAGCAGAAACAGGTGATCCTCCACGTTCTGCCTCTACTGTGGCATCTCCTGGGCGCCCAGAACAGCAGTGGTGCCCTGCATGGCGGCAGCAGTGACTTGCGCCACGCCGTGTCCTCCCTAGTGTCTGTCCTGTATAAACACATGGGCCAGAGTCTCGTGGAGAAAGCCAGCTCTGACCCCAACGTCAGCACACGCCATCTCAAACTGCTGCAGGAACTTATTGATCAGTCATAACGCCAACATCAGCATCAGACATTACCATGTAGTTTTGGAGGTCATTGATCAGTCAGGATTCCTTGAGCACCAGACAAGTTTATGTGTTGGGGCTGATTGACCAGGAGGATTATGTACATTGTCAGTTACATCATACCAAAGGAAAATTGTTGTGTTGCACTGGATACTCAGCTTACTAATTGTGAGAACCTATGGGAAAACATGTTATATTTTCAGGTGATCATATGTTAATACCCGAAGTTGTTGACAAGATATAATATTAAAGGAGGACTGAAGTTGGAATTCCGCATAATCTTCATTGTTTTAAATGTTTTTCATATAATATTTTGGCAATACAATTTTTGTTTGGAATTTTGGGAGAGAAGTTGAAATTAGAAACTTGTGAAGGCAGTGGAGGACTGATGTTAGAAGCAGGAGTTGCATTGTTCCTTGTCTGTCCAGGGAGAGTGTACAATCAGCTGCACTGTGCCAGAAGGCAGGTGCCCTTCAGTTCTGGGCCCACTTGCACAAAGCGATCTTAGCGCTACAATGATTGTAACTCCCATTCTCCAACATAGGCTTAAGAGTTCTAAGATGGCAGTGGGCCCTGGCATGGGAGAACAACTTGGATTTAGCAGTGTGAATATTCCTCAGGAGTATCTTGTCAGTGATGCAAGACAGCTGTACTTTTTGCTGCCTGTGTGTTTAGCTTCTACACATATTGTGTATGTGAATTATTTGCACGTTCTTGAAAAGAAATACCTGTTTTTTTATAGAAATTCTCTTTGTCAGTTTCTCTGAGTAGAGTAGGCACCTGTACCTTTCAGTACAGAAGATATTGATTTATCTTTGTGTCAATATATTGCAATCAGATCCACTATCATCCTGGTTTTCCTAATCTTTTGTCAGTGTAGATATGGTGTATAAATATCAATTGAAGTCAGGTACATTTCCCGAAACCAGTGATCTATCTGTACATATCTGGATAATATTGCATGGTGTTTGTTTCAGGTCTTTGTGTATATTTCCAATCATGGTGCATATTTCACTATTTAACAATCTCGTCACCACAGATCTGCTCAGGTCTTGTATATGTTTATTTTAGTCTATTTATTATCATCATTGGTCTCAGCAGTGATTACCTATGCATTCTCTGGTTATGCCTTGTTTATGATTACAAACATACAAAGTGCTCATGCATTTTCTATCTTAAATGATAATATTGATTAGGTATGATCATTTTCACTAGATATTTTATGTTGTATGTCTTACTTTGTTTACACTAGTTCTGCAGGTTTATGTGTCTTTTTAATCTTTTAAATCTTTCAAATCTGTCATTTCCAGATAGGCATTACCAGAGAATACATTATTAATTATAATTTACCTCAAGGTTTCCCAGTAACTAAAGTTGAGAGAGAAATGTGAGTTGATTTGGCAACATGGTTGTAAATGAAAGCAATCTTGGTACCTTTTGGTATGTTATAGTTGTCACTGACCATTGTGTCTCATGTTTTAGCATTTTAAATGCCCCTAACTGTGATATGTTGAATCTATGTCATCTCCATTCCAGTCTGTGATCGCCCCTCCGTCCAGGTCAACATGCCGTGACCCTGCTTGTTATAGATATCACACCTACTGTTACCATGCTCACGTGACTCCCAGTTGTCACCTGCTGATGGAATACTCCGGGACCATCTGTTACATTATTTGAAGGTTGTAGAGATTTGTCAGGTCACATGAAGATTATTTTTGTGATATGGAAATTTATAGAAATATGAAAACCTCCAGAAAGAGTCATACATCTGTTGTTTGGTTATTTCATAGGATTGTTTGAAAACAGTATGATAACAGAGGATGATTAGGGTTGATATCAGTGATACCCTAAATATGAACACCATATCAGTACCATGTGACTTGTTCATGAAAATCTGATTTTATTTCCAACTTTATCACTGTTATGATTTTTGCCTTTTCCTTGATGGTGATTATTATTGCTAAGGTGATACTCATGTCCCTCATTGTATTCCAAGGCTGTGTGAAGCATGTTAACGGTTGGTATGAATTGAAGGCATGATTTAGTCATTTTACTGATCCCCTCTAGCCTGGCTCTTCTAGGCTTCGAGTTGTATATTTACTTGTGACGCTTCTCAACTGTTTAGTGAAGAGATTTGTACAGAACATTATGTACTTGTATATATTCTACATAGTGACTGACAATATCTATGGTTGTAGATAGTTTAACTGTATATAGTGGGACTGAGTTGTGCATAGATACAATACTGGATTAACCAGCGTATCTACCATGCCCTCATTCATCAGTATTGACAACATTGACGGCTTGAATATATATTTTAAGTACCCAAATATGTACAGAACTATATATATTTATCGTTACAGCTTGCTGTTTGTTATATGGTGTGTCATGTTAAGCCTGTATATAACCATTGTCAGTAAGCCTCCATTGTGATATAGGAAGTTAGTGTGATGCTATACAGTATGTACATCACACAAAGTGTACAATTATATATTTCTTCTGAATTGGTATTTCAAATTATATGCCTTTTCATATGATTTATGAACTTGTCATTTGAAATTCTGTGTTCAAATTGTCACTCTTTTGATTTCGGAATACACATTGTACTTAAGGTTTGTACATGATTAATATTTCTGCATTTAATCAGTCATGTTTGTTTCCATTTCTGAATAGTTGATCTATCAGTAGTGTTTGACAAATTATTATTCTCTCTAGTTTTTGATGATTGTTTGCATTTTCAAAAACATTCTTGTCACATTTAGTTCCTTGTACACTTCCATATTTCCCTGTACTTGTGGGGAAGTTGGCCACAGTTTGTTGGTAAAGGATGGAGTGCCTGGTTTGCATACTCTATAGATGCATATCTCATTACTTCTCACACAAGTGCTTGTTAAATATTTTTGTTTCCATGGAAAGAATGACTAGTAAGCATTCTCTAGATTCACTGTTGATATTTGTGTATAGACACAAACTATTTATTGCAAGATTGCACTTATGATCACTTAAAGCAAATGACATTATTGAAGTTGAAAGCTAACCCTCCGTCCAGATGTGTATGAGAACTGCAGGTTGTGTTTTTGTACAGTTCTCTCACCAGATAGCAGTGTGAGCCAATCACTAATATAGGAGTGTCCATAGCGATGTTCACGAGTTACACCTATATACATGTACCAGCATTGCCTTTCAGTGTTATATACTGCAGCTGATTTCATCCGTCCCAGATACTTACACAAGTGTGCGGCCACAGGTCTATCAAGTGATTAAAGTTGTGATATTTTTATTGTTTGTGTCACTCGTACATTCTTGTCTCCCACAACGAAATGTAGCACCACTCACTCTGTGGCATGGGTTTCATAGTTGGGAATATTACATATACTTGATGATTATCTTCAGCCAAAAGATGCTTATATGGAATTTGAAAATATTCATGTATATGTTTATCTTAATAGCAATCAATACTGGACACTTGATTAAGCAAGCATTATGTTCATTTGATATAATCTTCTTGAGTGATGTATCCACATATCACATACTACACACAAAGGCTGAAGCTGTTCAGGCAAACTCAGGACAGCCAGCACAGAATAGACAAATCACCAGTGTTCAAAATTAAGTGAGTTCAAGGGTTCATGTCACTAGGCAAATGCAGGGGTCCCTCAATTGGAGTGTTATTGGAACAAAGCACAGAACATCCTTTAATTTTACAGCAAATACAACCTAGGTTTCAAGTGAATAAATTATATACCTCTCACACCAGCAGACGAGTGAACTGCAGTATTTGGGTTCAGCATTCAAGTTTCTGGTCAAAGCATCTGACAATAAACCTTGGGCCGGTTCACTCTGTTTAAGATTTGATAGACATTGGAATAATATTCATTTTAGAAATAAGTGACCAGGAATTGTCGTCTGGTTTGTCAGTCTTAGTGTTGGCTGCCTAGTGTGGTGTATTCATTCACTATGTACTATATATTTAGTATGATAATCAAACAAAGTCATAAGACATGTTTTAATCATGTATTCAAATAATTTTGGTAAATAATGCTGACTTAGCAGTATCAGTACTCAATCTTGTTAATTTGATGGATAGTTGAACACAATATGTAACATCAATTGCTGCATGCTGTTTTAATGGAAAGGTTATGTAGTACACAGGATTTGGTAATATACATGTACACCCTTATTCCACCATTGAACTGTTCTGAACACATGTCACCACACATGTCAAGTGGTGACGTTAGATCCTTTGGCTTCTGGTTTGGTGTGTATTTCTAATCTGTCAATGTGGTCATTTACTGTTGTGTATAAACTCTCTGTATGCAAACACAGAGAACATGAATACATGCCAACATTTGACCAATAGGCTTGCTCAATTTGACTTAATCAGCTTCTTGTGATCATAACATTGATGGAAATAAATGATAAACATGACATGTATGGTTGTTTTTGATGGGATTGGTTGTTAAGGCACCATATTGAAACTGAAGATGTTGCAAGATTTAAGACATTTGTACTTCTTCATACTAGAGATTGGTGTGCAATTGCATGTTCCTTTGCCAGAAATGCTTATTGCGGGACATATTCAGCAGTTTTGTTGATACACTGTCCAGTATGTTCACAAGTGGTGGAAGTGGAGAGGGAAGTGAAGTTAGATATTGGATGGGTGAATACACAATGCCTTTCAGAAAGTGCTCAAATGCAACATGTTATATTTGTGATCAGTTTCTCAGTAAAGTACAGTTTCTAGTGCTTTCTTCTAGAAATGGTGACAAAGTCAGCAAAGCTGTTGGAGCTCTGTTTTGAAGAAATTGGTTTTCAGTGGTTCTTCAGGTGTCATAACTCCTCTGCTGAATGTCAACCTGACTGAAGACCCGTGATGAGGTCACCATCTGACATGCAGTGTGTACTCCTGACATTCAAGTCAATCTTGCCATTTGCATCTCAGAAGTTTATTTTTCACAGCAGCAGGTCTGATGGAAGGATCATTTCAAAATTCAAAGCTGCAAAATGGTGGATTAATTACATCAAAAACTTCACAAAATAGTTTTATTCAATAAACAGTTCAACTGCTGGCTACAGACCCCACACTTTACTAGGACCTCAAGTGTGATGTCTACTCAGTGGTGCTGGGGAAATCGACCAAGAGAATCTTTTGGACTGATTCTGAATACTGAGGTTACAAAAAGCTTTCCATTTCCTAAATCCATTGAAAATGCAACTTGCGAAGGTGTTCTAATCTCACTCTATTGCAGCTGTATCCCACAGCAAAGGTCAAGATCAAAAACAGACTTGCTCTCAGCTTTTAGAACAGTATTTTTAAGGCATTTCATTTTTTCGTAAAGATATCTAAAATACCAAACAATGCATCCAACTAAATATATTTCATACCTCCTGCTGTAAAATAGCATCAATATCACAAAAAAGAAACTGTTTAAAATGAACAACAAAACAACGCAAAGGAAACAAATAAATAATATCTTATCTTTTGACCTTGAAAACAGTTCAGCTTAAAAGCATAACTTGTCATTTCAGTATTTAAAAATGGAAAGAGCCAATAAATAGATAAATATATTAGATGTTCTGACCATTTGAAACTAATGAAGACATATCTATTCATGATGGAACCACTGTTCATGTATGTAGGTTTCTTCAATAATCTTCAGAAGATATTTTCTAATCTGCTAAAGCTGTGAGGTTCACAACTGACACTGTATAACAAAACAATAACTAACCTGACAAATAATTCAGACAATGTCTGCTGCAAGGTTCTCTTCCTAGTCCTGTGTACACAGCAACATGAAACCTATTTCATGAATACTAGTATCAGGCCAAAGGCTATGAATTACAAAGAGACAGACCATCCCCATAAAGTATGCAATGTACTGACAAGAATCAGGCAAGTTTTCAAGTGAATCAAACATAGTAAATCTTGTCTAATATAACCATTTGTTGCGTTTCGCATGGTTTACAGATTTGTTTGTACGGTAGGTATTCACTAGTTTGGCAGCCTTCTGCTTGTTGCACAGACATATCTGAATATGTTAAACCAGATGACTGACAGAATATCATAAAACACTCTACAGCCATGAATAAAATGTAGCAGCAGGTGGAAGGAATATGACATTGTGTATCCCAGTGCATTTTCAGGACAACCCCCAAATAGAACAAGTGAGTGAGTGAGTAAGTTTAGTTTTATGCCACACTCAGCGATATTCCAGCTATATGGCGGCGATCTGTAAATAATCCAGTCTGGACCAGACAATCCAGTGATCAACAGCATGTGCATCAATCTATGCAATTGGGATATGATGACATGTCAACCGAGTAGTGAGCCTGACCACCCAATCCCGTTAGTCGCCTCTTATGACAAGCATGGGTTGCTACAAACAAAACAAAAAGCTGAGATCACTGGACAGCAACTATGGAAGCTACTCACACCTAAAACCTGAACTTGTCTGCCATTTGCAAATATTATTGGCAATGGAGACAAATGAACAAAGCAGAGCAGTTCATCAAAACATTGATTCTGAAGAGGTATAAAATGAGCCCAGGATTGATTAACTTATAACACAAAGTTTGAACACAGTGATGGGACAACAGCTGATCCCAGAATTTAAATATTATTTTTCAAAACCTATTTTAGAAAGTGAAGCCACTTCCAGTGTACCATTTTCTGATATCCTTCTGAGTCTTGTCTGGTGCACAGGCCCTCGTGTCTTTGCGAGGATTAAAGATTTATGAAAAATATATAAAAATTTGAGATGACCCCCAGACTTGAAATGCTTCACAGTACAATACATTATGACAAGGCCGGACACTTAGGTGCAAAATCGGGTTTCAATCAACTTGCAGAAATAACAATAAAGAATTGGTAGGTGTCATGAGTGGTGCTCGATAGGCCAATCATCCATGATTATGTTTACATTAAGTTCTAATCGATTGCATGCGATGGTAGCGTAGCGATTGGCAAAGCAGGCGGGGTAGGGTGCACCGAAGTGTCCGGCCTTGTCATAATGTATTGTACTGTGAAGCATTTCGAGTCGGGGGTCATCTCAAAAACAATATTTTATTAATCTTTAATCTTCGCAAAGACACGAGGGCCTGTGGTCTGTTGTGGATCATCCCACACAGACTAGATGGTAACAACACATATAGAGTGAGTCGCCATACTGGGTTCAGATTGCAACATGTCACCTCATAGAAAGTCTAACATATGAGGATACCTTGCAACAAGTCAGCTCTAGGTAACTAGGTAAATCCAAGGTACTCATTCAGCCTGTCGTTCATGTTCTCGATCCAAGCCACAAAACCAGTCTGATCATTCCTGACTTCATCCTGCTCTGTGTTCACCTCCTCGGACTGCCCGTCATCAAACATGGTAAAGTATGTCTCAATGAACCCACGACACATTGGACATCGGTCGATCTTCTTGAAGCACATACTACATGCACATGCGTGACGACAAGGCAGGATCACGTGGGAGATTGGGTTCATTTGGCAAACTACACATTCATGGCCGATGTCCTCATCCATGGCCGATGTTGAAGACGTTACTGTGGTGTGATCATTCTTGATCGGTTCTGTCAACAATTCCGCATTAAGTCTGGGTTCAATATTGGAGCCATTTCCTGATTGCCACTGCCTGACGTGAGTTTTGGCAGATTCCATGTCCCCATCACTGGAACTAGACACAAGCACTGACTGCACCTCTGTACTACTAGTGTAACAACTACAAATAGGTTTATTTCCACAAGGTCTCAAGTGGTCACATTTATCACAGAGTCTTGTCTCTTCTTCATGGACAGACCCATCCAAACTTTCAGACATCCCTGTCTCACAACTTGCACATGGCTCCACTGAAGGGGTAGGTCCTGTGTCTCCTTGTGAACTGGATACCCGCTCCTTATCTGAGCTAGCCTGAGATCTAGTCGGTGAACTAGCCTGAGATCTAGTCTGTGAACTAGCCTGTGAGCTAGCCTGTGATCTAGTCGGTGAACTAGCCTGTGAGCTAGCCTGTGATCTAGTCGGTGAACTAGCCTGTGATCTAGTCGGTGAACTAGCCTGTGAGCTGGTCCGGTGATCTAGTCTGTGAGCTAGCCTGTGATCTAGCTAGTGAGCTAGCCTGTGAGCTAGCCTGTGATCTAGTCGGTGAACTAGCTTGTGATCTAGTCGATGAACTAGCCTGTGAGCTAGCCTGTGATCTAGTCGGTGAACTAGCCTGTGAACTAGCCTGTGATCTAGTCGTTGAACTAGTTTGAGGTGAGAGGTTCTCATTGTCTGTTGCCAGATACAAAGCCTGAAAATAAAATATTCATGTGTGATCAAATGAAAGTTTTGGTTTGAGTAAATATGTATCAGAGAAGTAAATGACAGGGAAACCAGAGACACACGTTAAAAGTTATCAAATTATCAAACAACTTTCAACATGTTCCCTCCAAGCATTTCAGGCCATACAAACTGAATATCATATGCTGTTTGAATTTATACTGATTTAGGCACTTAATTTAGCACTGAAAGGGAGTGTTCTTCTTTTATATTACATGACATATTCCAGAAACATCCTGTCATACTTGACCGCCCCAGTTCACCAACATGCTCTCTGTTTCTTAAGAGATTTACCCAGCCACCCCACTTCCATGTGCAGAGAGGTACCAGCCTAGCAGATGATGCATTATCAACATTCAATATATTTTCTCTTCTTTCGTCTCTCACATGCAAGCAATATGGTTATTGATTGTAAACATAAGTAGATCATAATTCCATTCAGAAAATGATTTCACAGAGTTCTAAACATTGAGACAGGTGAGAACATATATGGAGATAAGGTGAAGGTGAAATACAATGACGCCACATAGTGACGTGTGTTCATGTCTGTGTCTGCTTGTACTGGTGTGGAGTGATAACGGTTGGACACAATTCTGCAGTTAGACGCCCTACAAAGGCACATCCCGCTGATTCCGAACTGACAGTCCTTGTAGTTGTCTGTTCTGTTAATGATGAGTGTGGACGTACAGGTGGCACAGTCATATAAGGTGCCGCAGTTACATGTGCAGAGTTGTGTCCCCTGGGAATGCCAGATTGTGGGTATATATACTGGAACACACTGTAAGCCCAACTCATGGAGCTGAGAATATTTACCTGCAAACTGAAGACTCGGCCATCACTGAGTTTGAGGTACTGCCCCACCATCTGTGACTCCATCGTCACCACTGAGTCACGCAGATGCAGCATTGTAAAACTGGCCACCTGTGAAGGACATTGTCACAGACTTGCCATCATTTGTGTTAGACATATATTTCTGCCTACAGCACTTACACACTGGAAACTTCTGAATCTTAATGTTTACATCAGTGAGCGATGTGTCAACTGGAAACATGCAACAGAACAAAATGTGTTACAGAGAAAAGAGATTGTAACTACTGAGCCTCCCGGCCTATGGTCATCAACCCTTACATCCAGCATAGATTACTGGGAACTAATACTTCACTAAACAGGATACTACTCATGCTCTTTGTACGTTTGGGTTAAACAGAACTAAAATATAAAATCATGTTTTCAAAACAGGAAAAAATGAAATATGGCATTTCATGAACTTTTCTCTGGAAAAAATCTCCAAACATATTCAAGTTTATCATTCGCAACAAAGCAATAACTGATGAAGAAATAAATACATGTAGAATTCTACTGTCTCACCACAGCCGGGGTTCCAGGGTTACCACCAGAGGTCGCTGCTATCACCACACACGGATATCTCTGGCGAGGGGGTGTCCCAGGGTCAGCTCACTGATGTCCCCCGGACACCGGAACTGGAAGTTGTTTTGCTTCTCCAGTCTGACATGGAAGAAATATTTACTGCTAGTCCTACATCAATGATATCAAATGCAAAATAAATATGTACAAGTTTGAGGGAGCCTTTACTGGAACAGGGCCTAGATTTTCGAAGCTCTCTTACGCTAAGATAGTCATAAGTTAATGTTAATGTATGGCACTTACGACTATCTTAGCGTTAAGAGTGCTTCAAAAATCTAGGCCCAGGGCTCTAAATATGGTCACTATGGTAATTGAATATTAGCTAATTATGAATGCAAAAATCACTCTTCTAACAGAATGCAAAGGCACAGATAGAGATTATTTGCATTGGCTTGACACTAGCTCCCTGTACAAGTATTTTCATCCAAAATGTAATGTAACAATTAAACTAAAATGAACAACAACTCCATGGATCAGCACCAGATGTCTACCTGATGTTATGCTGAGAATGAAGACTTTCATTCCCTTGAAGGAGCTGACCATCGCTCAAGTCTTTCAGTATTGCCTCAGGTGACCACTGAAGTACTTCATGGACAGTATTGATACTGGTGCCCCAAAACACTGACAAGTGTCCCTCGGTCAGAGATGAAACCGACAGTGAAAATCCACCTGCACATTACAATCAGAGTTCAGATGATAGTGGAAGAGTCATGAAAAAGAGGATGACAGTTGCAAACATCATCACAGACAACTAACTTACATTGATTTCAACATGCACAAGCAAGTATTTCAACATGCACAAGCAAGTATTTCAACATGCACAAGCAAGTATTTCCACAGACAATAAACCAAATCATGAAAATAACACAGTAGGTATGTCTGGGTCTAACTTGCCTGAACTTGTGTTACAACACAAATTGGTTCATACCCAAACTTTAGACAACCAGTATTAGGTACACCATAATGGACTTCCACACACAATGTACACTTCAACATCAGCCTCTGATCAGGTCCAGATAAGTCCCTGTTTAATCAGGAAGTCCCACTGTTATCAGCAAAGCTTACAAAAAGACGTGTATATCCAGACTTAAGATTATAGTGGTTAAGTCACTTCTCATTGTCTATGACTGTATGTATGGTACTTCCAAGTAAATCTGTCATACAGCTATTTTTTATCTAGAAGCCTGATTCATTAGCCAGAAATGGTATTTTCACTTCTACAAGAACAAGGATGTTTTCATACCTTTCAGGGTTGTTATGGCAGCATCTTGGAGCAGGATGGAGAATGGGTTTGTACAGCCCTTCATGGACGTCTGTATCGCGCTGTTAGGCGGCGATGGTGGCAGAATCGGGAAGTGTGGGAAGTCATTGTTGAATCTGGCACACAATGTTAACTGTAGTCACTCATAGTCATCCCATATACTGATCAAGGAATCAAATAAATCATGACAAAACACAACACAGGGAAAATGTCCATTTCTTGAACTTTGATATCCATCAATATATTCATGCTTCATGAACACTGACCCCCAAATATATATTGATCCATGCTTCATGAGTCCATACTTCAAGTTCATAGTGCATGCATACAATCATACCCCAAGCTTAAATGCCCTTGGAAATGACGCCATTGGTGCCCAAACGATAAACGAATGACGTCGTCAGACCTTATTAGACCCATTTCACGTGGTGCAGGTATAGGTGTGGTTCTTGTGTCTCGAGCGCGCAGGCTACTGTTTTAATCCACCTGTTGCTTGGCCGTCAGCTGACTATGTTTTGACACATTCTAAATCACCATTCACTGCGTTTTTACGTAATTTATGGTATGTCTTAATTCAAATGTCAAATTTTACTGGGAGAATTGAATTTAAAAAAGACGTGATCATTGTGATCAGCGGTAGTTTTGTTGTTGTATGATCGAATCACCAATGCTCGTTCTTAAACATTATCGATGAACCGAGAATCGCTGAGAATGTTTTGGAAAATACGCATAAACGTCAAAGTGAATTTTAAGCTGTATTACATAGTGTTTCTAAAATCACGTCACATGTATGTCGGTTATGTTTCGTCCATAAAATTAATAGTATAATTCAACACCATCTTCCTTACATAAATCCCTGAATTCCTCATACAGTTCAACATAAACTGACAAATGGACTCTGTCACCAGTACGAAGTGTTTCAGTGAAATCTAACGAAATATATCGAGGATATGAGATGCCGCGCTGTGAAAGAATACTTGTTTGAAATGTATACAAAGCCAATCTCAGATTTTACACTGTGTATCCTTTCGCCTACTTGTTGCATACAATTGCTCACTAGTTTTAGAACATGCATGGGAAAGTTATCGTAGCAAGCGATAGTTAAATAAACAGGTGTATTCCAATGATTTTCTAGATTCATCACAACATATTATAGTTTTTGAAAGCATGACGACATAACTGACGCAAACTCACGCACAACGATGACGGTACTTCTCTTAATTTCTGACTATTTCCCTTGGTCACAATGAAAACAAAAAGAAAATAACAACCAGCAGACTGACAGAATTTTCGGACTACTTTCATGTAACATTTATGCATATACATTGCTTCGAAAACTCCGGCGTACTCGTGTCAGTGAACACGCCATTTTGAAAAAGTCGCTTAATTCCCGATAGTGATGTCATACGGACGTCAACATTGTTATACATATTTGGTATTTTCACTGAGGCGTGGTTATGAATGAAAATACACACGATCAATCCGTCCTTCTGCTTACATTTTCTGTTCTTACGCTTCTTTCGTATTTTCACAAACCTTTTTTCACGTGATTAATATCAGTATTATTATCTTTTGATTTGGGACTAGACAGGAGACCAGTTTAAAATCAAGTGGCACCAATTACGTCATAATCAAAGGGCGGTAACTCAGGCCTGTTTAACTTGGCAAACAAATACCTCAGATTGGCATAACATTTCAGCACTTATTTTGAGGGTTATACTTACATTGTAAGAAAAATGAGTGTATATTTTCAAACATTGGTATTAACTAATTAAAACAGTTCACTTTGATTCACATAAGAATAAATGTGATTTATTCGTGTACACTTGCCCTTTAACTGTGAGGTCGACACAACCAAACTAGTATGATAAACATGTGTAAATTGTAAATTCTACACTGCACCTCTTAGTGCGTGAGGTCAAAGAGAACATCAAAGCAGCTTACCTTAATATGAGCACAGCCGTTGCCACGAAGCACAACAGAACGGTGATGATTGCATAGTGATTGGAGTAATTAGCAAAGGAGTACAACAAATGGGAGAGATCGTCCGCCATGTCCAGCAGTTCGGTTCCGAAAAGGGATAAACACAGCACATCTTGTATCACGTCAATGACGTCCATATTAGTGTCTTCAGTATATTATACGCCCACATCATCTGCTTTTATGTCGGCAATGTTTAAATGCATCTATCTGTCACATCTGATCATAGTTAAGATATTCCCTGTCCTCCGATGCAGTTACACCCGAGATGTGTTTGTAACCCGGAAGTAAACAACTGGCTTATAGGTCGCCACGCCCATCAACATAGATTTTGTTACGAACGATTTGATTGGCTTATTGTGTAAAGTCGCGCGCAGCGTATTCTGATTGCCGACAGCAGAAAAAGTTGCAGTGCCTGTATATTTTTCAGGCACAAAAAGAGTAATTTGGCCATGGTGTAAAAGTGCTATGTCGTGATAGTTATATTTTCACGGGCACGCCGTGGCTGTTTCTTACTGTTGATGCCATTGGTTAAAGAAATAAAGCCAATCGCATCTTGACAAACTAAACGATATCTTGATTGGGTAAGTTAACTCACGGTGTACCATAACGGCCAATCCACTAGTGTGTACGTGTGTCGTCACCAGATTGGTATGAAAAACGAAATGGGGAAGTTGCTGCTATGTTGGGCGATCGGACTCCGCGAATCGTGATCCTACAAAGTTACGATGGCTTCTAAACACATCAAATATCAACTACAGGCGTTTGAGAGGCTTCGGGAACTTCAAACTCAGGGTATTCTTTGTGATCTTGTACTAATGTCACACGATCAAGCGGAGTTCAAAGTTCACGCTTCAGTGATGGTGGCGGCTTGTGAGTCGTTCTATGGATTGTTGTGCGAGAGAGGAAGTCTGAAGAAAATCAGACTGAACAACGTTTGCGGTCATTCTCTTGGCTTGTTGATAAGGTTTATTTATGGGGAAAGTTTCCACAATCCGGCTGATATTCAGATTCTAGCTGAAACTCTTAGAAAACTTGGTATGAAACATTTGAACCAGTTTGTGGAAACATGTGGTCAAGACTTTGGTATCTTGGATAATAAAAAATGTGTAAGTGGAAACAAATCCAGCCAGTCTGGTATATCACATTCAAGGGATGTAAACTGTCAATCCCCAAAGAGGAAATTCCAGGGAGATAACTCATGTGGGAATGAATTAATGTACGTTAAATCAGAACCACTTTCTCCGACAGAAAATATTTCCAGCGAAGGGACAGGATTAGGAAATCTTGAAAAAGTGCAGGTAAAGTCAGAACCAATTGATACCAGTTACGAGGCAACCAGTTCCGTATGTGAAAGGGTTATGCATAGGAAGGAGGATTCAACTGAAACAAATGGTTCCCTTTTCCTGACAGATACATACACAGATTTGAGGCCAATGAGATTATATGTCAATGAAAAACATGTTGAAAACAATCACAAAAACATTTTTGAAAACAGATCTGGGAGTTCACAGGCAGAGGAATCTGGCGTATTGCAGGATTTAGTTAGTGACTGGAGGCGTTTACCAACTGAACATGTTGAACATAATCAAGGTTTCAATGGTGTCAAGTCTGAAATCAGCAGCATGGAGTGTCATAAGACTGTTAAACCTCTTGATAAAACAATTTCTGACTGTCAGGACCATCAGAAGGCAGAGGACAGTTTATTGCGTAAGAATATAACGGAACCTGATGATAGCAAGCGAGTACCAGTTTTCCTGAGGCAGATTGATGATCAAGGAAACTATGCAATCTTTCCTGTGTCTCCAGCAGACGGCGCTGGGCCATTGGTTTTGGATACCTCAAGTAAAATATCCAGAGGAGACAAAGATACTCAAACAGCAGAGAATACTGACATGCGTAAGAAAAGTAATATGTTAAATAATGACATTCCAAAACAAATCCCTACTCTGGTCAAATATCCTATAAATACAGTTCCAGGACCATGTCCTTCAACTCGGCCTGTTATGGTTAATCAGCCACAGATAGCATCAGGACATCAGATTATTCTTTCTCCAAATGGACATGTTATTGCTGCTGCCAACATGAATGTATCTTCGCTCTCTCTGGCAGGCACTTCCTGTTCTCCAGCAGCTCATAACAAGTGTGATTCATCACTGGAGAAATCAAAGCGCAAAGGTAGGCAGAAAGTTATTTGGCCAAGCAAACGGGGTAGGATTCGAGAAATTATTCCCAAAACACAGCTTCAGATTCAGAATGTTGTTAGCTTGAGTACAAACGTTTCTGAGCCATCACAAGATTGCGCAAGTAAGAGAATGAAGGAATATTTCCGCAAGTGCCAAGCTCTTGATCATGATGATTCAGTAGAAAACACAGAAGGGTGCCAAGAACCCTATTACCAACAGACTAAGGAGCATGGTGACGAGCGAACAGAGAATTGTAATGAGAAGACAGATAAATCAGTCTTTCGTCAAGTGGATTCTGCAAAGAGGAAATCTGGAGACTCAGGAGATTTTCACAGAGATTCAATGGCAAAGAAACTGAAAGAATTGAACATGTCAGATGAAGATGATGAAGAATATCTTGTCATTGATCTTAAGGATATCAAGAATCATTTGCCTCATGGTAAGGGGACCTCACTGAATGTTTCTGGGGATGATATATTTACAACAACTGGAATGAAAAGTAACAAGACTGATATTCCATCAAGTGATAAACCTTTCAGTGGTGTGATTAGTGTATCTGGCTGTACCTTAGAAGAGCTCTCACTACGAGATATTCCACATGGTATAGTGTTCCCTTCCAAAACAAAAACAAAGATTTACACTGGCAGGAAGCTGAATTTTTTTCACAGTGAAGAAGAAGCACCACCACAAAGAAAACGAACATTAGCCACTAAAATAACTTCTCAAAATCAGGCAAAGGCAATTATGTCTTTGAAATCAAAATGTCCCAACACTCAGTCACAAGTGGCTCCATGTGCTATACAGCCTGTCATGAAATCTGTGGACTGTTCCAAAGTTCCTAGCACTACCAACTCAGGAAAGGCAATTCCTATTGTGGTGGCATTAGCAAATGGGAAGACAGCAACTGTGATGGTGCCAGGGTACTCTCCTGACAACAAGTTGGAAGTGCCTTTGACGGCTCCGGTAGCAGCCCCACCTGACGCCAGACCGTCTGATCCTACACAGACCAGTTCTTTTTCTAATTCCCTTGTACAAAACCCAAAAGTATCCATGGCAAGCATGCCCAATCCTTCCAACAATGTCTTCACCTCAAGTGCACTTACTTCATCTCAGGTGATCCCTGGAATGCAGCAGATCCGTCTGCTGCAGCCACCTGCTCAGAGTGGATTTATTTCGCAAGTGATGTCAGGGGGTCAGACTCTGTCCAATTCAGTGCCTATAAGTGTGTCCGGCAGCAACCAAGCTGGTGGTATGCAGAACGTTCTCCAGCATGTGCAGGGTCAGACTCTGTCCAATTCAGTGCCAATAAGTGTGTCTGGCAGCAACCAAGCTGGTGGTATGCAGAACGTTCTCCAGCATGTGCAGGGTCAGACTCTGTCCAATTCAGTGCCTATAAGTGTGTCTGGCAGCAACCAAGCTGGTGGTATGCAGAACGTTCTCCAGCATATGCAGGGTCAGACTCTGTCCAATTCAGTGCCTATAAGTGTGTCTGGCAGCAACCAAGCTGGTGGTATGCAGAACGTTCTCCAGCATATGCAGGGTCAGACTCTGTCCAATTCAGTGCCTATAAGTGTGTCTGGCAGCAACCAAGCTGGTGGTATGCAGAACGTTCTCCAGCATATGCAGGGTCAGACTCTGTCCAATTCAGTGCCTATAAGTGTGTCTGGCAGCAACCAAGCTGGTGGTATGCAGAACGTTCTCCAGCATGTGCAGGGTCAGACTCTGTCCAACTCAGTGCCTATAAGTGTGTCTGGCAGCAACCAAGCTGGTGGTATGCAGAACGTTCTCCAGCATGTGCAAGGTCAGACTCTGTCCAACTCAGTGCCTATAAGTGTGTCCGGCAGCAACCAAGCTGGTGGTATGAAGACCATTCTCCAGCATGTACAGGGTCAGACTCTGTCCAATTCATTGCCTATAAGTGTGTCTGGCAGCAACCAAGCTGGTGGTATGCAGAACGTTCTCCAGCATGTCCAGCGACCAGTTTTACCAGGATCGACTGTTGTGCAAGGGGGGATTCAACAACAACAGCTTCTTGTTCCAAACTTGGCAATACAAAATTCGACTCTGTCTGTTCCAGCTCAGTATCTGGGGCAACAACCACAGATGCGTCTCCCAACCATTCCCTCCCCCTTTGCAATGAACAACCCTGCTATAATCTGTCAGCCTCAGCAGGTGCAGCAACTACCTGGGATTATACTCAGAGATGGTGTTGTATCCCAGAATGCTGTTCCTGTCATTGGAGCCAGTGGTTCAAGCTCCATACAGTGTACTACTCAAACTTCTGGCCATACTATTGTTGCCAACTGTGGGAGCTCCATGCAAAATAACACTCTGTTTTCTCAGTCAGTATCTCTTTCAGGTACCCAAATCAGTAACAGTGATGCTAAAGTGAAATGTGTTCAAGTGTATCCAAACATAAGCATTGGGAAGGGCAAGCATGTGCCCAAGCAGTTATGTCCAGCCAGTAAATGGAAACCGTCAGTTGGGAAACCAGTGACTCTCAAAGAAATAAGGCCAAAATAAAAGCTGAAATCAGCACTAGCCCAAGCAGACAGTTTTTTAACAGTGTTATTTTCTGAGGCAATCTGTTCTGCTCACTATAGTCTGTTTGCAGTGAAAACGTACCAATGAATTTCACTTTAAACAAAAAAGTAAATCAAATAAAGTGAAATTAAGATTGCGAATCCTCCTAATTTTACCTTGCCAATTAAACATTTAAATTTCAGAATTTTATTCAACTTAGGATAAAAGTTGTTTAACAGACTATCATAGATTCAAATCGCTATTATTGGTTTATATTACAAGGGAGTAAACACAGTAATTGGAACAGTGATACAAATGCACGTGCAGTACGTGATGAGCGTACGTGATGACCAACCCTGCTTGTTCTCGGTGTTTCATTTAATGTGCATACCCCCTTGTAATACAAACCAATAATAGCGATTTGAAACTATGATCGTTTGTCAAACAACTTATATCCTGTTGAATAAAATTCTGAGATTTAAATGTACAATTGGCAAGGTAAAATCATGAGGATTCGCATTCTAATTTCACTTTATTGATTTACGTTTTTGTTCAAAGTGAAATTCATCGGTACGTTTTCACTGCAAACAGACTATAGACAGTGTCTTTCAGCCTCAAGGGAAACTATTTTTAACTTCCATGCAAGAAATCATTGAAGTACAGATTTGTTTCAGTTGTCCATGCAGTGATTCACTACACTCTAGGCGACCTGTGACGGTCCGGGTTAGAATGTGCCTCCAGTAACCCATGCTTGTTGTAAGAGGCAACTAACGGATCGGGTGGTCAGGCTTGCTGACTCGGTTGACACATGTCATTGGTTCCCAATTGTGTAGATCGATGCTCATGCTGTTGATCACTGGTTTGTCTGGTCCAGACTCAATTATTTACAGACTGCCGCCATATAGCTGGAATATTGCTGAGTGTGGCATTAAGCAACAAACCATGGCAGAAAGTGCTCAGTGATGTAAGTGCTCCCTGCTGTACTTCCATATATATAAGACCTAGAATATACCACCATATTTTCTTTCATATAGTACGTTTTTCATAGAAGAGAGTGTCACAGAGGAAGTGGTAAATAATTCCCAAATGACTAACTTATACACATGTATTTTCAGAAGTATTTGTTTGTACAACAACTCGATCTCTAACATGTATTTATAAGTTGTTGTGTATGGTGTATGTTTCCTAAATCCCAGGTACTGTAATGAGTTGAGAAGCTCATGAATGTTTGATATTTCCTTTCATGTTTGCTGCATTAGTGGTGTGTGCCTCCTACCGCTGTCTTGGTGTGTAAACCGTCCTATGATTTTCGTATCGTTGACAAAGAGGATTGGTTATCTGTTTATAGATTCTAATTCTTGTGTATTTTCTCGATTAACAGGAATGGTTTATCTGGTAGTGCATTTGGTATTGCAGATGGTACCTTCTTTGAGAGGCATTTTAAAAGTTGTAAAGATGAAGGAAAACAAAGTTCTATTGATAATCAAGTTGTTCATTGCAATGAGTGCGTCGTTTGGTGGCGTAGGTACTAACACCGTTATCAAGTACTTTATTTCCCAAAACATAATTAAATAATGAGCCAAATCCCATTACCGAATTAGCGAAAACAGCAATGTGTGTTGTGGCCGCCATGGAAATTGGTCACATGACAGATGGTTTGATACAAAACAGATTACCGTGAAACGACTCGGAAAGAAATAATACAACAGTATTTTATTTATTCATTAAGATTTTATTCACCAGTACATCATGAACACTAACACTCAATCATCTCATTCACAACAACCCGGCTTGTTTGAAATCACAAAGAGCTTCATATACAGTATAAGTTAATTCGTCAAATCGTCAGAATTCGGAACATAAGACTGATGTGTTTTTCATCACTTCCGTGAGTAAACGGATTACTGTGTACTGGTATATCGCACAGATAGGGATTTCCTGTGAGTAAGCAATAAACGCCACCTGACAGGTTTAGCCACTCTGTTTGTTTTCACTGCTATTAGTGGCGGCCAAAGAGACAGCTGGCAGTTCCGGCAATTACTGTTTGCGCGAATAATTGACCGCGCGATGTAGTCTAAACTGTCAATTCCGCGAAAATTGCACCACGCGAAAATAAGTATGTTTACAGTAAGTGATGATCACTTGCTTGATAACGGTGTTAGTACCTACATCGAAACGTTGCACTCATTGCAATAAAGACGATAGTACCTTCTACATTATTTGTTATGAGAAAATGAACATAAAAGTAATGGTTCCTTTTCCTTCAAAAGTTCACAAAACAGATATTAACATGATTAAACATTTATGTTCAGGGAGTCTGTTGTGGCAGACAGTTAAGATTTGTCTGTATGAGAGCGAGTAGCGTCATCTCTCGATGACATCCTCTACTAACATTAAAGTAAGAGGTATGACCTTGAACCAACATTAGTACAGTGTAAGCATGATAACATGCATGCAGTCTGTAGTTTGTTTATCTTGTGAGGTTTCATCCATAGGGTTCCAAGTTTAGATGAAATATACCGGATACTATTAATCTGTACAACAAGCATAGCTTGTAGAGCAGTTCTCGTTGAGACTAATACCATTAGTGCTTTACCTTTTCCAAATGTGATATATAGATGACCAGTCCTCTTGTACAGGATGGAACTGGTGTGGAATTCAGAGTATTGAGTAACATTTTGTTGAATGGATATTACATGAAATTTTCAGCACATTGTATTTTATCCGAAAAAAGGTTGATTAAAATATTGATTGTATAATGTCTGTTTTGGTTGTTTGTAAATGCTTAATAAGAAAGTTCCACACATGTATAAAATGTTTATGTACAAACAAGACAACTAGTACAGTGAGGAGATCACGTGAGTCCGGATGCTGCTGTGGAACTCTGAGATTCACATGGGGAGGAGTCGGCAGCTTCATCAGAGTTGACCTTGCTGGGTGACTGCTTCGATGCTTGCTTGTCAGCTTTCTTCACATCGTTCTGGAAGTGCATGGAATAACTTTGTAAGTGTGGAGTATTTCTGTAAATCACTAGTATTTCCATAAGAGAGTGGTGTAATTCTGAAAGTACATGGAGTAAACTAACTGATATCATATCTTAGACACTGCTGCTGCTAAACATAGATCTGAGGACATTCCACATGTCGTTGAGTGAGTGAGTTTAGTCTTACGCCGCACTCAGCAATATTCCAGCTATATGGCGGCGGTCTGTAAATAATGGGAGTCTGGACCAGACAACCCAGTGATCAACAGCATGAGCATAGACCTGCCCAATTGGGAACCGATGACATGCGTCAACCAAGTCATATCGGTGTGAAATATTCCATTGTTAACAGACTGAGCAGCAATGAAAATGAATTTGACAAATGATTTTTCTTGCTCAAGAATAGATAAGTAACCAAACTGATTATATAAATTAGCTGAAAGACTGAACTGTAACAAACATAACGTATGTTTGGCAACAATCAGATGTGATTTACAACTGTGATCTGAAATTCCCTGCATATCAACACTTAAAAGACGATCTGGAGACCCCAAAGACTTACTGGTCCTGCTGGAACACACTCCAGTGGTATGGTCACCGGGCCATCATTCTGTAGATTCACCTGCATGTAGGCACCAAATTTACCATCTGAAATACAACAATGAAGTACACACTAGATTGATCAGCTGCCATGCTTCTGTACATGTATGTTTAATGGGAAACAATAATAAATCATATGATTGTTATATTTGTATTTATTCCACACTAACCAATATTCTAACTAAACCATGGCAGCCTGTAAATGTAAATCTGGACCAGATTATCCAGTGACTGGTATTGTAGACAGTGATCTATGTCATCAACCGAGTCACTGAGCCCGGACCTCTGAAGTCACCCGGTGACCAGCAAAGCCAGCTCGTGAAGGGTTTTAACCAGGAATCCCGACAGACGGTAAATATTGTGCTGTGTGGAACTCCTCGCAACACACCAGTGCAGGAATGACTGAGTGAGTGTGTTTACTTTTACACTGCAATAGTGCACTCTGTGACCCTCTCTTCTATGAATATCGTAATATATGAAAGAAAATATGGTGGTATATTCTATGTCTTTTATATTCGGAAGTACAGCAGGGAGCACTTACATCACTGAGCACTTTCTGCCATGGTTTGTTGGTCAATGCCACACTCAGCAATATTCCAGCTATATGGTGGCATATGTAAATAATAGTGTCTGGACCAGACAATCCAGTGATTAACATCATGAACATCGATCTATGACAAGCATGGGTTACTGACTTTCTGACATGAATTCAGTAGACCACCTCAACGTGTTATTACATTTCATACATTCTCATTTTACTAGTGACAAGTACCCCTAGAGTGTAGTGAGTGAGTGAGTTTAGTTTACGCCGCACTCAGCAATATTCCAGCTATATGACGGCGGTCTGTAAATAATCGAGTCTGGACATGATAATCCAGTGATCAACAGCATAAGCATCGATCTGCGCAAATGGGAACCGATGACATGTGTCAACCAAGTCAGCGAGCCTTACCACCCGATCCCGTTAGTCGCCTCTTACGACAAGCATGGGTTACTGAAGATCAATATTCTAACCCGGACCTTCACAGGTGTCTTGAATGACTGAGTGAGCATGGTGTTTTACTGCTCTTTCTGCAGCATGTTGTCAGCAAAACACACAAGTATTGACTTCACACACTGCACCAGTGAATATGCTGTGACCATTTACTTGAATCATCTACAAGACCATGTACTTGAATCGTCTATGTATAGCTGGAATATTGCTTACTGTGGCGTTAAACAACGCAATTGTCTATGTGACCTTGTACTATAATCATGTTTGTAACCATGTACTTGAATCACCTTTGTGACCATGTACTTGAATCACCTTTGTGACCATGTACTTGAATCATCTGTGTGACCATGTACTTGAATCACCTTTGTGACCATGTACTTGAATCATCTGTGTGAACATGTACCTGCATTGTCTACCTGACCATGTACTTGAATTGTCTAGTGTCTACCTTGTATCTTGTTGGGGGAATATGCAGCTCCCAGCTGCCTGAGGAACTCTTGGTACATCTGCTGGGACAGGTCGGGGCCCATTGCCTCGTGGAAGTCCGGCTTGTTCCCCTTCAGGGTCACACACAGGGTGAACTGCTCAGATACACAAGTTGTAGCATGTCAGTGTATTTGCATTGTCCGCCTCATTTTCACTGAATTTCAGACTAATTGACCAAGAACACTAATTGCACAACACACCTGGATATCACACAACACCTGGATATCACACAACACACCTGGATATCACACAATACACCTGGATATCACACAACACCCATAGATATTACACAACACCTGGATATCACACAATACACCTGGATATCACACAACACCTGGATATCACAGAACTCACCTGGATATCACAGAACTCACCTGGATATCACACAACACCCTGGATATCACACAATACACCTGGATATCACACAACTCGCATAGATATTACACAACACACCTGGATATCACACAATACTCAACACCTGGATATCACACAACACCCCTGGATATCACACAACTCATAGATATTACACAACACCTGGATATCACACAACACACCTGGATATCACACAACTCACATAGATATTACACAACACCTGGATATCACACAACTCATAGATATTACACAACACCTGGATATCACACAACACACCTGGATACCACACAACACACAGTGACATACACCAGCTCACCAGTAAATAACATAACTTACCAAGGATATCATACAGTAACTCACCTGGCTTACACAAAGCACCTCAAACTGTTTGTCCATTACATTCTTGGCCCAGCGCTTTCCACTGTCATCATCAAACAGACGCAAGTTCAGAACCTTTCGAACTCTGTAAGTGGATATATTCAAGATAGATCACAGTGTCAGCATTTTAATTGTGTCAGCAGCTGAATAATACACATAATGAAGCTGGACCACACATCACTAATCACTACAAGACATACAGAACAATTGTCACTAGCTCAAGACATACGGAACACTTGTCACTAATCACTACCTCAAGACATACAGAACAATTGTAAAACTAGCTCAAGACATATGGAACACTTATCACTAATCACTACCTCAAGACATACAGACCAATTGTCACTAGCTCAAGACATACGGAACACTTGTCACTAATCACTACCTCAAGACATACAGAACATTTGTCACTAGCTCAAGACACTAAACACTTGTCACTAATCACTACCTCAAGACATACAGAACACTTGTCACTAATCACTACCTCAAGACATACAGAACATTTGTCACTAGCTCAAGACATACGGAACACTTGTCACTAATCACTACCTCAAGACATACAGAACATTAATCACTACCTCAAGACATACAGAACATTTGTAGCTTAACTACCTCAAGACATACAGAACATTTGTAAAACTACCTCAAGACATACAGAACACTTGTCCTAGACTCAGAAGGAACACTTGTCACTAATCACTACCTCAAGACATACAGAATATTTGTCACTAGTCACTGTAAAACTAGCTCAAGACCTCAAGACATACAGAATATTTGTCACTAGTCACTACCTCAAGACATACAATGAGTGAGTGAGTGAGTGAGTATGGTTTTACGCAACTTTTACCAATATTCCAGCAATATTATGACGGGGAACACCAGAAATGGGCTTTACATATTATACCCATGTGGGGAATTAAAGACATACAGAACAATTGTCACCAGCTCAAGGCATATGGAACACTTGTCTCTAGTCATTAACTCAAGACATACAGAACAATTGTCAGTAGCTCAGGGCATATGGAACACTTGTCACTAGTCACAACCTCAAGACATACAGAACATTTGTAAAACTAGTTCATGACATACGGAACACTTGTCACTAGTGACTACCTCAAGACATACAGAACAATTGTCAGTAGCTCAAGACATATGGAACACTTGTCACTAATCACTACCTCAAGACATACAGAACATTTGTCACTACCTCAAGACATACAGAACATTTGTCACTAGCTCAAGACATACAGAACATTTGTCACTAGCTCAAGACATATTGTACACTAGTCAGTAATCACTACCTCAAGACATACAGAACAATTGTCACGCGAGTTCAAGGCATATGGAACACTTGCCACTAGTCACTACCTCAAGACATACAGAACACTTCACTGGGTCCTGCCATACAGAACGCTTGTAATTAGCCACTACGAAACAGAAAACATCAAGTTAATTCACATCTATGTGTATCAAAGTGACTGACATGTATTCCATCTCCTTCTGGGTGTCGTATCTCGAGATTCCGACCAGCACACAAAGGCCTCTTCCTATGGATCCAACCACTTCATCACCAACTGGAATAGACGAGGATTTTTTTCAACTAGCTGATAAATACAAACCTAAAAAATCATATTAAATATCTGTTAAATACTGATTTTATTCAGCACCCTAAAGGTCATAACCCTCCATTTCAATGTGTTTTGTACCATCACAGGACACATAAATGGCTTCAAGTATGGATGCGATATTCACATCATACTCCATCCTGTTCTAATTATACCTTTAACATTTAATGGTCTTATTGATCAGCAGAAGTAGAAGGTCTTTACCAGAAATTTACACAAACTTGTACATTACTGCTACATTTTCAGTGGCCACTCTGCCTTAAATTGGGATGTCAGAGGATATTTCACCAAATTATCACTTGAACAACTTGGAGACAGTTCTATGGATATACAATACATGTGTAACGACCATAATATTTCAGAGTCTCGTGTTGGGATTCAAACCACAGAGCTTCTGATCCAAAATCAGACGCCTTGTCCACTTGACCAAAGCGGTTAACCCCGTCAGCAAGCTAACATGGTAAGGATGTCATCTGTGGGATGACACCACACCCTGCTACACTGACAAGGTAAGGATGTCATCTGTGGAATGACTCCACACCCTGCTACACTGACAAGGTAAGGATGGCATCTGTGGGATGACTCCACACCCTGCTACACTGACATGGTAAGGATGTCATCTGTGCGATGACTCCACACCCTGCTACACTGACAAGGTAAGGACATGATCTGTGGGATGACTCCACACCCTGCTACACTGACAAGGTAAGGATGGCATCTGTGGGATGACTCCACACCCTGCTACACTGACAAGGTAAGGATGACATCTGTGGGATGACTCCACACCCTGCTACACTGACAAGGTAAGGATGGCATCTGTGGGATGACTCCACACCCTGCTACACTGACAAGGTAAGGATGGCATCTGTGGAATGACTCCACACCCTGCTACACTGACAAGGTAAGGATGGCATCTGTGGGATGACTCCACACCCTGCTACACTGACAAGGTAAGGATGTCATCTGTGGGATGACTCCACACACCCTGCTACACTGACAAGGTAAGGATGTCATCTGTGGGATGACTCCACACCCTGCTACACTGACAAGGTAAGGATGGCATCTGTGGGATGACTCCACACCCTGCTACACTGACAAGGTAAGGATGGCATCTGTGGGATGACTCCACACCCTGCTACACTGACAAGGTAAGGATGGCATCTGTGGGATGACTCCACACCCTGCTACACTGACAAGGTAAGGATGGCATCTGTGGGATGACTCCACACCCTGCTACACTGACAAGGTAAGGATGGCATCTGTGGGATGACTCCACACCCTGCTACACTGACAAGGTAAGGATGGCATCTGTGGGATGACTCCACACCCTGCTACACTGACAAGGTAAGGATGGCATCTGTGGGATGACTCCACACCCTGCTACACTGACAAGGTAAGGATGGCATCTGTGGAATGACTCCACACCCTGCTACACTGACAAGGTAAGGATGGCATCTGTGGGATGACTCCACACCCTGCTACACTGACAAGGTAAGGATGGCATCTGTGGAATGACTCCACACCCTGCTACACTGACAAGGTAAGGATGGCATCTGTGGGATGACTCCACACCCTGCTACATATGCAATGTTTCGGTGTAGATGATAATACTGTTAACATGGTTAACACTCACTTGATAACAGTGTTGGCACCTAGTAAAAATCCAGTTGGGCCAGTAAATCTCCACAGTCACTGGCTCGACTGACTAGTGAATTTTCATGGGGTCATTTTGTAAATACATGTATATCACTCTCTCTGAATTGTTAAGTTATAATACACTTTTAAATCAATCAATTTTATGGCCTGATAAAAATTGTTCATCATATTAGCAGCTTAATGATGAAAAACCCGTGTCTACATTTAAATTTCGGGCCAGTGAATAATTTTGTGGGCTAGTAACTTACAGGCATAGCTAGCCCGTCTGGCTAGCACAATTTGGAAACTATTTCGCACATTGCACCAGTGTGTCATTGCCAAGACTTCGGCATGTTAATAGTCACGACAAATCACAATCATAATATCATAACCGCTGTTCGAAAACTGGACACGCCCACTCGACAATGTCCATTCTGAGCTCTTACGGTAATACCTGTCACGCTTGCTTTCATTACTCTCTGGATGATGGCCTTCATGACTGGTTTAGCAAATCGGCCTCCTAGCTCTCAAACTCAAAGAGATCTCGTCATCACATATATCACATAAAACTAAAACGAGCATGACAGCCGGCGAGAGTTACTCCCCTTGGTCAGTCAGAAACGATATAATGTACTCGTATCCATATTCCCTGAAAAATACTCTCAGGCACTGCTAAGAGACAGGGACATTTCTCTCTATCTTATTCTACATCGAGTCCTTCAAAAGAAATTCTCAAAACTCAAATTACGACAATCGTGATAGCAGGAGTTAAAACTCCGCACAGCGATAGCCTGTTCACGGAGACGTTAATAGATACTTTCATGGTGATACCGGGAAGGTAACAAATACGTCACGCGCTGGGGTTGAGTTTGTAACGAAGGGACATAACTCTTTGTACTAGTTTACGGAAGTGGATGGTTTGGGCGGAAACGCGCGTGTAGCTGTACAGTCGCTTAGTAACTACGGAAGCTCGCTTCTCGAGAGAATATAGTCGAGTTGGGTATGTTTTGGTTGTTTGGTTCTTCCCTCTGAAACAACGCTGAACGTATTTATCAGACGTTCTTCAAACATTCAGGTGGTACAGTAAATGTGTCTTATGTTATAAGTGAACCTGCAAAACGTAAATGAGAATGCTTTCATTCATAGCATCGTAGAACATGAAATCACATGCCGTTTGATGAGAAGCTAATATTTTTCTTGTAGGTTTTACAACGTTGTTTGTATTTTGTTTGCTAGACCATTCACTCTCCACTCTCCCATATTTTCTATGTACGTAGATTCTGTTAAGAAAAAGTAGTTTCTCTTGTAGTTTTTTATTAGATTGATGTATGTGCTCATTTAGCTCGAAATAATCGTTTTTCAACCTGAGTAAATAAATTGATGCTGGAATTTATTAGTTATATGATTCTAGTGCAACCTACTCAGTTCATCAGGCATGTGAATAATCAGTCTTAGACAATTGCCAAAGTGCTGTATTATTTCTGAAGCCATGTGCACTTCTGTTATAACAAGGTGTGTTGTGACACACAGACATTGTAAGCACTTATGCTGTTGCTGGTCTTTAAGAGATATAGTTGTCATGTATAATTAAGTTAGTGAGAGGTTTTACAGTTGTTCATTTGACTAAACAATGAATGTTTTCTTCAGTGTCTGAAAATCCATGATAAGATGATACATTGCTCATTTAAAATCTGTTACTTATTGCTATTCTTTGGTTTTCAGCATAGATAACAAAATGGGTGAGCCTGAACCACCTCACATTCGGCCCCCAGAGCCGATCACGATTGCTGTGCACAGGGCAAGGAATCTGGTGAGTGTTGGATAATATGTCAGCATTGCTAGTATCTATGATGTACAATGTAGGCTAGCATGTGCTTGTTCAACAGAATATTATGTTTTCCAGTACCAGACAATTTTGGAGACTCAAGATAGATAAACATATCATTATCATCCTGACGATACAGTATAGAAAAGTGTTTATTATTGTATCAAAAATTGGGCTGTATCCTGTATTACTGAGGTAAGTAGTCTGACTCATAGTCAATGAGTTGTATTACTGTTCCTCCTACACCAGCCCTTACTGTAAGACAAAAGCCAAAATGAACCAGGTGTAGATATGCTGAATCTTCACTGGGGCTCCTTTCAAATGGGTTTGTTTGTTTCTATTACACTGTATATTTTCAGAAACTAAGTGTCATCTTAAGCAGAATGTGTTGTAGACAAGTAATTGTTGGATGCATCATTTGTATTGAAACAATTTGTGTTCAAAATGAACTGAAGAAGTGAAGCACTACACAAATATAAATTGCTTTCCCTAAGATAGTATAGAGTGAGGACATTCTGGTTCTCTGAATGCTAATGTGTTGATGCATGTGGACTGTAGCAGATGTCATCACGTAATGATGTTTGTTACAAAGAAGGGACAGAAGGGAGAGACGGTGAATGCCATGATTAAAGTGGAGTTTGGAGAGAAGAGTTTAGGAGAATCTCCCAAAGTTGACTGTACAGCCGATACCCCAGCAGAATTCAACTACAATGCCACTCTCAACTGTACATACGAAGACCCGGTAGTGTTGGATGAGATAGCACACAAGCCTATTGTCTGTAAGTGGGTCGTATAGTCCTTGTCATCATGTCATGTGACTGAAACCACTCACTGATTCTAGAAATTTGCCTTTGCATGTGAATATTACAGGTACAAATAGGGCACTTTTGTACATGCATATGTGATTCAAGTCATCATTCAGAAATTCTCTTGTAGTATATCATCAGACTAGAAATTTATTATCTTCTTGAAGCGTCCTGTGGGGACTTGGGTTAGAGTTGGTCTCAAGCCGTTGCTCGTTGTAAGAGGCCACTATTCTGGATTGGGTGGTCTGTCTGTGATTTGTTTGCATGTCTTATTCATTGTACCCAACTAGGATGATGTGTATAATATCAACCACTGGTTTGTCTTGCACGGCAATTGGTAGTGGCAATATTGCTGACTCAGTTTCCTGCAAGTAAACTATAAGTCGATGTAGTTTAAATATATATGTATATAATTACATACAAAGAGGACAAAAGTATATATGTAAGCCAGTCAAATAGTAGGCTTACTTTCACTGTTAAGATATCCTGAAAAATCCACCAATCTGAATTTGTATGTAAATCATTGAATGTTTGGACAGTCTTCATAATTTGTTGTTTTGAGTAAAAATATATCCCTCATCCTTTTCAGGATTCATTGTTTGTATTACCAGGTTGTTGTGATGCTCGTCCAGTTTTCATGTTTTGCACCCAAGTTGTGTGCTCTGCATGAGTCCCAAGTAACTTGATGTTGTGTAACACAAATAATGTTTAATATCATAAACAATGCAGACTGTATCATTGAGATCTGGGTTAGAATAGGTCTTCAGCAACCCGACTAACAGGCTCAGGGGTCAGGTGGGCTGACTTGGGTGATACAATGGGGTGTGTTAGTGTGAGGTAGTGTGATGATGTATGTTAGATTTAAATGGCCTCAGTACTTGACTGTCTCTCCACCAGTGACGGTGATCGAGGTCCTACCCAAGGAGAGGAAACAGAAGGAGGAGAAGACCATTCTGCTGGGCCAGTGCACTGTGGACCTCCTGCCGCTTGTCAAAGGTGGGATCCAGTTCTACTCGAAACACAGAGCGTCCAGTGTCTATTGTTCTTGTGCCATGTTAATAAACAACAACTAGAATGTGTAGACCTTGCATTAGCTACATCTGTAGGTGGAGAGCTGGGCAGCAGTGGAACTGTCAGTACTTATACCTTTCTATGGATGTCCCTGGGCTCTACCTTGCAGGGACTCTGCAACATATAAATACACCTCAATTCTAATTGCTATTATGATACTACCCATCAAAAGTTTATACTCACTGAAAGCACTTACCATGTGTTATGTCATCACGACATGGCTGAAATACTGCCGATGTGATGTTAAATATTAACTCACTCACTCACTACTACATGTTATGCATATAAAATGGTTACATTGAAGATGAAATTCTCCAACTTGGGGGGAATCACCTGCAAACCTTAAGCAGATCAATTGCATGATCCTCATGCATCAAATTGCTGAAAAGCATGTACCATTAACCTGCATGTGAACAGCTGCATATTTGTATTAAGTTTGATTAAGAATTCGCCATTCTTTTCCAGAAGAAGTCCTTCTTGGGGTACATATAAGCATTAAAATGTCCATGTTAATTACCTACGACAGTTGTAACAATATTTCAATAAAATATTTTACAAAACAAAAAAACTCATTTTTGTCTTGTGAGACCACCCCTACAACCAAGAGCGGTAACTCTGGCTGCTTACCTCATACCTCACTTTTCATGCTGTCATTCAACCAGAACAGACGTGCGTGGTCCTATCAAAGTTGTCTTCATCCTTACCTGAGATACTGACAGATGAGTGAGAAAGAGTCAAATACTGTATGTGTGGTTCCTTTCTTTACGCACGGGCGTCAGTTGGAATCTATTCATGACTTTTTTCATTTATATATTGTTGTAACTTTGACAGCGTTCTCACTGTTTCCAGCCATGTGGCAGGCAAGATGGCGGATTGCGTGGTCAATTTTTCCCTTCTACAGGTTATGGTAGCCGTTGTAGTAGGGTTGTACTGTATATATATTTCAATATGTGTGCTAGGCTTGCCTAAATTCCTTCCTTTCAGTGAATTTATGGTAGGTTACAGTTGAATAATATTGTAGCATGTTCGTTTCGTATCGCTCGCAATTTTGCTCTTCACTATATGTACACATGTATGCTTGGCTGTTGTTTGCTTTATGCTAGTATCTTAATGTCTTTAGCTTTAGCTGTTAAATAACGCCCATGCGCTGATTTTTTCTGTGTATATTGTGTGCATATTCCATGCTGTTGGGGACATTTGGGGACAGGAGCCTCCATCTGAAAATGCAAAAAAGAAGAGTTCCTCTTCTAGTTCTGTGCCAGTATCTGGTGATACGGTGCCCAAACAGGCGAAGGGTGTGGACTCTAACGTCCCAGGCACCTTCCCCTCCCAATGTTCCCATCTCTGCACCATTATCACTTCGGATTTATTGAAGAATCAAATGTCATCTGTCAAATCCCTTATCATGTCCAGTCTCCGCGAGGAGATTGGCGTCCGTCCAGGTGCTGGGGCTTGTTCAGCTCTTGCGGCAGGTAGTGTTCCCAACCTTGGCTCCGGCCCTGGTGTGGGAATTTCTGCCGGGGTTGCATCTGCTCCGAGTACCGACTCAGTCGCTGGCCACCCATTCGCTACTGCATCCAATCCCGGTCCGAGCCTCGGCTCTGGGTCCGGTTCGTTGGTCGATGCCGGCACCCCGGGTTTTGTGCTGGTGGCTTCTTGTTGGGCCCAGACAAGCAGGCGGAACACTGCCGACATCTGGAATCCATTGCCTCGTGCCCGACATCCCAGTGGGTGGCCGACTATCTTTATTCCTGCCGAAATGGGAAAAGTCGCTTCGAATCCCTGGGTCCTGTCCAGACTCAGGGAAGGCCACATGCCACAGTGGAAGCGAGGGCCACCTCCCTTTTCTGTGATCCACTCTGCTGCTGGTTGCTCTGGAAAAAAGCAGAGATGCTCCGTGCCGAGGTCCAGTCATTACTGGACAAGGCAGCCATGGAGATGTGGTTCCGGCGGGACAGGAAGAAGTGGCTTACTACTCGACATGTTTCCTAGTCACCAAAAAGGACGGAGGGTTCAGACCTATTCTAAATCTAAGAGGTCTGAACGACATGATAGAGGTACCGTCCTTCAAGATGGAGACACTGCGCTCAGTGATCTCAACTGTGGAGAAGGGGATTGGCTCACGTTAGTTGACCTCAAAGACGCGTACCTTCATATCCCAATGCACCCCGATTTCAGGAAATACCTAAGGTTTTCCTTCGCCGGGAAGTGCTATCAGTTTTGTGTGCTCCCCTTCGGCATCTCCACGGTGCCAAGGGTGTTCACCAAACTAATGCTAATTCCAGCGCGGGTTACCAGGTGACAGGGAAGGTGTTGTCACCCGTACCTAGACGACTGGCTTCTACGAACACTTGCCACTCACTTGAGTCGAGTTGCAACACTTTCTGTGATGAGTATAATCACCAAGTTGGGCTGGATTATCAATCTCAAGAAAAGAACTGTTTTTTACACAGGATCTGGTGTTCTTGGGAGCAAGATTCAAGACAGCGAGAGGCACCAAAGTTCAGGGAGTTGTGTTACAATTTCTCGAGTCACCCGGGGCCTCAGCTCGGACTTGGCTCCAGTTGCTAGGCACCATGGCAGCGACAGCTCGAATGTGGTCTCACTCACAGACTTACGAGATGAAATACCTAAGGAGCTTCTGATTCCTCATTTGGGTGGTGGAAATTGGCAGGGAATTTATCAAGGGCGATCCCCTTGGACATCCCTATGCCAGAACTCTTGATTCACTCACAGGGTGAGGGAGGCGTTCTGGGTGACCTCACAGTCACAGTCTCGGGCCTGTGGTCACAGAGCGAGGCACAACTGCACATCAATGTGCTAGAATTGAGAGCAGTCCGGTTAGTGTTCGAATGCTTCCTGGAGCAGGTTCGAAGCCGTGGTTCGTCTAGAGATGGACAATTCAAACGGCGATGACCTATATCCTGAAGCAGGGTGGTACGGTTTCTCCGACACTCCTGCTGGAGGCATGGCAGTTTCTGCTGTGGTGTGACCAGTTCGACATTTGGGTGATGCCTGTTTATCTCCTCGGGGTAGACAACGTTCGAGCAGATGCACTCTCTTCACGTCTTCTAGCCCCACACGAGTGGATGCTCAGTCGGGAGATATTCGGGACTATCGCCCGGTTGTTCGGGTCATTCCAGGTGGATCCGAGAGCAATCGCCTCAGACGCTTTCCAGCTCGATTGGATGGACAGGGTTCTGTGGACGTTCCTGCCACTACCCCTGATTCCCAAGGTCCTCTCGCAGCTTGTGCTTCTTGACCTCTTTGGTCGGCTCAAAGCTGGTTTCCGGCAATCATCAGGTTTCTGGCTCAGCCTCCTGTACTATTACCCTTTCGACCGGATCTACTATCCCAGAACGGAGCGCCACATCCGAATCCCAGGATTCAGTGGGTAACTTGGCCACTGTCCGGAATTGCCTCCAAGCGAGCAGAATTCCTGCACAAGTTGCAGACACAATTCTGGTTTTGCGGAGGGATTCGACAAACGTTCAATATGAGGATAGATGGGCCTGTTATATGTACTGGTGTGTCAGCAGAGGGGTTCTCGACCCCTTTTCTTCAGACCCACTTCAGTTGAAGTGCAGTCTCGGTTAGAGGCCGGCCTAGCTGCGTCTCCTATCCGTGGCTACTCCACGACAATTTCTGCCTTCCATATACCTGGAAGTATATTCCATAACGTTATTCCATAATGCCGCCTATTGAACTACCAGCTTTCACTCAGCCTCCATCGTCCGGTACCTCTCTTCGACGTGGTCACGTCTTAGATGTCCCTAAGACTCTCAAGGCTTATATCAAATGAACAACTGCTCTCTGGAAGGATAAGTAACTGTTCTGCTGTTATGGCGATGGTAAGGCTGGTCTTCTGGCGAACAAGCAGACCATATCTAGGTGGCTTGTCTCTGCCATTTGTATGGGCTACATTAACAAAGGGTAAACTCCACCTGAAGGGTTAAAAGCTCATTCGGTTAGGGCAGTGGCCACATCAAAGGTGTATGCCATGGCCCTGCCCATTGAGGAGATCTGCTAAGTATCATCTGTCATTACCAACTGGACAAACACTCACGGGAGCGTGCTCAGTTTGGCCAGACAGTTCTCCACAGTTGACTTTCTAGCCGAATGAGCTTTTGAGGTTATACTTGTTTTACTTACTGGTGTCGGGCTATGAAAATAAACCAATTTTTATGTGGTATTATATTGGTGGCGGCTTTTGCCTGTTTTATTGGCTATGGTTTGGGTACATGTGTTGAATATGTTTGGACTTGAACCATACATTCCTTCCCATTTCGAAGGTTGAGGGGTGGGACTATGACTTAGCCAATCGCATATAAGCTAGGCCCCTTCTGCCCTATTCTTGCCACTCCCGCCTGATTGACATCTGCGGTCCGGTGACTCAGTAAGTGTGTTTCTCTCTAACTCAGCTTCGGTTATGACTTTGATTGAACACAGGTAAATGATAGCCAGACAGAATGCCACTCCCGACAATCTTTGGGAGTCTGCCTCATGCTTATGTGTACCCCAGGGAGGACTTCTTCTGAAAAAGAATTATACAAACCTATAGAGGTTATGAATTCTTTGAAGAAAGCCCTCCTTCGGGTACAGCCACCCACCTCCCCACTTTATTGAAATATTGTTCTGTCTGATACATTCAGCATGAAAACTGAGGTACGAGGTAAGCAGCCAGAGTTACCGCTCTTGTCTGTAGGGGGCCCTGTGGGGCCCCGTTAGGGGTGGTCTCACAAGACAAAAGCGACTTTTTTGTTTTGTATAATATTTTATTGAAATATTGTTACAACTGTCATAGGTAATTAAAATGGACACTTTAATGCTTATATGTACCCCAAGGAGGACTTTCTTCAAAGAATTCATAACCTCTACAGGTTTGTATAAATTTTCACTGAGTTCAATCATTTGTTGAACTCATGACAATAGTCTTTTCAACATTACAAATTTGTATTACAATACAGAACTTTTGAAAAAATCCAGTTGAAGTGTTGTTAGATTGTTCTTGTTTTGTACACAACTTTGTATACAATATCTTGAAGTCATCCTTTTTATTCTGTTTTCCAAACACATTCACAAAGGATACTACCCATCAAAAGTTACACTCACCAGTGTAAATGTAGCCACTTACTTCAGTAAACTGTTCTAAACTAGATGTTGCAAAATGCTCCATGCCGTTTAAGGGTACTGTTTACACATGAACTGATGACTTTAGCTCTTGACATGTCATCTGCCAGGCCACGGAATGTGCGTGACAGAAGCTGTTTACTTGTAGCCAACGCATGTGTATTTACAGGAGAAGTGAAGCAAAAGTACACTCTGATGGTCAACCCTCTACCTGGCTCCCCTCTCGAGCAGCTGTCACCGGAAAGTTTGAGGGTATGTCCACTACATCCAATAACATGAAAATCACATCTTTGTTCTCACTACCAGTAAACAGACATCTGAGGATAGTATGTCATGTGTTACCTTTCAGAATGACCTTTCATCTGGCCAGTCAAGGTGTATGAAAGTAAGACTATGTTAATAAGGTGTATTCCTGGCAGAATGACCTTTCATCTGGCCAGTCAAGGTGTATGAAAGTGAAGCAACCCAAACTATGTTAATAAGGTGTATTCCTGGCAGAATGACCTTTCATCTGGCCAGTCAAGGTTTATGAAAGTGAAGCAACCCAAACTATGTTAATAAGGTGTATTCCTGGCAGAATGACCTTTCATCTGGCCAGTCAAGGTGTATGAAAGTGAAGCAACCCAAACTATGTTAATAAGGTGTATTCCTGGCAGAATGACCTTTCATCTGGCCAGTCAAGGTGTATGAAAGTGAAGCAACCCAAACTATGTTAATAAGGTGTATTCCTGGCAGAATGACCTTCATCTGGCCAGTCAAGGTGTATGAAAGTGAAGCAACCCAAACTATGTTAATAAGGTGTATTCCTGGCAGAATGACCTTCATCTGGCCAGTCAAGGTGTATGAAAGTGAAGCAACCCAAACTATGTTAATAAGGTGTATTCCTGGCAGAATGACCTTTCATCTGGCCAGTCAAGGTGTATGAAAGTGAAGCAAACCCAAACTATGTTAATAAGGTGTATTCCTGGCAGAATGACCTTTCATCTGGCCAGTCAAGGTTTATGAAAGTGAAGCAACCCAAACTATGTTAATAAGGTGTATTCCTGGCAGAATGACCTTTCATCTGGCCAGTCAAGGTGTATGAAAGTGAAGCAACCCAAACTATGTTAATAAGGTGTATTCCTGGCAGAATGACCTTTCATCTGGCCAGTCAAGGTGTATGAAAGTGAAGCAACCCAAACTATGTTAATAAGGTGTATTCCTGGCAGAATGACCTTTCATCTGGCCAGTCAAGGTGTATGAAAGTGAAGCAACCCAAACTATGTTAATAAGGTGTATTCCTGGCAGAATGACCTTTCATCTGGCCAGTCAAGGTGTATGAAAGTGAAGCAACCCAAACTATGTTAATAAGGTGTATTCCTGGCAGAATGACCTTTCATCTGGCCAGTCAAGGTGTATGAAAGTGAAGCAACCCAAACTATGTTAATAAGGTGTATTCCTGGCAGAATGACCTTTCATCTGGCCAGTCAAGGTGTATGAAAGTGAAGCAACCCAAACTATGTTAATAAGGTGTATTCCTGGCAGAATGACCTTTCATCTGGCCAGTCAAGGTGTATGAAAGTGAAGCAACCCAAACTATGTTAATAAGGTGTATTCCTGGCAGAATAACCTTTCATCTGGCCAGTCAAGGTGTATGAAAGTGAAGCAAACCCAAGCTATGTTAATAAGGTGTATTCCTGGCAGAGTGACCTTTCATCTGGCCAGTCAAGGTGTATGAAAGTGAAGCAACCCAAACTATGTTAATAAGGTGTATTCCTGGCAGAATGACCTTTCATCTGGCCAGTCAAGGTGTATGAAAGTGAAGCAACCCAAGCTATGTTGATACGGGTGTATTCCCTGGCAGAATGACCTTTCATCTGGCCAGTCAAGGTGTATGAAAGTGAAGCAACCCAAACTATGTTAATAAGGTGTATTCCTGGCAGAATGACCTTCATCTGGCCAGTCAAGGGTGTATGAAAGTGAAGCAACCCAAGCTATGTTAATAAGGTGTATTCCTGGCAGAGTGACCTTTCATCTGGCCAGTCAAGGTGTATGAAAGTGAAGCAACCCAAGCTATGTTAATAAGGTGTATTCCTGGCAGAATGACCTTTCATCTGGCCAGTCAAGGTGTATGAAAGTGAAGCAACCCAAACTATGTTAATAAGGTGTATTCCTGGCAGAATGACCTTTCATCTGGCCAGTCAAGGTGTATGAAAGTGAAGCAACCCAAGCTATGTTAATAAGGTGTATTCCTGGCAGAGTGACCTTTCATCTGGCCAGTCAAGGTGTATGGAAAGTGAAGCAAACCCAAGCTATGTTAATAAGGTGTATTCCTGGCAGAATGACCTTTCATCTGGCCAGTCAAGGTGTAAGGAAAGTGAAGCAACCCAAGCTATGTTAATAAGGTGTATTCCTGGCAGAATGACCTTTCATCTGGCCAGTCAAGGTGTATGAAAGTGAAGCAACCCAAACTATGTTAATAAGGTGTATTCCTGGCAGAATGACCTTTCATCTGGCCAGTCAAGGTGTATGAAAGTGAAGCAACCCAAGCTATGTTAATAAGGTGTATTCCTGGCAGAATGACCTTCATCTGGCCAGTCAAGGTGTATGAAAGTGAAGCAACCCAAGCTATGTTAATAAGGTGTATTCCTGGCAGAATGACCTTCATCTGGCCAGTCAAGGTGTATGAAAGTGAAGCAACCCAAGCTATAGTTAATAAGGTGTATTCCTGGCAGAATGACCTTTCATCTGGCCAGTCAAGGTGTATGAAAGTGAAGCAACCCAAACTATGTTAATAAGGTGTATTCCTGGCAGAATGACCTTTCATCTGGCCAGTCAAGGTGTATGAAAGTGAAGCAACCCAAACTATGTTAATAAGGTGTATTCCTGGCAGAATAACCTTTCATCTGGCCAGTCAAGGTGTATGAAAGTGAAGCAACCCAAGCTATGTTAATAAGGTGTATTCCTGGCAGAGTGACCTTTCATCTGGCCAGTCAAGGTGTATGAAAGTGAAGCAACCCAAACTATGTTAATAAGGTGTATTCCTGGCAGAATGACCTTTCATCTGGCCAGTCAAGGTGTATGAAAGTGAAGCAACCCAAGCTATGTTAATAAGGTGTATTCCTGGCAGAATGACCTTTCATTTGGCCAGTCAAGGTGTATGAAAGTGAAGCAACCCAAGCTATGTTAATAAGGTGTATTCCTGGCAGAATAACCTTTCATCTGGCCAGTCAAGGTGTATGAAAGTGAAGCAACCCAAGCTATGTTAATAAGGTGTATTCCTGGCAGAGTGACCTTTCATCTGGCCAGTCAAGGTGTATGAAAGTAAAGCAACCCAAACTATGTTAATAAGGTGTATTCCTGGCAGAATGACCTTTCATCTGGCCAGTCAAGGTGTATGAAAGTGAAGCAACCCAAGCTATGTTCATAAGGTGTATTCCTGGCAGAATGACCTTTCATCTGGCCAGTCAAGGTGTATGAAAGTGAAGCAACCCAAACTATGTTAATAAGGTGTATTCCTGGCAGAATGACCTTCATCTGGCCAGTCAAGGTGTATGAAAGTGAAGCAACCCAAACTATGTTAATAAGGTGTATTCCTGGCAGAGGAATGACCTTATCATCTATGTTGATATCGATGTGTATTCCTGGCCAGTCAAGGTGTATGAAAGTGAAGCAACCCAAGCTATGTTAATAAGGTGTATTCCTGGCAGAGTGACCTTCATCTGGCCAGTCAAGGTGTATGAAAGTGAAGCAACCCAAACTATGTTAATAAGGTGTATTCCTGGCAGAATGACCTTTCATCTGGCCAGTCAAGGTGTATGAAAGTGAAGCAACCCAAACTATGTTAATAAGGTGTATTCCTGGCAGAATGACCTTTCATCTGGCCAGTCAAGGTGTATGAAAGTGAAGCAACCCAAACTATGTTAATAAGGTGTATTCCTGGCAGAATGACCTTTCATCTGGCCAGTCAAGGTGTATGAAAGTGAAGCAACCCAAGCTATGTTAATAAGGTGTATTCCTGGCAGAGTGACCTTTCATCTGGCCAGTCAAGGTGTATGAAAGTGAAGCAACCCAAACTATGTTGATACGGTGTATTCCTGGCAGAATAACCTTCATCTGGCCAGTCAAGGTGTATGAAAGTGAATCAACCCAAACTATGTTGATACGGTGTATTCCTGGCAGAATGACCTTTCATCTGACCAGTCAAGGTGTATGAAAGTGAAGCAACCCAAACTATGTTAATAAGATGTATTCCTGGCAGGATGACCTTTCATCTGGCCAGTCAAGGTGTATGAAAGTGAAGCAACCCAAGCTATGTTAATAAGGTGTATTCCTGGCAGAATGACCTTTCATCTGGCCAGTCAAGGTGTATGAAAGTGAAGCAACCCAAACTAAGTTGATACGTTGTATTCCTGGCAGAATGACCTTTCATCAGACCAGTCAAGGTGTATGAAAGTGAAGCAACCCAAGCTATGTTAATAAGATGTATTCCTGGCAGAATGACCTTTCATCTGGCCAGTCAAGGTGTATGAAAGTGAAGCAACCCAAGCTATGTTAATAAGGTGTATTTCTGGCAGAATGACCTTTCATCTGGCCAGTCAAGGTGTATGAAAGTGAAGCAAAGCAAACTATGTTAATAAGGTGTATTCCTGGCAGAATGACCTTCATCTGGCCAGTCAAGGGTTGAATGGAAGCAACTGCATGTTAATACTGATTCCAAGTTAGAATATTCCTGAATGTTCTGTTACTGTTTGGTTTTCAGTTATGAAACAAGACCTCTTGTCAAACTATTTTTCAAATTGTTGTTTGAAATGGAAGTTGCCAAGTTAAAACTAGTGTTTTATAGGTCAAGAAAGCTCTCTGACTAGCTGCTGTTGACTGTGCCGATATCAGTCAAAGTTTGTGAATGGTAATTGATGTCACCTGTAATTGAGTGTGCTCAAGAACTCCTCATCTGGCAGTAATGAGCAATAACTAATGGCTGTGGTTGAAATGAAACTGCATGATTGTGACAATATAAATATATGCTATCTGAAGTATATTCAGTTAAATCAGATCTATTGGCTTTACTTCAGAATTGACTTTCATTTTGTGTGACTCTTGAATTGCTGTGAGCGTCAAACTGTAAGAACAGTTTCATAGTCATGTGACCTGCTTCTTTATTTGTACTGATCAGTTATATTGTTTGGTTGACGAAGTTGTTGTGAAGCATCTGCACATACATGTCCAATATCCAAACACATGAGTATAACATACTTGCAACTTGATCCAACTAAACCACTAAACCATCACCTCTCTCTCTCCCAATGACCAGCCTGAGGTGGATGTGACAATCTCCGTCAATGACCCTTTGCTGGACGAGAACCAACTGAAGGATGGAAACCTGTTGACCATCACCATGGAAACGTTGTACTCTCCTCCTGAGAACTGGCTCCTCACAGGGCAACAGTTCTACTATGCTTCAACACTACCCATCCCCATCACGTCGGAGGTGAGGGCTGACTCGGTAGCAGATATATGGGGAGTGGAATAGGTTTAAATATATTTGGACTAAAGTTATTCTAAGGTTTGGTCAGTTTGGTGAAATTTATAAATGCTATAAAACATGTGTAGAGGTTAATTTGTTAATATATTGCTGACAATAAAATAGGGTCAGGAATGTTTTAGATCTAGCTATTGTTGGGGTGTACATAACTGAGGTATTTCATTGGAATGCAACATCATGGTGAAATTTTACATCATGCATGAACGGTATGTGATGCACAAAGCCAACAGCCTGGGATGGACTCAGCAACATCAGCAACAGGATGTGCACCACCATGCTTCAAGGCTTTGCCTCTCATTTGCAAATGTCAAGAAACGCTGTTGGCAACAGTGAGCAGTATGGACATCACTTCTTGGCCATGATTGGCGTTGGGGGGTAGTGTTATTATCACACACAATAACAGATTTGGCAATAGATATGCTGACCAACTCTCATGTTTTCTGGTTCCATTAGTTAGAATAACAGACTAAAATTTTGCACTTCATGGCTAAGTCATCACGGACTATCTATGATCAAAGCATAACAACATTTACATGGCTTGTAAAGCCTCCCAACTTGTGTTCAATAGAGCATCTGTGGGATGTTCTTGGTTGGAGATCATCTAATAAGACTCAACTCCTGCCAACGTAGCCCAGTTTGGGATAGCTCTTCAAGCAGGCAATACCAAGGGCATTTCACATGATAATGAACAGCATGCCAGATAATCTGTGCAATGTATAGCCGAACATGGTAGGCACACCAGATACTGATCTACATGCCCCAAATTACAGAATTATGATTGTAAGAGTTTACTGTGGGGAATGTTTTGTCTGTGCAATGACCACATTGCAAGGTTTGTGTTTGATGTTATTACAGAAGGAGTCCACAATCGTGTTCCCCCATGGCCAGCTCAAGCCCGGCACTGACAAGGAGATGCCCAACAAACAGAAGAAATGGGCGTCGCCTGGACAGGCTCAGGGGAATGCTATATACATCACTGATGCGTACGTTGTCTTGTTGTGGATCACGTGATAGTTGCAGCTGATCTTTAGAGCCATTGTTGATCATCCTTCAAGTGCACACAAAGTAAACTGTTTTAATAATATATCCACACTAGGAAGTGTTTCATAACTGTTTCATCACAGTAAAAATACAAAAGATATTATCACAGTAAAAATGCTGAAGATATTATCATAGTACAAATGCTGAAGATATTATTACAGTAATAAGACCTCCTGAAATAGTTACAGCACATGCTGAAGTTACAGCACATACTGAAGTTACAGCACCTACTGGAGTTACAGCACATACACTGTTCCCTGGGAATATTTGCCCTGACTTATATTTCCTACCAGTTGGTAGCTATCTTGTTCCTCCTACTGAATATATTATATATACAGTTAAGTACTTAGTAATACAGTTGGTTACAACTGACCATTATCACTGAAAGTTTGCAAACAAAAATGGAGACTAATTGTTTTCAAAATTCAGACCTTGTAATAAAAATATAGCCAATTAAAACACACACACACTGTTCATAAACGATATCATTCAACAAGGGGAGTAACTCTCTTTGGTATTTTCTTGAGTAAGATGATTTTATGCTTGTGTAATAGTCGCATTGTTTAGAATCATGATTCCACGTGTTTAGTGATGATACGTTTATTGACAAATCTATGCATGTCATTTTGAAGAATTGGGTGGAATTGTGCCCCACTTGAACTGTGATTGGTCAAAGGTTATTAAGACTGTTGACACAGTATCTACAGGAATGACACTACCATTTGTTCAAATTCAGAAGGTGAAGGGGTATTTTAGTTCATGTATTATATGATCCATGTTGTCTTGGAGGTACAGGGGCATCTTGGTCCATTTGATCCTTGTTGTCTTTGAGGAGCAGTACATCTTGATCCATATGATCCATGTTGGAAGAGCAGTGGCTTCTTGGATGATCCATGTTGTCTTGGAGGAGCAGTGGGATCCATGTTGTCTTGGAGGTCTTGGTGCATATGATCCATGTTGACTTGGAAGAGCAGTACATCTTGGTCCATATGATCCATGTTGTCTTGGAGGAACAGTGGCTTCTTGATCCATATGATCCATGTTGTCTTGGAAGAGCAGTACATCTTGGTCCATATGATTCATGTTGTCTTGGAGGTACAGTGAACAGTCCATGATCCATGTTATCTTGGAGGAACCATCTTGGTCCATATGATCCATGTTGTCTTGGAGGGAGCAGTACATCTTGGTCCATATGATCCATGTTGTCTTGGAGGAGGGGCATCTTGGTGATCCATGTTGCCTTGGAAGAGCAGTACATTTTTGTCCATATGATCCATGTTGTCTTGGAGGTACAGTGGCATCTTGGTCCATATGATCCATGTTGTCTTGGAGGTACAGTGGCATCTTGATCCATATGATCCATGTTGTCTTGGAGGAGCAGTACATTTTGGTCGATATGATCCATGTTGTCTTGGAGGAGCAGTACATCTTGGTCCATATGATCCATGTTGTCTTGGAGGTACAGTGGCATCTTGGTCCATATGATCCATGTTGTCTTGGAAGAGCAATACATCTTGATCCATATGATCCATGTTGTCTTGGAGGAACAGGGGCATCTTGGTCCATATGATCCATGTTGTCTTGGAGGAACAGTACATCTTGGTCCATATGATCCATGTTGTCTTGGAGGAACAGGGGCATCTTGGTCCATATGATCCATGTTGCCTTGGAGGAGCAGTACATCTTGGTCCATATGATCCATGTTGTCTTGGAGGAACAGGGGCATCTTGGTCCATATGATCCATGTTGCCTTGGAAGAGCAGTACATTTTTGTCCATATGATCCATGTTGTCTTGGAGGTACAGTGGCATCTTGGTCCATATGATCCATGTTGTCTTGGAGGTACAGTGGCATCTTGATCCATATGATCCATGTTGTCTTGGAGGAGCAGTACATCTTGGTCCATATGATCCATGTTGTCTTGGAGGAGCAGTACATCTTGGTCCATATGATCCATGTTGTCTTGGAAGAGCAGTACATCTTGGTCCATATGATCCATGTTGTCTTGGAGGAACAGGGGCATCTTGGTCCATATGATCCATGTTGCCTTGGAAGAGCAGTTGCATCTTGGTCCATATGATCCATGTTGTCTTGGAAGAGCAGTACATCTTGGTCCATATGAGCCTTATTGTTGTTTTTGAGATCTGGTATCTTCGGCTTATACAAATGCATTGTCCTGGTGGTGAAGGTATATCTTCGATCATATGATCCATATTGATACTAGGGCTGCAATGACTCCACTATTTGGTGAATATGATACATATCAAGAATATTGGGTAAAAATATGAATATTGGGACAAATACAATGGGTGAATCGTGACAGCACTAATGGTTACCCATGGTAACCAGATGTGTCCTGATTATTTAGGTATGTCTCGGCCGACACTGTGGAAGATGAAGATGGGGAGCTGCGAGGCAAGGAGGACCGGGAGCACCGGGCCGTGTCGGAGATGGACAAGAACCGTATCACCTGGAACACTGAGAGGCGATGCTACATGGAGACCTCATCTGTCAAAGGGTAGGCAAACATACAGGCATACATATACAGACCTACTACATAAGGGGCTGGTGATGTTTCATTGGGGTGGTGCTGCATAGCTTGAGCGGGAATGGTCCAACGACTGTATCATAATATCTTGCTGACTTCGCACATTTAATCATGTTTCCATGCCTCCCTCCACCATGTGATGAATGACCTGTACCGACATAGTTTTCATATTTGTTCATTCAAACTTGTAGGCTTGAAAATATACTGAAATAACAGTCCTTTTTCATTGCACCCTCCATATAGTCGTCATGAGTTTTGGTGAGAACCCTCAGCCGCTAGTCCCTCCTCATCCTTCACCCCTTCACGTGACCAGTCCTGGAGCATCCATCATGATGACATCATCATCAGCACCATGCACACATACCATGCATACTATTTGAGAATATCATGCACCCATCTCCAAAATATACTGAAGGAAACAAATAAGGGATGACATGAAAGCACAAGTGTTCCTTTATTTTTTTCCAGGTTTCTTCACAAACTTAATGTATTGCTTTCATGTGATCCCTTATCAGTTTCCCTCAGTATATAATCTTGAACAGTCACTGTTCTTGCCCAGTGGAAGGTTGGAAGAAAGATGTTTATTCAGAAAAATGACTTACAGTTTCCAAGACTCCATTGCCAAGACGCGGTACTGGCCAGTGGAGATCTTCCGTCTGCCACAGCCTTCAGCGGGGAAAGGAAAGAAGGTGAGACAGATTTCTGAAGGTGTTTGCCAGATGTCAGATTTGATCTGTAGAATTATAACGTGTGTGATAAATGTTACTTGTGTGGTAAATTACTGAGTGGTAGAACTTGTTATCCCAGTTGATAAACTTGTGTGATAAACTTGTGCAGTATGTGCAGTAAAATTGTTCAACATTTTGTTATTCAAACTGCAACACTTGTGTGTGTTATTTTTTCAGTTAATATGGGTCTGTAAGGTTTGCCGCTGGTCATACCAGCAGAACACTGTGCTTGGGCTTGTAAATGTCATATCCTATTATGGCTTTGAAATATTGGCAACATTGTGAAAAGCTTTTCTTTTTTTTAATATATTTTTAGCTTCATAGAACAGAATATTGCTGTAGAAAGCAGAACAATACCTCTTGCAAAAGAGAGAATTATGGTCAAATGAAATGGTGGTCCTAAAGCCATTTATGGTGAAATTAGTGGAACACCCATGCTCATTGTTTGAGTCTTTATCATTGCACTGAAGTGTCACATACTGATGAAACAGCAGTGAGTTAGAACTATCCATCTGTCTGATGAACACTGTCTGTGATGAACATGTCTTTGATGAACACTGTCCGTGATGAACACTGTCTGTGATGAACTCTGTCTGTGATTTAAGTAATGAGCCCCATACTATGTCCTGCATCACTAGGTCAGCTGATCAAGAAATCCAGGTCTTGAGAAGATTATTCTAATATTAATAACACTCTTCTATATTTTTTGACACAAATATAATCTCAACCCTGATGAAATTCTTCAACCTGTAATTCAGATGACTTTGTGATACATACATACATACATACATACATACATACATACATACATACATACATACATACATACATACATACATACATACATACATACATACATACATACATACATACATACATACATACATACATACATACATACATACATAATATACATACATACATGCTTTACATAAGATACATACCATACATACATACAAATGTGACTGACCAATGAAAGTGTTGGCACTGTGACTGACCAAAAGGCATTAAGAATCACTAAAATGTACATGAAAAGGTATCAGACAGTTAATTAATTCACTCAGTCTTTCTATTTATGTCCACAGCCTGATCTATCTGTTGTGGTGTTGCGAGCTAGTTGACTGCTGGAGTATACAGTTTATCATACATTTACATGTTTTCAGCAGAACCCAACTCCCTCACAACAAAATATTAAGGTATAAGTGTGTGAAGCTTCAGTCAATCAGGCCTTTAGTTATAGCCTTCACTAACCGCCAATTAGTACACAGGTACCCAGAGCTTTTCAGACATTCTCACTAACTTAATAGTTCCAGTGTTACTTGCTTTAATTTAACAATTAGATTATTCATTCATACATATATATTTCATATTTCAAAGTTTGAATTAATAACACAAAATATTTTCATGCTCTTCTTTTTAATAGTTTAAGCTTTATGTTGATTTATTTGTTGACAAGCTGACTTTAAGTTCATAGAAGACAAAGTAGAAACAGTAAAGTGTCTTCATTCTTCAAGTAATCTAGGTTGTACTACATTGTAGGTGATCTAGGTTGTACTACATTGTAGGTGATCTAGGTTATACTACATGTATAGGTGATCTAGGTTATACTACATGTGTAGGTGATCTAGGTTGTACTACATTATAGGTGATCTGGTTATACTACATGTATAGGTGATCTAGATTGTACTACATTGTGAGTGATCTAGGTTGTACTGCATGTATAGGTGATCTAGGTTGTACTACATTGTAGGTGATCTAGGTTGTACTACATCTGTAAGTGATCTAGGTCGTACTACATTGTAGGTGATCTAGGTTATACTACATGTATAGGTGATCTAGGTTGTACTACATTGTAGGTAATCTGGGTTATTCTACATTGTAGGTGATCTAGGTTGTACTACACTGTAGGTGATCTAGGTTGTGCTACATTGTAGGTGATCTAGGTTATACTGCATGTGTAGGTGATCTAGTTGTACTACATGTATAGGTGATCTAGGTTGTACTACATTGTAGGTGATCTAGGTTGTACTACATTGTGGGTGATCTAGTTTATGCTACATGTATAGGTGATCTAGGTTGTACTACATTGTGGGTGATCTGGGCTGTACTACATTGTGGGTGATCTAGGTTATGCTACATGTGTAAGTAATCTGGGCTGTAGTACATTGTGGGTGATCTAGGCTGAACTACGTTTTGGATGATCTAGGTTGTGCTACATTGTAGGTGATCTGGGCGGAACTACATTGTGGGTGATCTAGGCTGTACTACGTTGTGGGTGATCTAGGTTGTACTACATTGTGGGTGATCTAGGCTGTACTACGTTGTGGGTGATCTAGGTTGTACTACATTGTAGGTGATCTAGGTTGTACTACATTGTAGGTGATCTAGGTTGTACTACATTGTGGGTGATCTAGGTTGTACTACATTGTGGGTGATCTTAGGTTGTACTACATTTGGTAAGGTGACCTAGGGCTACATGTGTGAGTATGTACTAGGTTGTACTACATTGTAGGTGATCTAGGTTATGCTACATGTGTAAGTAATCTGGGCTGTAGTACGCTGTGGGTGATCTAGGCTGAACTACGTTTTAGATGATCAAGGTTGTGCTACATTGTGGGTGATCTGGGCTGTACTACATTGTGGGTGATCTAGGTTGTACTACATTGTAGGTGATCTAGGCTGTACTACGTTGTGGGTGATCTAGGTTGTACTACATTGTGGGTGATCTGGGTTGTGCTACATTGTAGGTGATCTGGGCTGTACTACATTGTGGGTGATCTACCCAGGTTATGCTACATGTGTAAGTGATCTAGATTGTGCTAAATTGTAGGTAATCTAGGTTGTACTACATTGTAGGTGACCTAGGCTGTACTACATGTGTAGGTGATCTAGGTTGTACCCCAGCCATACTGGGACTGACCTGGAATCTTGTAGCAGGCTTCCAGAACACCTCATGTATATGTTTCCGTGATGCTTCTAATCACTCGGCAGCATAACAAGTTCCCTTGGAACGATATGTGTTTGTTGTAATTCAATAATTAGCATCAAATCTCTTCTGCCACAATGTACTTCCCTAACCTTGGAGCAGAGGAAATCTTTGTGTGACCTTGGACACAAGAGTACCAAGAGTTATACGAAGGCAACACATCTTGTGAGGCTTGCATGTACAGTCAGGCCGCGGTAATCCGGTCCTCGTTAATCCGAATCCACCGACTTCCGAACGCTACTCACCGGGCACCAAATCATCTCCCTATATATTGTATATAATTGACACCTCGTTAGTCCGATGATTCAGTTTCCGCTTCCGAACGCTGGTCAGTCGGAACGGATTGGACTAATTAAGTTGTAAACAGCTGCGTTAATCCGAACGATTGAAGTTGACTGCACTGCTGACTGGTCCACCCAAAGTGACACGTTGTTTGTTTAGTTTAACTTAGCAACTCATCCCTTTGATCCCTTTATCATAAGTGATAGGGAAATTTCGACGACCACGCTGTTTTGGGAAAGACTTCAATCCAGAAATATATGCTCGGTAAATGCAATTAAAATTATAAACTATTTTTTCGTGAATGTTATTGAAAACAACGATTCTCGGACACATGCTTCGCAGCTAGGGTCCACAATAACATTGTCAAAGAGCAAAGTAACGATGTAAATTGAATAAACTAATGAATAAAATCCAATTGTACTACATTGTAAGTGATTTAGGCTGTACTACATGTGTAGGTGATCTAGGTTGTACTACATTGTAGGTGACCTAGGCTGTACTACATGTGTAGGTGATGTAGGTTGTACTACATTGTAGGTAATCTAGGCTGTACTACAAGCGTAGGTGATCTAGGTTGTACTACATTGTAGGTGACCTAGGCTGTACTACATGTGTAGGTGATCTAGGTTGTACCCCAGCCATACTGGGACTGACCTGGAGTCTTGTAGCAGGCTTCCAGAACACTTCATGTATATGTTTCCGTGATGCTTCTAATCACTCAGCAGCATAACAAGTTCCCATGACACGATATGTGATTGTAGTAATTCAATAATTAGCGTCAAATCTCTTCTACCGCAATGTACTTCCCTAACCTGGAAGCAGAGGAAATCTTTGTATGACCTTGGACACGAGAGTACCAAGAGTTATACGAAGGCAACACATCGGCTTGCATGTACGTGTATTTCATAATATACTTCAATGCCTTTTTGATAATTGTAATGGTTACTGGGCTTCAGCTTTGACATCTAATCACAATAATCCTGTTCAGATGTTTACAAGAGCTGTAACTTGTGATGCTTTAGGGCCTTGTTCCACAATGTGATCTGATCATACGTGATAGAACGCTGTAGTTTAACACATGGACTTGCAAAAGACAGTTCTGTTTATGGAATAAGGCCCAGGACTTGTGTAGACAGTTCTAGATGTGAACTTGTATACAGACATGTATCTGTATCAGCTGTGGTACCATGTATTGTACCATGGCACTGATTCAGATACATAATCTTCAGTAAGGGACCGTTCATAGTTGGAGGTGTGGGTGTGGTGGGTTGGATGATGATTTTAAGGGGGAGTCAACCCATTTTGTTCTGGGGAGGTGTAGGGAAGGGGGGAATCATCAATTTTGTATACATGTACTAGCGGGGGGTCAGAACCCCCAACCCAACTCCCACCCCCAAGCCATAAATTATGAATGGTCCCTAATGTAGGGAGTCCGACCTTGGTCCAATTAGATAAACAGATGATTCACTTGAAGTGTATTTTTGGTAAAACATGAGATTTCAGTGAATTACTATTTTGTGTTTGCATGTTATTTTGTTTTGAAGAACAAACTGATTTAACAGTTTTAATTTCAAACCAATACAATAGTTTTGTAATAGATGTATTTACCAAAAAAGAGGTATTTTATTGTTGTCGGAGGTATAAGGATATTCCTGTTGTGTTAGATATTCCTGTGTTAGATAGAAGTGTCTTATCATTCTTTAACCCATGTTTACTGATAATTAGGTTTTAGTTTTGCTTTCTGAAAGTGTTACATTTCTGTTATTTTGGAAACTAATAAAACTGCGTGCAATGAACCCTGTACACTGTACAGATGTACTGTATACAGCATGTGGTGTATATATGAAGGGCCATGTCCTCAAACACTTTAAGATGGTCCAGTTTGGTGCCTGTCTGAATTCTAAATATAACGAAATACTTTTATGCAAATTCCAATTACCTGAAAAGCTTAACCAAAATAACTCTCAGATTTTTTTAATGATAATCAGAAATATGGGTTTCTCGTTGAACAGATTTTCGGTATCCAAGGAAGTGTAATCCATGTTTTGATGTGTCTGACAGAAACTAGCAGTGGGGTGATAGCTGATGGTTGTGTGATGTTGCAGGATGATGAGGGGTCCATCAGCTTCCACGGAGTGGCCTTCATCAACCTGGCGCCTCTCCTCTACCCAGGGGGTGAGTGATATAAATGGAATAGTGATGTTGAATCCAATTTGGATAATTAAATGCTCGTTTGTTTCAATTTTTGCATTCCTTCGTCTGTCGTATCAGTTTTGGAAAATGGATGAAGAGAGTACCATCAGTAAAGTCAGATGCTTGCAAATGGCCAGTTTTCTAAGGCAGTACAGTATAGTACCCAGAGTTAAATCCCTTGGGTATGCCAGGATTTCAGTCTCAAATTTACATTGACTATTTTCCATGGTCCACCAACAACATACTCATTCTGAGAGTTTTTGACCTGTGTCAGTTTGAACTCACTCTCTCACTGGCACCTGGATGAGTGAGTGAGTGAGTGAATGAGTTGAGTTTTACATCGCTTTTAGCAATTTTTCAGCAATATGATGGCGGGGGACACCAGAAATGGGCGGTACCTGCTAGAGCTAACTGAGCTAACTGAGCTTATATTGCTGGCAACTAATGAAGGCAATGTTAAGCCAGCACTCACTGCTTGAACACAAACCTTGCCATTGTCACTAGTTCTTAGCAGCTGCAACAATTGCATGACAACAGCCAATGTAATTATGTGATAGCTTCTTGGAGTTGTCAAGAATGAATAATTAACAATCTGTAAATTATTGACCGACAAGTAGTCAATATGTCTTTAATTGTTTTCTCCTTACAGTCAAGCGGATCAGAGGGGCGTACAAGGTGTATGCATACACTGACCATCTGCTGCATGAAAAGGTATGAAAAACTCTCATGTGTAAATCATTCACACTGCCTGTACAAGACACACTGAGTATGTTCTACTTCCTACTGGCTGGCTTTCTGGTGGTATTCTATGTGGGTTTACTTCCTAGTTTCTTAAGGTAGTCTTGGCCGCTAAGGTTGTTTTGTACAACGGCACCCAGATCACACTCCCATTGAGCATGTTTGGAATATAATGGGTCACAGAATACTCCAGGGAGATCCTGCAGTACAAAACTTGTATTGGAACAAACCTTCCTCAAGAATGGAACGCTATACCTCAAAGTCAAATTCAAGGTCTGATACAGTCAGTGAGGAGGAGGGTGAGGGCTGTTGTTGCAGTTGATGGAGGTTACACCAGATATTGACATTGTGCTCCGTTATTGATACTATTTCTTGAGGACTGTACACCCGAATCTTGACAATGACCGTACAAAGTTGTACAACCATAGTTATCAGCACTTCAGAATGTGTCATTTTTAGCCATGTTTGTTTCTATGAATAAGCTATAGTTTTTGGTTCTTTTTGTGTTTAATTATTCCTTGAGGGTCAGTTTACCCACATAGTAATACAAAATGAGGTTGGATAAAATGTTTTGCTATGGTTAATGGTAACATATCGATACTATGAAAAATACAGGGTGTTGCCCTACTTTTGTCCATGTGTATATATACACTGTACAGTATCCTTGCCTCATGTCAGCTCATAGTGCTCATCATGTACATGGGGAATCTCAAAGTTTGAAATTCATTTCTCTGTTCAGACGAAGAGAAAGTTGGGAATAGCTGAAGAGGCTGCAAAGATGGCATTCAACATTCTAAACAGAAACAGCACCTCCCCTTCCCCGAAGAAAGTTGTGAAGGACAAGGAGGGAGACAAGAAGGAGGTCAAGAAGGGGGTAGGTGTTGTCCTCCCTGTGGATCGCAATAACTGGCAGAACATTTGTCAGCAATAGGAAACAGCTTATTTTAAATACATATAACCTGCTATGATGGGATTTTGGAACTTTCAAATCAAGATGTGTTTTTGATTTGATTTAAAAATTAAATTTAACATGTCACCGTAACTTGATTTCTAAATTTGTGTACACAAAGTATAAGTGTGGTGTATCTGTAGTCTGTAGTTACATGTCATGTTGGATACTGGTGTCTATGTGTTATGTAGTCCTGCTTCCTAGCACCTGGTGTCTAGGCTCTGTAGAGGAATATTGGCTCCTGCACATAGTCAGCTTCTTGTCATCAGCTTCAGGGACATGGCTAGGGACCTGTGTGTCCATCAGGGGACAGGGTTCAGGGGCACTAGGGACATGCTAGGGACATGCTGTGTGTCCATCAGGGTCAGGGGTGGACATGGCTAGGGGGGTCCAGGGGCACTAGGGACATTGATAGGGACCTGTGTGTCCACCTGGGACAGGGGGTCCAGGGTCTAGGGGGCACCTGGTCCATCAGGGTCCAGGGGCACCAGGACATTGCTAGGGACCTGTGTGTCCATCAGGGTCCAGGGGCACTAGGGACATGCTAGGGGGGACCTGTGTGTCCATCAGTCCAGGGTCCAGGGGCACCTGGGACATTGCTAGGGACCTGTGTGTGTCAGGGTCCAGGGCAACAGGGTAGGGACCAGGGGCACAGGGTCTAGGGGCACCAGGGACATTAGGCTAGGGACCTGTGTGTCCATCAGGGTCTAGGGGCACCTGGGACATTGCTAGGGACCTGTGTGTCCATCAGGGTCTAGGGGCACCTGGGACATTGCTAGGGACCTGTGTGTCCATCAGGGTCTAGGGGCACCTGGGACATGCTAGGGACCTGTGTGTCCATCAGGGTCTAGGGGCACCTGGGACATGCTAGGGACCTGTGTTGTCCATCAGGGTCAGGGCAGGGGCACCTGGGACATGCTAGGGACCTGTGTGTCCATCAGGGTCCAGGGGCACCAGGGACATGGCTACCTGTGTGTCCATCAGGGTCCAGGGCACCTGGGACATACCTAGGGACCTGTGTGAGGGTCCCTGGGTAGGGACCTGTGTGTCCATCAGGGTCCAGGGGGACCTGTGTGTCCATCAGGGTCCAGGGGGACATTGCTAGGGACCTGTGTGTCCATCAGGGTCCAGGGGCACCAGGGACATTGCTAGGGACCTGTGTGTCCATCAGGGTCCAGGGGCACCTGGGACAGGGGTGTCCATCAGGGCACCAGGGACATACCTAGGGACCTGTTTGTCCATCAGGGTCCAGGGGACATTGCTAGAGACCTGTGTGTCCATCAGGGTCCAGGGCACCTGGGACATTGCTAGGGACCTGTGTGTCCATCAGGGTCCAGGGGCACCTGGGACATTGCTAGGGACCTGTGTGTCCATCAGGGTCCAGGGGCACCGGGACATTGCTAGGGACCTGTGTGTCCATCAGGGTCTAGGGGCACCTGGGACATGGCTAGGAACCTGTGTGTCCATCAGGGTCCAGGGGCACCTGGAACATGGCTAGTGACCTGTGTGTACCATCAGGGCTCTCAGGGTGGAGGGGCCTAACTCTGTGTCCATCAGGGCCCTCAGACTAGACGGGCCTTACTTTGTTGATCAGGACTCTTGGGGCTCTTGTCTGGTATGAAACCTGTTTTGCTTGCTGAATCTGCTGAGGTGTATGCTTCTGTCGAAACTTGAGACATACTGGGGTTATAACATCACTACATCATCGTTTATTAACTTGTGAATATTTAGCAAATGTATGAACAAAATTACAAATATAAATGTATGAAAAACAAATATAATAGGTTTATATATAAGGTTTAACTTGTTTAAATACTTGTATCCTGTAAACTTAAAAGGAAGAATGAATAAACGAATCAATCTACCATTCTGATTTGTTAGCTTCAGATGAAGAAAACTAGTTAACAAATGTTCATGAATATACATATTTAAAAAACCCCTCAAATCCTGAACAACTATCTCAACAATCTCTGAACCCAATAAATCTATATGAACTGACACTAGAGAGGTGTTAAGCCTATGTCCTGGTGTGTGCTATGTCTGGCATGATGGCTGTGCTTCAGTGCTCTGCTTACTCCTTCTTCCAGCGCTCAAATAGCATCCTGCCCTCAGGTCAAGGTGACCTGCTCGAGGTTTGTGTCGTCGTCGTTGTTGTTGTTGTTTATCTGCCTCTGTACCTGGGTGTTCCTCCATGTATCTGCTCTGGCTATTACTAACTGTGCTTACTCCTCATCAGGGAGATTTCTACCTACAAACTCTCCGAACTGATGTACCACTCACATTAGTTTCATCCCAAGGATCATAGGTGTCACTGTGAATATACCCACTGGAAAATTTAGCTTTAATTATCAGAACTTTGTAATAACTATTTTTATGTTTGGTATTTGTTTCTTGTTAATTTTATAATGGATCTCTGCGCATTTTTCATTTTGATCACAAACGCAAAGTATGTGACATAATCTGCTTCACTAAAACAGTGTATAAATATTCACCCTTGCAATGTACAATCTTATGAAGGTATTTTATAAATCTGTTTTCATGTAAAAGTGATATTTCTTTTCACTATGTACTTTTATTACCTCTGGCCCTTGGCTCCTTTCTAATCATGTTTGAAAACCATTTGCACTACTAAATTCACTTTTTGAGATTGTGTGTTGCAAGGTGAATAACAGCATGATTTATTGAAGTGAAATATTCATATAAGTTTGCTTTGTGAAGTTGAAGATAAACCAGATTTTTATAATGTACTAATTTGAATTTTAATGTTTTATTTTGTTTCTATTCAGGAAATAGGTCTGTCCTTTTGTTTCAGAGATCAGGTTATTATTATTGTGATTATCATTGACTGCATCATGAGTTTTATCACTATTGTAAATATCTACTTAGTTTTGTGTCTTGGCAAATATTGGTAGTAAACATCATAATTTCAGTAAAGTTTCTTGTGGAAGAATTATATTCTTAAGGACATTACTCTCAGTACAAGTTGCCTTCTCTTACCCCTAGTTCTTCATCATTTCAGAAATGCCCAAGAACTTTCAGAAATGGTTGTGAGATTACCAACATGTACATGTGACTATATATATACAGCCCTCGTTCATTTCAAAAGCTGCATGTTTTGGAAATATGACTTCACTCAATTTCCATATTTTCAAACTTAAAATGTGTCTGAAGGATGGATATTACGTGGAAGTATTTGGAATCCCAAGCTGTATAGTCAGATTTTATTTGAAAGTTTGAAACGTCTGTGCCCTTCTCTACATTAACACAACTCTTGTGTATTAAATCATGCCAGAATCCAAGTTATGTCTGAAAATCTTCTTTCAAGTTATAATGACTTCAACATCTCAGATTCCCAGTGTGCTAAGGGCAATTATGCAAGTTTGCTCTTCTTGTATAAATCTTTATGTCGTTTATACAAACAGAATGACTGCCATGTCCAAATTTCAAGCACAAGTTTATTGGAAGGACTTCCTGTACTTTATGCAGCAGACTTTCTATAAGTGTACTTGGGTGAATCATTTCTATAAGTGTACTTGGGTGAATCATTTCTATAAGTGTACTTGGGTGAATCATTTCTATAAGTGTACTTGGGTGAATTATTTCTATAAGTGTACTTGGGTGAATCATTTCTATAAGTGTACTTGGGTGAATCATTTCTATAAGTGTACTTGGGTCAATCATTTCTATAAGTGTACTTGGGTGAATTATTTCTATAAGTGTACTTGGGTGAATTATTTCTATAAGTGTACTTGGGTGAATCATTTCTATAAGTGTACTTGGGTGAATCATTTCTATAAGTGTACTTGGGTGAATTATTTCTATAAGTGTACTTGGGTGAATCATTTCTATAAGTGTACTTGGGTGAATCATTTCTATAAGTGTACTTGGGTGAATCATTTCTATAAGTGTACTTGGGTGAATCATTTCTATAAGTGTACTTGGGTGAATCATTTCTATAAGTGTACTTGGGTGAATCATTTCTATAAGTGTACTTGGGTGAATCATTTCTATAAGTGTACTTGGGTGAATCATTTCTATAAGTGTACTTGGGTGAATTATTTCTATAAGTGTACTTGGGTGAATTATTTCTATAAGTGTACTTGGGTGAATCATTTCTATAAGTGTACTTGGGTGAATCATTTCTATAAGTGTACTTGGGTGAATCATTTCTATAAGTGTACTTGGGTGAATCATTTCTATAAGTGTACTTGGGTGAATTATTTCTATAAGTGTACTTGGGTGAATCCTTTCTATAAGTCTACTTGGGTGAATCATTTCTATAAGTGTACTTGGGTGAATTATTTCTATAAGTGTACTTGGGTGAATCATTTCTATAAGTGTACTTGGGTGAATCATTTCTATAAGTGTACTTGGGTGAATCATTTCTATAAGTGTACTTGGGTCAATCATTTCTATAAGTGTACTTGGGTGAATCATTTCTATAAGTGTACTTGGGTGAATTATTTCTATAAGTGTACTTGGGTGAATCATTTCTATAAGTGTACTTGGGTGAATCATTTCTATAAGTCTACTTGGGTGAATCATTTCTATAAGTGTACTTGGGTGAATCATTTCTATAAGTGTACTTGGGTGAATTATTTCTATAAGTGTACTTGGGTGAATTATTTCTATAAGTGTACTTGGGTGAATCATTTCTATAAGTGTACTTGGGTGAATCATTTCTATAAGTGTACTTGGGTGAATCATTTCTATAAGTGTACTTGGGTGAATCATTTCTATAAGTGTACTTGGGTGAATCATTTCTATAAGTGTACTTGGGTGAATTATTTCTATAAGTGTACTTGGGTGAATCATTTCTATAAGTGTACTTGGGTGAATCATTTCTATAAGTGTACTTGGGTGAATCATTTCTATAAGTGTACTTGGGTGAATCATTTCTATAAGTCTACTTGGGTCAATCATTTCTATAAGTGTACTTGGGTCAATCATTTCTATAAGTGTTCTTGGGTCAATCATTTTGTCTGAAGCAATTTCCACAGAACTGTCCTGCAGACAATCAGACTGAATCTCCATCTCAAGCAGTTGACTTAGAGAATATTGCTTTTATACAGTCACCTAATTATACAAAGTATGTTTAGCACCTCTGAATGTCTACAGAAGGAATGTATATTCCTTGAGTAGTTAACATGGTTAAGACAAATATTTTCTTTACGCATATAAAACAAAATATATAGGAACAGAAACACACTTTGATTTACTTCATATTTTAAGCACATCATTTTAAAGGGTTCATCTCAAAGACAGTTTGCATCACCCATTCAGTGAACACTAGTTTCCTGAAGATTTTGTATGGTATAACAGTTCTGTATGGTATGTTCAGGGACAAATCCTTCCCTAGTACTGGTAGTTGTTTTTGTGGAGATGACTTCCTTTCCCTGAACACATCCAGAGTTTCCCTGCATGGTGTCAGTGACCTTCCTAATCAGTCAGGTTGGAGGCTTCTAAATTCCTGGTGTGAGGGAGATAACAATGCAGAGCAGAATATATTTTTAAAAACAAAACGACATTTTTATGATGTTTATGTTGATAGTTTAATCGTCTTCTCGGCTCTGAGCACCATGTCATCTTTCCTGAAAACGATATACCTGTCCTAGGTATGGGTTTTCTTTTATATTGATCAAAGGTATGAATCAAGATGGTAAATAAATGTAGCTTTTTAGAAATCTGGTATGTGATAGGCTAAAAAATCTATGAATACTCCATTTCAACGGAGAATTCAAAGTTTGCATTGAGTCCTTCAAGCTGACTCCGATAGAGCTCGTGTTGCTCCACTTGTCTATTACATATTCATTTCACGTGTATTGCAGCATGAGCCAACTTCGCCCAAACACAGAGGTTCAGTTTCTAACTGGACTTCAGTTGTGGTAAAACAAATCTGTAGCATGTAGATTTCAGCAGCTGTAGAAAGTCTTTAGTTTTGATTTGAACTTTGCATGAAATAATTTGTTTGTGTTGGGAATAGTTTAAAATATATTTCAGCAATTCATAGTATATGCATAATGATGAAGTTGTAGTTTTAGGATAATTGAAGCAGTTTTTAATGAAATGCCATTCCATTAAATATAACAAAACATTCTTCCTCAATTCACCTCTAGATTTGTCAGCGTGGTACCCGTGCTCGTGGGTTTCACCGCCACTGAACATGTCTGAATCTCCTCAGGCTATCCTTCATAGTTGACAATCTGTGACATAGCTGATGTAGTGGTCAAAGTGATGTTAGACCAGACACACTCACTCACAAATATTGATGTATAACGAATATGCTGTAACCATTATTTGTTAATATAGGATCATTAATTGTGCTAGAGCTGTCTACCTAGTGACTAGTTTAAAGAGATTATCCCCATATTATTGTTTACCACTTAACACTGGTAGAAAGTTATGAAGTTAACAAAGTGTTTGTCAGATGTAGATTTAGTAGTTTAAAAAACCATGAAATATACAAATACTATGTTACAGTTTATATGAAACATTATTTGTGAAATATATTGCTCATATTGATTATGTGTAGCATGATTATATGCAATCAATCAGTTCCACTGACTTCCACTGACTGAAGAGTAACATCCACTGATGACTGAATGATGGCATATTACTCCTAACTTGTTGAAATAAGAATTATATGAAAGATTCATCATGCAGAATAATAAACTCTGATCTAAAAATAAGAACACTCGCAACTGAGGAACTTTTGTAATTATCAAATAAAACGGTGTTTTTGTCTGTAGTCGGTTACCACACAGTTGTCAAGTTTAGTTGGACGTCAGCGTGAGGTATGGGAAACATTCAAACACTTGTAGTTAGATTGTAAAACTCTCCTACTTAACCAGTTTAGAATTATTAGAAAACTGAATAAACGAATAATTTGGTAACTAAAACCTGCTCCCAAACTTTCTCCACACCTTTAGAGAAATGGTCAGTGAAACGCCCCAAAATAAACCCTTCTCTATTCTTGCCTTCAGAAACTAATGTGCATTTATCTCTTATCTGGCTTAATATAGCAGTACTCAGACACAAGTAACCATGGTAACAATAGATTTACAAGGTTCTGATGCCTCAGTTTATTTTGCATTGTGGCTTTATAATGCATCTGGCATTATAAGGGACTGTTCATAATTTATGGCTAGAGGGGTGATGATGATTTTTAAAGAGAAGCATGTACAATGTGAATGACCACCCCTAAAATTTATGAACAAAGTAAGTGACCCCCCCTGCATGTCATGTACATAATTGCTAACCCACCCACCCAGTACATGTGTACAAACTTGATGATCATCATCCCCCTAAGCCATAAATTATGAACGGTGCCTAAAAGGGTTAGGTGTGACTGGAATGTTATTGAAGGGTATGGCAATCTATCAACAAGTCTCAAACCAGTGATGGATGATCTCAAGTTACAGTGGCAGACTCATCAAACCAGTGATCTATGGACTGAGCAGGATTTCCATCTGCCAGATCTCAACCCAGCCACCCTTATCTCATACGTCCATGTACAATATATACCGAGCAGCCAGTATCATCAGATTTCATCATCTCTTTGATCAGTGTTAGTTACAGTGGCAGATCATCACCCTTATCTCATACATCCATGTACAATATATACCGAGCAGCCAGTATCATCAGATTTCATCATCTCTTTGATCAGTGTTAGTTACAGTGGCAGATCATCACCCTTATCTCCTACATCCATGTACAATATATACCGAGCAGCCAGTATCATCAGATTTCATCATCTCTTTGATCAGTGTTAGTTACAGTGGCAGATCATCACCCTTATCTCCTACATCCATGTACAATATATACCGAGCAGCCAGTATCATCAGATTTCATCATCTCTTTGATCAGTGTTAGTTACAGTGGCAGATCATCACCCTTATCTCCATACATCCATGTACAATATATACCGAGCAGCCAGTAGATCATCACCCTTATCTCCTACATCCATGTACAATATATACCGAGCAGCCAGTATCATCAGATTTCATCATCTCTTTGATCAGTGTTAGTTACAGTGGCAGATCATCACCCTTATCTCCTACATCCATGTACAATATATACCGAGCAGCCAGTATCATCAGATTTCATCATCTCTTTGATCAGTGTTAGTTACAGTGGCAGATCATCACCCTTATCTCCTACATCCATGTACAATATATACCGAGCAGCCAGTATCATCAGATTTCATCATCTCTTTGATCAGTGTTAGTTACAGTGGCAGATCATCACCCTTATCTCCTACATCCATGTACAATATATACCGAGCAGCCAGTATCATCAGATTTCATCATCTCTTTGATCAGTGTTAGTTACAGTGGCAGATCATCACCCTTTTCTCTCTACCAGTTTCTCCTGAATAGCACATCATCGATTCATGATTAGCATGATAGTGATCACCACAAGCCTGTGTAGCCCCGAGCTTCATGTACAGTTTAGATTAGTGTCAAATGTGGCTTCCATCTATAGTCCCTGCTAATGCAGAGTAAACAGGTTGCCTCTACTGCTCTTAACACGCTTGTACTAATACATAGCTTGTCTATTTCAGGACAGTGACAGACTGTGCACATCAATACCCTGTTCATTTCAAATCAGTTTCAGACAAATGTACTTTATTTCAGTTCTGAAAAGGCACAATACTTTCAATTCTCTCTTCATTTCTTTATTTTCTTTTCTTGTTGCAAATAATATTTTAACCTTATAGAATCCTACTGTAGAATACTCAACACAATATAAACATGAGCTACCAGCAAGTGTAAGATGTCAGGCCTGTTCTAGTGTACTGCAGCTCTGCAGAGTATTCTCAACTTTGCACTTTCAGTTATTTATATATTAGACAAACCTTTATGAATATTTTTATTAGTTTGTTCATTTATTCACATTTGCGTGCACCAGTAAAGCTTGACAGTCCATCTGCACTTCACTTAATACAAACGTCTTTCTAATGTAGACTTTGTTTCTGTGAACACCGAGTCAAATGTAAGCTGTGGTTGCAGGCCTCGCAGACAGTGAAGTCAGACACTGCATCCGATGTGGATGGTCAAGCAGTGGTCAATGTGGAGGGCCAGCAGTATGTGGATGCCAAGGCCTACATCATGCTGGAGATCAACCTGGAACGCCCCCTGGTGCCCAAGAGGCCCCCCGAGGAACTCGCCAAACGGTACGTGCAAATGTCACCAGAAATATAGATTGCTGGTTGTCAACTTGGGCAGAATGATTTTTCTGCTTTATTTATCTCAATGAGATTTTGTTTCATGTTATGTTGAATATACATGTTCTTGGAAGCCTTGTAGGAGAAATAATTTATCAAGAGCCAACTTGTATAAGATCTAGGGAGGATGAAGGAAAGCCATTAACAAAGCCATCAACTTGTGGTCAACAGTAAGTTAATGCTTGTAACATAATGAATCCAGGATTAAGAAACATCTGGTTACATAGCAGCAGTATATTGTTTGATCTTTCATTGACAACATTGTCATCGTAATGTGTTCTTGTTTTCAGAGTAGCAGAACTCATTCCTCCCCGACCCTTGTTTCCCAAGAGAACAGATGGAGCTCAAAGGGTAAGTTACAAACTTTACATAGAATCACTTCAACAATGTTCGTAAATAATGAGTGAAATGCAGAATGTTTACTTTCCCCTGTAATTATGCTGTGTTTGTGATGTTGCCAGTCAGTGGAGGACTACCACAACCAAATCACCAGTGTGGCCGGACTTGTCCTGGAGGAGTTCCGGGAACTGTTTGCTGACGACATTAAGGATCCCCAGACACAGACCAACGAGGCCATGGAGGGCAGGTGGGTCTAGTGGCGCCAGTACAGGGACACACAACAATTAAACTATAATTCTTTCTTATCGTCCAGAAAAGTGATGCATTGTTTTGCTCAGTTTTTTATTTCACGATACACATGTTTACCTCAATATTTGTTGCCAGGAGACAGAAGCTGATCTATGAGCTGAACTCCTCAGGGAAATACTTCGCCTTCAAGGAGCAGCTCAAACATGCTGTGGTCAAGATTGTCCGGGAGAAATATCTAAAGACATCAAACTTTGAAGACCGACAGGAACTACAGGTCTGTGATGTTTTATGGGGTCATGAAATATTTCACTGTAGCTAAGTGAGCTGTATATTGTCTTGATCTATTGTACTCAAGTTCCAGGAGTTGACATAAGAGGGGATTGTGTGATTGCTCTTTGATGGATCACTACCATGGATGGTCTGTCATCTGAGACACTTGTTTACCTATTTGTGTTTGTTTCAGACCTTCCTCAGTGAGCTGTATGTTTACCTGGTGGATCAGATGCATGTAGCCCTGGGGCAAGTCCTGGCCCTTGAGGACCAACCCCCAGTGCCAGACCCACTCACAGACTCCGCTCAACTCAAACATTTTGCCAGGGAGGCAGAGGTCAATGAGAACTTTGACCTAGCAGCCAAATATTACCAAGAAGTGAGCACAATTCTTAGAGAGATGCAACTTATCTAAAGCTTGCAATCCCCAATGTAGTAATGTCAATGATCTCAGATGAGCCTCTGTATATGATAAGACTCCTGTAGTCTAACAATTGTCTCTCTCTCAGATTTATCTGACTTTAGATGATTTCATGACAAGTCACAAGATTGGTAATTCCTTCTGCTAGTAGCGCACATTATCAAAATATAGACATAAACTGTAAAACATAACTGTTTTCAGAGGATCGCACGGGAGAAGAATGATCCTGACAACTGGTTTGACTATGGTACCTTCTGCCTGTACATCAATGATATTACCAAGGTAGGGGTCCTCGAACATCAAACATCACATCGTTGTTGTCTAACCAGGAGAGAAGGCATATATATGACCCCTTCATGTAAGTGCTGCAATGTTTGCTGATAGTAACATCACTGTCAGGACCCTGTGATCATTGGTCCAAATTCCTGATCATGTGACTGAAACATGAACTGAAACACGAACTGAAGCACTTATTCATGATAGTGACAGTATCGCTGATAAATATATGGCATATTAACCAATTCAACACCGCAGGATGAATAATCGGCCACAACGTTATATGAGTCCCCAGACACCGGAGGCCGATTAATCGGCCAGGCAGTAGTCACGTCAAATTGAGACATAATTTTAGGAACCTAACTGACTTATGAGTGATATATTAAATCTATCACATTTCACAATGTCTGAAAACACTTATTAAATTTCAATTTATCATATATCATCAGCAAAATTAAAATTATAAACTATTTTCCGCATTGTTATTGAAAACAACGATTCTGGGACACATGCTTCGGGCAGCAGGTCCATAATAACATTGTCAAAGAGCAAAGTAACGATGTTTCGAGGAATCATTAAATAAATTGAATAAACTAATGAATAAAATCAACAACAACATTCATAAAAGTTGTCAAACGTACATATAAAATTACTATTTCCATCTTTTTGTGCGATCATGCAATGTAAGTCAAGTCACTGACAAGTGACATCTTGGCTCTCGCCGCCTCAATCTTCACGCTCGGACACGATGTTTAATGCGAAAATATATGCATGAAGCATTTTTGTCACAGGTCATAACCTAGCACGATACGTCCAATAATAGGTAGCGATTTCTTGCTTAATATGTTCAGAATAGCATTATTTTACCCCAAACTTTCGTCTAAATCTACAAGTTTTCGTTTACGAGGACGGTATCCATTGCCGTAATATGGCAGTAAATGCCTCTGGTTGACTGATGTTGAAAGAGTTAATTCTATTTTCATATATCCATATGTCATGCAGAAGTTCTGCCATGATCCCTTGTAAGTATTAGTGCACTGGTTGTAAGAGGCGACTAAATGTAGGGGGTCACTGGGTAGATTGTGTGTCATGCACTGATGGCATGTTGCTCGCAATATTGACCACTGGATTGTTTGGTGAAGACTCGATTATAAAGGTGCATTGTCATAAAGTTTGAATATTAAACATGAATGTGGTGCTAAGACAAACCTGACATGGTGTATTGTCTTCTGCAGGCTGAGGAGTGCTTCAAGGAGTGCATCGCGATCAATCAGAGACATCTGCCAGGGTATGTATTATCTCCCACTGTCCGCTATCTGTCAGACAAGCAGTATTACATTACCACAGTGATGGTGACAAAGATCTTCATGTATTCCTCTCCAACATAATACACTTGATGAAGCACACATAAAATACAGAGACAAGTAAGACAAACCGTGATGTTTAGACATTCAGATATACTGTAAACGTACTTATTTTCGCGTGGTGCAATTTTCGCGGAATTGACAGTTTAGACTACTTCGCGCGGTCAATTATTCGTGCAATCAGTAATTGCCGGAACTGTCAGCTGTCTCTTTGGCCGCCACTAATAGCAGTGAAAACAAACAGAGTGGCTTAACCTGTCAGGCGGCGTTTATTGCTTACTCACAGGAAATCCCTATCTGTGCGATTACTAGTACACAGTAATCCGTTTACTCCCGGAAGAGATGAAAAACACATCAGTCTTATGTTCCGAATTCTGACGATTTGACGAATTAACTTATACTGTATATGAAGCTCTTTGTGATTTCAAACAAGCCGGGTTGTTGTGAATGAGATGATTGAGTGTTAGTGACTATTCGCTTCATGATGTACTGGTGAATAAAATCTTAATGAATAAATAAAATACTGCTGTATTATTTCTTTCCGAGTCGTTTCACGGTAATCTGTTTTGTATCAAACCATGTCATGTGACCAATTTCCATGGCGGCCACAACACACATTGCTGTTTTGGCTAATTCGGCAATGGGATTTGGCTCATTATTTAATTATGTTTGGGGAAATCCATTACAGCGACAGTTAAGTATGATCAGTCGTCATTTTAAGATTCCCGTTGATTTCTGTCTTCAAACGTGATGTGTTATGGTAACAACTCAGGGGCGAGCGTGGCTAGACAGAATGAATGACAGGTTTATTCGCGGTGTATAAATTTTCTCGCTAAAATGTTTTGCGCGAAAAGCGCGAAAATAAAACCTGCGCGAAATATAATACGTTTACAGTAAGATGTACATGTGTGTGTTGCAGCCTGCTGCTGTACGGGGTGGTCTGTACGCTGTCCGAGAGGAACGAGGCAGCAGAGACATTCTTTGAAGCAGCCACGTGTGTTGAACCCAGGAATATCCTTGCCTGGACCATGTTGGGTGAGTGAGTGAGAGCATTGAACCCAGGAACATGTTGGGTGAGTGAGTGAGGGTGTTGAACCCAGGCACATGTTGGGTGAGTGAGTGAGGGTGTTGAACCTGGGAACATGCTCGGTGTGTGAGTGAGGGCTTTGAGCCTAGGAACATGCTTGGTGTGTGAGTGAGGGTGTTGAAACCAGGACCATGTTGGGCGTGAGTGAGGGTGTTGAACCCAGGAACATGTTGAGTGTGTGAGTGAGGGTGTTGAACCTAGGAACATGCTGGGTGTGTGAGTGAGGGTGTTGAACCTAGGAACATGCTGGGTGTGTGAGTGAGGGTGTTGAACCTAGGAACATGCTGGGTGTGTGAGTGAGGGTGTTGATCCTAGGAACATGTTAAGTGAATGAGTGAGGGTGTTGAACCCAGAACATGTTGGGTGTTTGAGTGATTTGATATGTGATGTGATTGTTGTTGGATAATCTCATCAGTGATTGTTCCTGTATGTTGCCATTAACAATAGTGAAAATGGGAGACATCAGAAATGGGTTTCACCCATTGTTCCCATGTTTTGATTGAAGTCTGTGTTATGACCTCTCAGACTGCACCTGACATCACTCAAGTGGTTGTGTATTTCAGGCCTATACTATGACTCGGTGAGCAATGAGATCGGAGCGGAGATGGCGTACCTCGAGGCCAATAAGCTGAACCAGGCTGCTGCAGTAGCCACAGCGCGAGCACTTCGGGAGGAAGAGATGGAGAGAGACAGGGTTGATGAGGAGGAGGAGGATATCCCTGAAGACGAGCCTGGTAGAGGTAAACACTTGTCTTGCAGGGTTCTAACAGGCCAGCTAGCATATTTAGATTCTGACTTCAAACTGGAGAATATTCCTTGGCCTGTAAATATGTTTGCATACAGTATGGACATTGTGGGATATTTTGTAAACTTTCAGCTATTGAGTTACAGATTACCTGATCGTAGCTTTACATGTCACATTGGATTATCTTGCAGTAGTTTGTAATGCCTCTGTGGGCTAATGTTGATCTTTCTGTTTGTTTAAGACATTGATAACCCAGAGGGAGGTTTGTCTATTCCTATGATTCCTGAGATCAAACAACCGACGCCCACCAGTGACAGGGGGAACAACTCTGCCAAGTCCACCAACCGCTTGTCAGAGAAGAGGGCATCAGCAATAGGCAAAAAGCCAGGTGAGTTTTAGTTGAAGCACAGTTTGTGGACAAGCACGATGCAAGTAATGTTTTCTTAATTCTCTAGTTTTTGCAGTATTTCTCTGAAAATAATTAATGAAACTTGGTTTCTCCACTTTGCTATAATGTAGACATATAATCACTTAGAGAGGTAGAGGCACTGAAATTTGTTACTTACAATGTCCTGTTGTCATGGCTGAATGAACATTGCATCTTGCTGTATTCAATTTTGGCCCTGAATACTTCTATTTCAAACAGTGATATTACAGTGATAAGTTCTAGTTAAAGCAGTACTAAACTTGGTTCACTCACCCATCTTGGGTAATGTCCATCCCTCAGCACCACCAGGGGCTGGTCAGCAGAAACCCAAGAGTCAGGAGAGTGGGGGAGGGCTTCTCTCCCGCCCAGCCAGTCAGCAGAAGATGTCCAGTCAGCGTGGCACCCCCCAGCCAGCCGAGGATGCCCCCGAGGACGTCCCTCCACGTGAGCCAACGCCCGTCCCAAGCTCCAGTGTGTACATGCAGGCTGTGGACTGGCTCCTGGAAGTCAAGGCTATCCCTGTAAGTCGGTCGTGATCACGGTCTTCCCATACCTAACTACCATATCTGGAGGGGCACTGACAAGAAATATTAGCATTACCCGTGATCATGATTGAGACAAAGCACATTCAAAACTTTATTTGCAGAATATGTTCAGTCTGAAGAAGATATTTGGATACAATTGAAATTTATACTCTAAAATAGATCTTGCAAGAATTATTTCAAACAATATCAGTGGTTATTGGATGGCGGTTGACATTTCAAGTGCAAGCTGAAAGTGACACAACTAGAGAAAACAGATCTTGTATCCCATGCACAAGGCCACCCACCCCCACGCCGAAGGCCCGGGTTTGATTCCCCACATGGGTACAATGTGTGAAGCCCATTTCTGGTGTCCCCCGTTGTGATATTGCTGGAATATTGCTAAAGAGCGGCTTAAAATCCAACTCACTCACTATTCCAAACAAATCACTACTAAGGAATCACTATAGCAGTACCAATCCCAGGGTAATATAAGACAAGGGCAATCACTATAGCAGTACCAATCCCAGGGTAATATAAGACAAGGGCAGTGATTATAGCAGCAGAACAGTTATGGTAATACATGTATACACCTCTCGGCAACAGTCATCCATCTTGCAACTAACGGCCTTGGTAGGGTATAATGACAATCACATACAATGCTGGTCTTCTGGCAACTGGAGATGTAGTGTTAGAAGAGAGGCAAGAGTTAGCTCCCCTTATATACCTCAGAATATTGGTATCTTTGCGCCACTAATGTCATGATTTGATAATGTTGTCCCACTTTGTTTTGTGTTGTTCAATGAACATGCTGTGTGAGAAGTGATTTTTATGATGCATATGTTTACAAGGATTGACTTCACTTGTTTTGTGTTTGGACTTATAAACATAAAAGATAGTGTACAGTAGAGAATGTTCACAGTATGTATGCACAGCATTATATATGTTTATGCCTCCCAGGCAGGCAGTTCTAAACTGTAATGACAATCTGATGTCAGTTGAATGATGTCTGTAATGTGTGTAGTTCACCGAGCGGGCCCTGGGTCACGAGCTCTTGTCACCGATGGGGGGACCAACGCCTGGATACCACATCGCTCTAGCCAAGCTGAAGCTGCAGAAGAGGGAGTTTGCAGAGGCTGAGGAGCATCTAAGTGAAGCTCTACAGACAGAACACCAGGTGTGTGGCCATGGTTTGGGCTCTGTCTGTTATTACTAGTGTTGAAAGTATATGTTGGTCTGAATAAATAGTCAGCAGTACTGATGTTGAAGCGTCATTCTAGAAACTGGAAATATATAATACTTGATATGTGATTAATAAATTAGAGATTTCAAACGGCAGTAACTTTATCTCGGTGATGTCAGTGCTCAATTTAACATTAGAAACTTGATGCAGTGTGTTTGATTCCAATGTAGTGCTGTTGGATCTACAGGTAACAGAGCTCTAAACTGAAATAAAGGTATGGTTAGCTCCAGATTTACAACAGATTTATGAACTATCAACGAAGGTTTCAAACCCCTGAGAACCTGTGGAAATATTTACACAAAAACATCATCAGATATTTAGTTTCTAGAATTTATGCTTTTCTTTGTCAATGTTATTTATTTTCTTCATGACATGCATAGGATCTCCATCAACGGACAATGTTGGTTTCAGAACCCCGATGCATGGGCCTTGATGGGTCCACGTGAAATACCTGACTGGTGACACAGAGGCAGCCCGCGACTGCTATGAACGGACCATCACGTTTATTGCCGACGCCTCGGAAATGCACTCCATCTATTTGAGACTTGCCTCTGTCTATCTGCAGGAGGGCAGGGTATGTACTTCTGACATATCATGTCTATTTCATGGCAACATTTCTCAGTGACATTTTGTCTCTGAATTAATTTATATACTGATGTAAAAAACAACCAAAACAAAAAACTAGCAGCATAAAGTCACTGAAATATTCTCACCATCAAAAGGGTTTTATCCATGAAGCATCACGTCTGTCATGTTCTTCCATCTCCCAATCTCAATATCTCATGTCAATGAAGTCATATTAGATGTACAGACAGCAGTCAGGATCTGATGTGACATTTCCAAAATGCTCTGATGTATATTGCCCTATATGTTTCCTTACCTTGATTGTTGTGAAGTCTAAATGTTTAGACAATAGAATTACTTGTTCACAACAAACAAGACAAAAAATCTGAAGTATTATAAATTTGATTTTTCTCAAGCATTGTTTGTTTGGGATGATTGATGGAATACAAGAGGAACTCTCACTGCAGGCATTAAATAAAGAGCTACTTATCTTGTTGTTATAGTTCCAAGAAGCCAAAAATACCTTCCTGCTTGCCTGCAAGAAATCTCCATCGTGTGTGTCCTGGCTTGGCGTTGGTATTGCCTGCTTTAGGGTGAGTACATGGGAGGGTGTGTGGTTCATACTTTCTTGTGCCTTGTAATATAGAAAGTGCTGGTGATACCATTTGAATGAGAATGATGTTTAACATGGGATTCCATCATTTTCCTCCCCAGCTTGGTGAGCTGACCGAGGCAGAGGATGCACTATCTGAGGCCAACGTCCTCAATAACAGTGACCCCGAGGTCTGGGGGTACCTCTCTCTGGTGTGCCTGCATACACAGAGGCAGCTTGAGGCAGAACAGGCATACAAGTATGCCCTGAAGGTAAGAGCCTGTATGGGAGAGTATTGTTACACTCTGTCTGCATGTTGGACAGCAGGCCATTAAGTGGGTGTTGTTGTCGGACACATGGGGCAAACAGACTTCTCTTGTTGGATAAATGTATCTGTGACATAGTACAACAAGAGGCTTTAAGTAATACAAAATAAATTCAGAGGTCTCCTCCTGTCGTCTGTGAGTCAAGGTTTGAGTAGTGTGGCCCAATGGTAAAACAACATCCCTTGAACTTTTTCTGAGTTCACGGCCTTGCATGTCCTTGTAGGCCACACTGAAGGTCAGTAAATCAGACCTCTGAGAGATGCATTGTTTGATTTGGTGCCCATGAAAGTTACCAGGCAGTGATATGTTTGAAATACTGTTTAAAGAAGTTACAACTTTCTCACTTTTAAGTTAAAGTTTTATGTTGTTTAATGATAAAAATGATGGAATTCATTTGTAGACTGTTGTGCCTGGACAATCACGTGTACAGTCAGCAGCATATAACAGTAATAGTTTCAGCCGGTCTGCTAATTCTGTGTTGTTTTGTTTTTGTCCAGCATTATGTTCTGTTTCTTGGCAACTAGCCTATATCATGATGCTAGTTATTGTATTGAAGGTATGTGGATACATTAGTATCTTGTTGTTTTCCAGCTGAGCCTACAAGACAATGATCTGTTGACTGAAATCCACCACGTGCAGCAGGAGGTGGGATTCGGGAATCCCCAGTTTTAACTCGACAGAAACATGAACATCAGCCAGTATTTTCAGGACATCCATTGTTCATTAATACCTTTCATAATTCTTGTTTCATAATTTGTGAGCAACTATATATTTTGAAGGGATACCTGTTAATTATATTTTTCCATACTTGACAATAACATGTTTCTCCTTCCTGAATTCTGTTAATTTGATTGCAGCATACATACATATCATGTTGTGCCCTTGAAAATAGGTATCATATATATTACAGTCACATGCAGGTATGTTTTGAAAGATACAGCTCCACAAGGCCACAGTCAATTAAATATTAGGTTTTTACCCCAAAGTTAAAAAACTTTGGTGAAAGGCATTTTATTCATTATATTTTCATTTTTTATTAATTGATTTTTATGAAGCTGTATATTGACCTATTGTGGTTCACATGCTACATGATGTAGTAGAACTATAGGTGTATTGCAGGTTTCATCAAGTAGTGAGACAAGGCTACTCACAGTTACTAGGGCAAATACAGAGTGTTTGGTTGTAATACGGAGATGAAAATCAAATATAATTCATTTATTACCACCAAACTACTTAACATTCATAACTTTCTTTAATGACTTTCCATAGGTGTTCATCAACATACTGGTCAAGTGTTTGATTATTACTTTTAATTTGGAACTAATTTGTTTCTGGTTCATTGTTGAATCGACTTGGTTAGGCTAATCGGTTGTCAGGTGCCCTAGTTACTGTCTATATGCCTTAGATGCCTCCCCCATCACCCCAGTATTTCTGTGATATTGTACATAGAACAGTGTACATATAGGAAGAATTCTTTGTTCATTTCAGCCAATCATGTAATATACATGTATGTAAATAGATTGTTGGCATGTTCTTCATGACTTGTATCAATACAAATTTGTTATGTTGAGTCGTCTGATAATATTGAAGTATTTATAACTAATATTCTCATAATCTGTAATATAATAAATGAGTGAGTTTAAATGTGTGATTGATGTAATGATTCAAAGCATCCACGTGTCTGCTTGTCTGACATGTACATGTGTCATTTTCCTTTCATCAAAGCTGGAGAACGTGTTGAACAACATTCTAACATCAAGGGGAGATAACTCTAAAGTGATTCTGACAGGTCGTGAGATAAGACTATCCACATCTGTGTTACGTGTTTTCAGAAATGTTTATTACCGTTTCATCTCGAATTCTTGGGAATGTTTCTCACCTTGATAAATTGTTAGACACGTTTCAAACAAAAATAGGTGGGAAAACAAGATCGTTTGAGGAAGTGTACCAGTTTGGACTTGAAAGGTACATAATCGACATTGGCTGAATTTTCACCCCCTTCTCAAGCTCAGTCAGAGAGAGAAAACTAAAGGATATCTTAGAAATGTTTATTCCCTCTTTTTACTTCACCACACAAACCAGACTCGTGAAATGGGATTCAGTGAAAGCTTCCAAGTCGTCAAGTTTCACAGGGGGACGTTCTCGCTGCTGTTTCAGCTACAAGCTCGTTTACTGAGGGTAGGGAGATATCCCCGGGCCGTGAGACACAACACAACTCCGGGGGATATTGATATGTTTATTAGAATTATAACATGGCGTATAACATATAACATACAGGTATTTGTAAACAACCTGAAACAACGTAAGGCATTGACACTGGCTTCGTTACATTAGGAGCATGCACATGGTGGTAAGTCACAGCAGAGAACAATGGCTTCTCATTCAAACCATCACAAACATTTGTAAGGAGAACCACATGCGTTCAAACAGATATCAGATGTTTCAACACGTTCGATGGCAGCTACTCAAGATCACTTTAACATGAAATAACACCTGGCCATTTTGTTCCGTTGTGTTTATTTTGTCACCCGTAAGAAAACAGTCATTTATTCTTCAAGATTGTCATCATAATCTATTTAGAATGTTTCCCATCGGACATTGTGGGAACGCTATTACACCATTCATGGTATTTAAACACAAATAATGAACTTATTTCATCAACCAAAATCACTGAAGCATTTGTAATACATGTCACCACATAATTCACCACTACATATTGTAGGAATATCGACAATATGTCATTCTAATCACAGAAGGTTTTCGTTGTAATATGTAATACTGTCACGCTCGAACTTCAGATAATTACATGGCCAGATGGCCTTCTATTGGAATCAGGGACCAACCATTTCGTCTCCTGGGAGACACTGCTTCAAGAGATGCTAATCCCATCTCAGCAACGAGTCGCTGAACAATTGTGAAAAAAGGAAGATCTTTCCATGATTGACCTTGCCCAGCTAATCGTACATATTGGCCAAATTTTTTTTATGCGGTATATTTCCGAACACGGTATTAAACTATTCCACCAATGCGCCCAGAAAATAACCTGGTCGGTCAACAAAGAGGATATTAATGATATGCAGAGAAAGTGAAACTCCCATTACCACGGATAGGTGAAGGACACACATGTAAGGTGCATATATACAGCAGGCCCGGTATATACATTGTATATATGGTTTCAAACCGAAACCGGTTTCATAAAGGGGCTGCGGAAGAGTTTTGTACTGTAGTACAATATTTGCATGACGTCACACCAAAATGACGTCACTGCCTTGGTAACCGACGTCACGATGCATGTCAGTTGTCATCGCCTCGAACAGCCTCCTATATTAAACTCCTCCGTAGCACCCCGTTTCTTGGTTTGCAGTTGCTTCATTCGGCTAACATCACTGGTGGAAACATTGCATTTATGTTTTTCGACGGATAAAATGTGTCAGTTCGACTCACAATTAAACAGCTACACGGCAACGTTCTCGATGCTTACATTCCCACAATGCATTTAAGTTGTAGAATGAATGAATTCACGTGTTTGTTATGAATGAAAATATAGTTACGTCATAATGTGACCTAATTGAGAGGTCATCGGTTATCGAATCAAATCGTTAGAATCTCAGGTCAAGTCGTTACGACACAGGTCAACGCGATACGACACACACGTGTGACGTACGAGATTAGTATGCAACTACCCATACGTTGACCACGTGGGTAATAAATATGTGTAATTGACGGTCTAAATATTGTCAAAATTCATATATACAACACTTCCTGTATATACATGTACATTGTATATATGTGTAACTGACATGGCCTAAGCAGTGTTTACATACATGAATACATTAGGTATTATCTAAACAATAAATACACTTATGCCATCTACGATCTACATTCAATGTGTATACAACCGAGACGACCTAAACATCTGATACATGTATAACGGACAAGATCTAAACATGGTATAAATGCATTTATAACCAGATTTACGGAAATTCGACAGACTCTGAACAGCACATAAATCGACACTCAAAGTTTACCACAGCACCATTTGTTTCCTTGGAGATCATTCACCGATGAATGGGACAGCACTATTCTAGGGAAACCAGCAGGACAGCATCAAGTTATTACATGATGTGTAATTTGAAAGTTACATTAGGCCCTTAGGGCGTCATACCATTTAACTTTTAACGGCTAAGGCAAGTAGAACAACATAATCAGGGATTTGGACCCACGACCAAAGGTGTTTAGTAGAAGTTGGATTTATGTACAAATACTTGACTATTTTCTTGAAATTTTGTTGAATTAGTTAAATGAATATATACTCCCTGAATTACTGATATGGTTATGGTTATTTAAATAACATAAAGGGTTTATTCCATAATTTGATAGTAAATCCCGGGAGCCGATGTTGGGCTGAATTCCAGATAATTATACCGAGGACCGTCTGTCCGTTGTACCAATACCGTTCTGTGGTCATTGTCAACGCACCGGACCAAGCTTAGTCCAGTTATTGTCTTGTGTTTGATCACCTACTCAACGTCCAATCCAGGGTTAGAATGTCCCCCAAACTGTGAGACGTCCGTCCTAATAAAGTCTCGCTCCACCCCTTCCACGGCGTACAACTTGTTGCTGTCGGGGTCCACGTAGTACCCTGATGTGGTGAAGCGTTCAGGGCTGAAGTTGGGCTTGTTGATAGCGGCGATGAGGAAGGATGAGGAAGCCGATGAAGTCGAAGCCGGCGCCGATGATACAGACAATGAGACACCAGCCGACCTCCCAGTCCGACGTCTGACCGATGGTCACGCCGTACACCACGACTCCGGCTATGTTACACAGAGCTGAAACACGAGGCATGTTAATCAACGGCTGGCTCCCATTCTACACAGATTGGACGTCTATCCCCATTCTGCACGTCTGGCCCCATTCTACCACACACAGATATTGGACGTCTGGTCTCCCCCATTCAACACAGATTGGACGTATGGCCCCATTCTGTACTGGACCTACAATCTGCACAGACTGGACGTCTGCCCCATTGCCTACACAGATTATTGGCCCCATTCTGCACAGTTTGGACGTTTCTATCCTTACAACCCCCATTCTGACATCCCCATTCTGCAGATTGGATGTCTGAGCCCCATTCTGCACAGATTGGACGTCTGGCTACCATTCCACATCTATATTCACCTGTCCACATCTATATCACCATTCACATCTATATCAACCTGTCCACATCTATATCCACAATTCCACATCTATATCTACTTGTCCACATCTATATCCACCTGTCCACATCTATATCCACCTGTCCACATCTATATCCACCATTCCACATCTATATCCACCTGTCCACATCTATATCCACCTGTCCACATCTATATCCATCTGTCCACATCTATATCTACTTGTCCACATCTATATCCACCTGTCCACATCTATATCTACTTGTCCACATCTATATCCACCTGTCCACATCTATATCCACCATTCACATCTATATCTACCATTCCACATCTATATCCACCTGTCCACATCTATATCCACCTGTCCACATCTATATCCACCTGTCCACATCTATATCTACTTGTCCACATCTATATCCACCTGTCCACATCTATATCCACCTTTCCATACATCTATATCCACCATTCCACATCTATATCCACCTGTCCACATCTATATCCACCTTTCCACATCTATATCTACCTGTCCACATCTATATCCATCATTCCATCTATATCCATCTATCCACATCTATATCCACTGTCCACATCTATATCCACCTGTCCACATCTATCTATCCACCATTCCATCATCTATATCCACCTGTCCACATCTATATCCTGTCCTGTCCACATCTATATCCACCTATTCCACATCTATCCATCTCCACATCTGTCCTGTCCACTGTATCCATATCACACTATATCTCCTGTCCACATCTATATCCATCTGTCCACATCTATATCCACCTTTCCACATCTATATCCACCTGTCCACATCTATATCCACCTATTCACATCTATATCCACCTGTCCACATCTATATCCACCTTTCCACATCTATATCTACCTGTCCACATCTATATCCACCTGTCCACATCTATATCCACCTGTCCACATCTATATCCACCATCCACATCTATATCCACCATTCCACATCTATATCCACCTGTCCACATCTATATCCACCATTCCACATCTATATCCACCTGTCCACATCTATATCCACCTTTCCACATCTATATCCACCATTCCACATCTATATCTACCTGTCCACATCTATATCCACCTGTCCACATCTATATCCACCTGTCCACATATATATCCACCTATTCCAACATCTATATCCACCTGTCCACATCTATATCCACCATTCCACATCTATATCCACCTGTCCACATCTATATCCACCATTCCACATCTATATCCACCTGTCCACATCTATATCCACCATTCCACATCTATATCAACCTGTCCACATCTATATCCACCTGTCCACATCTATATCTACCTTGTCCACATCTATATCCACCTATCCACATCTATATCCACCATTCCACATCTATATCCACCTTTCCACATCTATATCCACCTGTCCACATCTATATCCACCTGTCCACATCTATATCCACCTGTCCACATCTATATCCACCATTCCCACATATACATCTACCATTCCACATCTATATCCACCTGTCCACATCTATATCCACCATTCCACATCTATATCCACCTGTCCACATCTATATCCACCTGTTCACATCTATATCCACCTGTCCACATCTATATCCACCTTTCCACATCTATATCCACCATTCCACATCTATATCCACCTTCCACATCTATATCCACCTGTCCACATCTATATCCACCTGTCCACATCTATATCTATATCCACCACATCTTCCACATCCACCTGTCCTATATCCACCATTCCACATCTATATCCTCCTGTCCACATCTATATCCACCATTCACATCTATATCCACCATTCCACATCTATATCCACCATTCCACATCTATATCCACCATTCCACATCTATATCCACCTGTCCACATCTATATCCACCATTCCACATCTATATCCACCTGTCCACATCTATATCCACCATTCCACATCTATATCCACCATTCCACAGCTACCATTTTATTTGCATTCTAGCGACCGAGTCTAATATCATTATTTGTCGTGTTGATTAGGCTGTTTTCCTTGTATACACATACACGGGGAAGGTGTAATGAGAGGGGCCAGCGTGTGGTGACAGATGCTATAGTAAAGTTGTCTAGAGCGAAGGATGTTAGATGCTCCATGGATGTACTTGCAACACACACACAAGCAACAAGCCCCTTCCAGACGAAAACATCGACAGAAAGCACATACCAATATATGAAGTCATGCCAACAACGTCGTAAAACCATATTCACTCGTTCAGTTGTTCGTTCGCTCGCACTATAGTGTGTTTGCAGGGAAAACGTACCGATGAATTTCACTTTAAACAAAAACGTAAATCAAATAATGCGAAATTAAGATTGCGAATCCTCATAACTTTACCTTGCGAATTAAACATTAAAAAAAATCATGAGGATTCGCAATCTTAATTTCACTTTATGTGATTTACTTTTTTGTTTAAAGTGAAATTCATCGGTACGTTTTCACTGCAAACAGACTATAGTTACAGTAAGATTGTGGAGTCGTTTCCTCCAAGGATTCCCAATAAACCGTGTGTCTGTACTTACATGCTAGAAGTGCCAACACCGTCATCGTGAGGAGCATGCATCTGTAGTACAGTCCCAGGGCCACGTAGATGTACACGGGCATCACCACGAGGGGGATGGCGATGAAGATGATGGCGAGACTCTCCATTGCCCGGACTGCATTGAGCCAGTCTGAAACACAAATAGACATCTAACGTTTTTGACAATAATGTTTTGTTTAAACTATACAGGTAAATAAAGACAAAATACAGGTAAATAATGAGACAAAATACAGGTAAATAATGAGACAAATTACAGGTAAATAATGGAACAAAATACAAGTAATGGAACAAAATACAGGTAAATAATGAAACGAAATATAGGTTATTAATGAAACAAAATATAGGTAAATAATGAAACAAAATACAGGGTTCATGCGGCTCTGTAGCTCACCTGAATAGTTTTGTAAATTGGCATGGTTAAACACTGATTACTTAACATATTTAAATTCAAATTGCTTACTGAACTTAACATTACAGGGTTAATGTATTACTCTGTTGGCATCGCTTAGAATGGAACTGGAATTTTTGCACCATTGCTTGGACAAGAAACACATGTCAACCTCGCAATCCCTGTGATAACAATTCACGTGGAACTATGTATCACTACCTGGTGAAATACTAGTATTCTACGCTCAAATATACACCAGTGTCTTGATTATCAGAGTCATGGCAGATACATTGTGGCCTGGAAAAAGCACTGCAGGTTTCACAGCCTTCGTCAGCCCTAATATTCGGATTGTACATCACCCGACAGATCGCTATGCCTATTTCACGCTTACTAAAGCTTCATATCTTCCACTGTCTCCTTAACACATGTTTATTACTTATACGACCCTTAAAGTGTACATGAAGGCTTAAATATTTCTAGCGCGAAGCTCAACTTGTCAAAACAGTACTCTATGTAAGGAGCGTCCTCCTATACAGTACTCGTGAACGAGGCCATAACAGTGCACGCTCTCTGTAGTGACCAGATAGTAAACATTGCCTTACACATATCACACCTCTCCAACTTGTATTGATGTGTGGCTACAATAACCTGGAAATACAAGGAGCATATAGACGGAGCTATACAATAGTCATTTAACAACATTCCTCCTTGTCAACAACTGTGGACAAACTACACGCAGAATCAGTTTGGTTTGTTACCGGGACTTGACAAATGGAAGACTTGTTTCTTGAGACCCACTGAAGTATCCACTGCCCTCTGGTAGCACAGTCGTTAACCCCGTTAAGGTTCCTAGAGACCTCTTCTTGTCTTAAAGGGGAAGTGCACTCGGACATGGTCCAGCAAGCATGTTTTAAGTAGTTCAAATACTGCTACTTCTTATGAGACGTATTGTTTTATGACATGGTGAGAACAGGAGAAAGGACGCCAACTATCTCCCTTGGTTTGTCAGTAGAAGTGTAGTTACATTTGTTCATTATACTACTCAAATAGCACTTCACTGGATATGACATTCACGACTCGAAACACCAAGAGCGTCATGATTTTTTATTATACCATTTACTGAGGATAGAAGGTAGGCCAGTTATGAGGTTAGATTTGCAGGTACTGAGCCTACAATTCGACAGACTAGCATTGGCGAGACCGTGGAAGGTTCGGGGGATCCATAACTTTCAATCCCACTGACCCCCTCCCCGCAGACACCCAGCCACATGACCACCAATCCCACCACCACCACCAATTACCTTTCCAACCACAGCCACACGCCACCCATAACCCACTTTTCTAAACCCTCACCCCCACCCCCACCCCCCCACACACACACCAACACACCACACGTACTTTTGCTGTCTGTAGATTTGGTTATAAGGTATATGAGGTATGTATATTTGACAGTGATTCCTAAACACTTGCAAAGATGATAGGAACAGCTCCCCCTCCCCTTGCATTTGGTACCACATCAACGTGCAACGTGCACACATACAACACGGACAACAACTTCACAACTACTGATAGTTTATACCCTACACAGTTTCCAGATCACAAAGTCAGACAAATATTGCTCTACAGTTTCATCGAATATGTTAAGGAAGAAATGTTTTCAAATGCATCTTGACAAACCTGACTTTAATACTTAAAGCTGTCATTGTATTACAAGCCTACGCCTCTCGAGACAATAGACAGTGCAGGAACTCAGCATGCATTCCACACGTCAACGTTGAAGGTTTCATACAGACATTGGGCAATTCATTCGAGGATCACTCTATAGAGCCGTAATACCAGATCAGTCACGCGAAACCAGGTCAGTCACGCGAGACCAATGTGGCAAATAAAGCCAATTAATCGTCCTGCTCCGTTAAACAAATCTGTTCTCTTTATCTGTGAATAGATCTATAGAATAGGCATGGCTGGTTAAGGAGCTCCCCAAATGGAACGCTGGAGGTAGTGTGATATGTCCGGGGCATGTCCTGCACCACTGACCCGCCTTCAGAACACTCCTCCACCACCGTCTTCTCGTCACGAAACCTCCAAACTATCGCGCTGCCTATTTATGCCACTTCCTTCTCGTTAGTAAAACGTAAACATGTGACAAATGAGACACCAGCTTCAAGGAATATTAGTAAAATAGTTCTTTAATGTGTCGGAAGAAACAAAGGTAACATAATGCTGTCAGTCTGACAGATGAAGACTGATAGGGACTGATAGGGAAGTGGACACTACCTGGTGCTGGTCTCTGATGGTGTTGTGACCTGACCGTGGTATTTCAGGGGAAGGGGGCACTGTGTGGTGTTGTGACCTGACCGTGGTTATATCAGGGGAAGGGGGCACTGTGTGGTGTTGTGACCTGACCGTGGTTATATCAGGGGAAGGGGGCACTGTGTGGTGTTGTGACCTGACCGTGGTATTTCAGGGGAAGGGGGCACTGTGTGGTGTTGTGACCTGACCGTGGTTATATCAGGGGAAGGGGGCACTGTGTGGTGTTGTGACCTGACCGTGGTATTTCAGGGGAAGGGGGCGCTGTGTGGTGTTGTGACCTGACCGTGGTATTTCAGGGGAAGGGGACACTGTGTGGTGTTGTGACCTGACCGTGGTATTTCAGGGAAGGGGCACTGTGTGGTGTTGTGACCTAACCGTGGTTATTTCAGGGGAAGGGGGCACTGTGTGGTGTTGTGACCTGACCGTGGTATTTCAGGGGAAGGGGGCACTGTGTGGTGTTGTGACCTGACCGTGGTATTTCAGGGGAAGGGGGCACTGTGTGGTGTTGTGACCTGACCGTGGTATTTCAGGGGAAGGGGCACTGTGTGGTGTTGTGACCTGACCGTGGTTATTTCAGGGGAAGGGGGCACTGTGTGGTGTTGTGACCTGACCGTGGTTATTTCAGGGAAGGGGCACTGTGTGGTGTTGTGACCTGACCGTGGTTATTTCAGGGGAAGGGGGCACTGTGTGGTGTTGTGACCTGACCGTGGTGGTATTTCAGGGGAAGGGGGCAGGGGAAGTGTGGTGTTGTGACCTGACCGTGGTATTTCAGGGAAGGGGCGCTGTGTGGTGTTGTGACCTGACCGTGGTACCGTGGTATTTCAGGGGAAGGGGCACTGTGTGGTGTTGTGACCTGACCGTGGTATTTCAGGGGAAGGGGGCACTGTGTGGTGTTGTGACCTGACCGTGGTTATTTCAGGGGAAGGGGGCACTGTGTGGTGTTGTGACCTGACCGTGGTTATTTCAGGGGAAGGGGGCACTGTGTGGTGTTGTGACCTGACCGTGGTTATTTCAGGGAAGGGGCACTGTGTGGTGTTGTGACCTGACCGTGGTATTTCAGGGAAGGGGCACTGTGTGGTGTATTTCAGGGGAAGGGGCACTGTGACCTGACCGTGGTTATATCAGGGGAAGGGGCGCTGTGTGGTGTTGCACCTGACCGTGGTATTTGAACTGTGTGGTGTTGTGGACCGTGGTATTTCAGGAAAGGGCACTGTGTGGTGTTGTGTTGTGACCTGACCGTATTCAGGGGAAGGGGCACTGTATTTGACCTGACCGTGGTATTTCAGGGAAGCACTGTGTGGTGTTGTGACCTGACCGTGGTATTTCAGGGGAAGGGGGCGCTGTGTGGTGTTGTGACCTGACCGTGGTATTTCAGGGGAAGGGGGCACTGTGTGGTGTTGTGACCTGACCGTGGTATTTCAGGGGAAGGGGCACTGTGTGGTGTTGTGACCTGACCGTGGCGCAATGTATTTCAGGGAACCGTGGTTATTTCAGGGGAAGGGGCTGTGTGGTGTTGTGACCTGACCGTGGTATTTCAGGGGAAGGGGGCGCTGTGTGGTGTTGTGACCTGACCGTGGTATTTCAGGGGAAGGGGGCGCTGTGTGGTGTTGTGACCTGACCGTGGTATTTCAGGGGAAGGGGGCACTGTGTGGTGTTGTCACCTCACCGTGGTTATTTCATGGGAAGGAGTCACTGCGTTGAATATGACACTGCATACGTATTGATCTGCAATGAGCACAAATATTCATCTGATGCACGCACTGCAATATACACGCGTACTGATCTGATGCATGCACTACAATATACACACGTACTGATCTGATACATGCACTGTGCGATATACACGCGTACCGATCTGACGCATGCACTACAATATACACACGTACTGATCTGATACATGCACTGCGATATACACGCGTACCGATCTGACGCATGCACTACAATATACACACGTACTGATCTGATACATGCACTGCGATATACACGCGTACTGATCTGATGCATGCACTACAATATACACACGTACTGATCTGATGCATGCACTACAATATACACGTGTACTGATCTGATGCATGCACTACAATATACACACGTACTGATCTGATACATGCACTGCGATATACACGCGTATTGATCTAATGCATGCACCAGAATGCCAGAAATCATTTTCAGAAGAAACGAGCGAAGCATTATCACGTGCCAGATGCATATGGAGAGATAGAAGCATATTGATCACCAACTGGAGTCTTTGTTTCCTGGAATGGTTTTTGGACTGTTAGCGACATCAACAATGCTAGAACAAGTAAACATTTAACACTGGAAGGTGAAAGTGACAGGCGCGGTGGGGAAATTTACTCCTGATCAATCAAACTGTGAAGTTGGCACCAGTGATAGTCGATAAAACCTTTGTTACAGCACGCATCAACAGT